GCCATTATGGTATTGAATGCGTTCACGATACATATCTCACACACACAGTTTAGTCAAAGTAACGATAGCGCACACTACACTAGCTTCTTCAAACACACCAACTTGACGACAGAATCCATCCCAGCTACAATACTTACACTCCCACAACACAACACACAAAAACACATAGAAGTCCGAAAACAAAACAAAAGACAGGACATACAAGTCCAATTCCAAATTTTGAATACATTCAAACCCAGTAAGACGAATCTAATAGCTTTTATTGTAAAACAAATGATTTCAAAAATACACAGGAATTGTGCAATTGTGAAAATAGTGTTGAAATTGGGTATGAGTGGAAGAATAGATTTCGAATAGGGAGGGAGTTGTTTTTACTGTGAAGTGGAAGGAGATGAGCGGAAATGGGATATTGTGGAATGAATAGATCGAAGAGTGTTGTTTCCAGTGGAAGCGTTTTGTTTTTCGTTCTATTCATTTGGAATTTTATATAGATGGGATAGAAAGAAATAGGGTATGTAGAAGATGATGATAGGAATGAAAATGGAAAAGCTAGTGATAAGCAGTTTTTGGGTTATCATTTATAGTAATAGTATGTGATATGTGTATAATAGAATCGAATAGTAGAGTTTGTGAGAAAGGTGGGTGTGTCGTTGAAGAACTGAGCAAAATAAGGTAGAATACATAGTATATTTTATACGAACAAATAGAGATATATTCATATTCCACTGTTTCTAGGTTTTTGGATAGTTGGTGTGCAGTTTTTGTCGTTTTGATGCACTCTGAACCTATCAGAGATTGTTATATTGCCAGAGAATACTATCCCTTATTCTAACCCATATAGTATCCCCCACCTGCCAAATAATGCAGAATATCTCCTATTTAAAGGAAGAAGTATCGAATTGTACACCACTTCAATAGGGATACAAAGTGATTCACAATGTTGTTCTATTAAGAGCATGAATAACAATAGTATACATAATACTTGCTGTTTGAGTTGGTTGATGAAAGTGAAATGCTTTGGTTCCCAACTCATTAGGATGAATAGAATTACTCACTAATAGCGATATCAGTATTGTTGATGATAAAGCTGAAATCCATAAGAATGGACTCTATGGGAATGAGTAGTTGCCCAATATCAAGCTGTGAGACATATCTGGATTATTATTTGTTGGAGACAACAATCAAACTATTACTTTTCAGATATATATATAGAAGATAGACATTGATATCTATCTATCTATCTATCTTCTTGAATACCTTACTGAAGTTGTGCTTACAAGATATCGTGAATGAAATGTACACATTCGAACTCAAGGAGATCGGATTGTCATTCGCATCTGTCAGTACCCAATCAATGGAATCCAAGTTCGATTGTTCAATCACATCGATTGATAGGTTGTTCCAGGTGATCATGTTGTTCAGTCCCATCGATACATGAATCAGGTTATCGATCAGCGGACTCTTCAGACCGAATGTTTGAGCATTGATACTACTGTAGACTCGGATCACACTCATGCCGTTCGTGATGTCGTAGGGTTCACTGGGTATTAACGCCTTGTGTTGGGATGTCCCCACATCGATTAATATCACTTGATCGGTTGGTACGTTGTGTAACACGAAATCGGTATAGAGTGACACGGACGAGATGGAACATTGATCGAATGACAGAGGATTGTCCAGCTTCACTTCCTTCTTCGTAGTATTACAGAACACTTCCATCATACTGAACTGGTTCATCGGTAGAATTGAGGAAGGCACTTGATCAATCACATCTTCTATCGTCAACTGGAGTTCGAATTCGCCGTTCAATTGCATGATATTACCATCCATATCGTGGAACAGGAACATCAATCGGTCGAATCGGGTTATCATGGGAATGCAGATGTCTTCCACGGTGCGCAGGTAATGAACCTCGGGATCGTCAATGATCATTGTGGTGAGCAGATTGTTGTTCTGGTTGGCAATCTTCAGATCGGAGGAACGCACGAGGGATGAGTAAGCTTGGATTACTTGACGATTTCGCGTGATATCAATCACGTTCGATCCATAGAACGAAACAGATAGAATGACCGTTCGCCCTTCCAAAACGAGGATTTCTCGAATATCAGGAGCATTGGTGAAATCGATGGTATGTGGATACTGGATATAAATACATCCATAACTCGAAGCCTTCGTAGATATCGAAAACGTAGTATCGGTCATGGTGTTGAGCATGGCAATGATTTGACCGATCGTGTAGTATCCAGGAGGAATCGTTATCTCTTCGTCATTGGATTTCGTGACCACATTCGTAGAATCCACATTGTTGAACATGACTTGATTGGGTCTGAACAGGACAGTCATAGAAGTGTGTAAGGATTCTTGTACTTGTACAGATTGACCCACGAAAACGAACCGTTGAGAGGTGTACCCTTGATTAGCATGGAATAGTGCATGGCTTACTCTATTTACCAGAGTAGTAAGGTATTGACATGGTTTTGCGCAAAAAAGGCGGCTTAAATATTCGCAATACACGCCATTTACTAACTACTTAATAATAATGATGATGATCGAAAACAATGATTGATTGATTGATTGATTGTTTGAAACAACAATCATAATTCAGTATCATTGTTAAAATGGTAAAGAAGAACATCATAATAATCAGGCAGGATTGATATTTTGATTATTATAGAATCATGAATTGTAATCAAGAATCGGTTTGAAACAAACAATCAATCAATCAATCGATCAATGGAAATGTTCCTAAACAATGACGAATCACTGAACTAATCAAATCAAATCAAAAGTATAGATTTACTCATAGATTTAGTGGACAAGATTAGCGAGAATGGAAGAAACATCTATGAATCAAATCAAATCAATCAAACTATACTCCAAATTGATTTCGATCGAGCACACCCGAATGAATTAGGTAAATCGACATTTTGAATATTTGGAATATCTAAATACTATCAATATTCAATATTCAAAAATACTTTCTAATGTCACCCAACGAGAATAAAGGAAACTCCATCCTTCAGAAGTTATTGATGTTAAATTTGGAAGATCTACAAATCAAATCATAACCAATCAATTCATTATTACTTCGGAGTGTCAATGAACAAGAATCACTCCGTCTTCCACGTAGTGCTTCATAACCGAGTTGAATGGATTGTAATGATGGAAGATCTACATCAATCACTTCATTCAAATTCATTCAATACTTTCAATTATTGTAACTAAGGAACACTCGAATGTCTCATAACCTAATGTAATGGATTGTAGATTTGGAAGATCTATTCATTACCCAAATATTCAATATCATATCAATACCTCGAATCACAAATGAACTATACAAGAAATTGCATGAAGTACTTCCAATTGTACCGATTCGAATGGATTGTAATTGTGGTAGATTCTTCAATTCAAAGTCTCCAGCAAAATCACTGAAACTACAGTAGCCAATTTGAATGGATTCCAATGATCCACAATTCAATATGTGGAATGATTTCGATTCATCAATTCCCCAATCATTCTTTTTTTGAGTGAACGAATTGTCTCCGATTTTGATAGTTTTCAATCGATTCAATCCATCGATTTGGAATGTTTTCACTTTGGAATAGCATTTATCTGCAAACATTACATGTTCCCTCTCATATTTGTATCTCTTACTAGATACTCTAGGATAAAAGTCCTTTGTTATGATTCCTTCACATACATTCTTCCAAATATAATCAAGGAATATTAATCCACAAATGAATACTGCTAACATTATTAACCACTGCAAGATTGTTGGTAATGGTAAAATGAATGCCAGTACAACAATACATAGCCCGAATATTACTGGAATTATTGCAAATAACAGTATATACTTTGATTTTGGTATTCCTTTCACCCATTCTCCATCATATTCTCTTTCATTGTTCTTAAAAGATGTTCCTCGTCCACATCGTTTTCCATTCAGGAATTCACCTTCATAAATCACATTCTTGCCTTCTTCATCATATTCAACTCCATATTGTCGAGAAAATCCCTTCTCAATTGAACCTTTATAGTATCCTTCAAAACACTTTACACCATCTTTGTATTCTATCATTTTGCCATTTTCAAATCGATATAAAATCGATATTTCTTCATTGTTTTTCCAAATACTGACTCGATCCAGGAATCCTGATTCAAAATAGTAGCACAATCCTTCATTCATTCCATTTTCATTCTTTTGACAAATCGAAATCACATTTCCATTCCCATCCAATTCTTTCCAATAACCTTCCATTCCATCCATTCTTTCGAAATGATTACCTCGACATCCTATTTCATACCTACCTTCAAATATCACATTCCCATTCTTATCATACTCTTTTCCAAATCCCTGACGATATCCATCTTCAAGATTCCCTTCAAAATATAATTCACCTGAGTCATAATACAATTTACAGTGTCCCTTTATCTCATTACTTCGATACTCGAATTCTGCTATTATTGTATTGTTCGTTGTTTTAATAACAGCTTTTCCATTCAATATTCCATCTTTCATCTTCGTTTGAATAGTGTAACCTTGATGTGGAGAACCAATGTTCAGAATCACATTCTCACTATCAATCCTATCTATAGTACTAATAGGGAATTGATTGGTAATACACCAATTCCAAATGTCAACCTCAAACCCCGAATCCTTTCCCAGGTCACGAGACACGTCCAATGGTTTTATTTCGACAATATAATCCGATTTTATTCCAAAATCCATAGAAGAGTCCATAAATAAAGAAAATATGGAAAAAAACACCAAAATGAAACGTAACTCTTCTCTATTTGATTCCAGTATTATTTTCTTTCCGTCATTATTATTATTTCATTGTACATTCCTTTCTTAATACTAATGTAGTGTTATAATTTGAACAATAATAGGAATAGTAAAGTGAAGAGTGGACAGATTTTGTCATTTTGTAAATACAACCATAATTGCCTTAATAATACAGTAGATTGAGTTTATGATGAATTTTCATTATGCCTATTGAATGGAATTACAAGATGGAGCTATATTCTCGACTTGTAACACAATGATATACAATCACACATTTTGGTATGCTTCTTATCGATATTCATTGTTAAATATTCGTAATCATATGCTTCTGCTATGAGTGTTGTTGTTTTTCTTCAAAAACACTTTGAACAATTTTTTTCTCTAATATACAATCTGCTACATTTATACCTATTATGCAAGATGATGATTCCTCTTCTGTAATTATGTAGAGACTACCTTCTTCTCTTTTCTTCTTCTTTTGAGTTGTGTATTGTTAATTCTTAGTTTGACATTGGATAATGGTATGATCGATTCTAATCATCATTTGTATGATAATTTAGACACAACAACTTTTTTGTTCTTCACATAACCAGTAATGTACAATAAATGTACGAATATACCGATTAAACTTCAAACTCGAATGGTGATGAACCTAAATTGGCAATGACAATTCTACAAACTTGTTCTGAGTCTATTTTCATAAATCAAATAATAAAAACACTGTTTTGTGGCTATTCTGGTTGTCTATTTTCCGATTATGTGATGGCTGGGTATACTTACGTGATACAGAAATAGGCAAGTAAGTGACATATATGAAGTTAACGAAATCGACAAAAGTGTGAAGAATAGAAGCAGATTATTAACTTAACTCTTATTTCTCTCTCAGGAAACTGCTTTACGGACAGTCATCATTATTATATACTTAAGTAATTACTATAATTGTTCACATAAATCAAACTAAATAAATCAGAATATACTGTTAACAAGAATGAATAGACCTTCTCGTATATTGCTCCAAAGAGTTGGAGAAGTCATTTAGAGTCCATTCACTTTCCGAAGGAATAATTATGTTATTTTGTTTTGTAGGCGAAAAGATCATTTACTATTGTATATAGCATCGACAGAATGGCAATCAATGTTTAATTCACGAAACGCCACAATGCATAACGATTGAGTGTTTTTTTTGAAATGTTACTACATTCCACATTTTATATCAACAATAATAGTCATGGGAGTAGAACTAGAATATGTAAAACACACTTTCTTTCAAATAACAACTATGTTGTTACCAACAACATATCTGTGAAATATATATATCACCAGAAGGATCTAGAGTGCGGCAGATTTTATTCGAAAACACCATCCCCATTCCTCACAGGCACTTCTTCTTCATTGTGATAAACTTGATATCATCGTTCCGTATTTTTTATTTTAAACGACAATGGCATGTATATTAACGAATCAAGTCTTTGAACACAGGAGTGCCAAAAAACGAAACTATTATTTCTTCTATTTTTAAATCGATAATTTAAAATGGAATTGTTTGACTATCCTCTGATTTGCAACCGAATAGGGAAAATATCACCAAAGAGCGAGGGATCAGACAATGTGATACTCCCTCCTCATTTGAGGCCTAAACTGCCAAATGTGTTCGGCTTCTATGTATTTAGAGTGACGTCAGAAACTACAAAGAACTGGACATATTGCTGTGTAAAGGAATGGACTGCAGGCGAACATGATTGCTACATGCCTACGGTACAGAATTGAGGGTATGGTTTATTATACTAGTGGATGATGAATTATTTAAACATTCCTGATCATTGTGAAGTTAAGTTTACTTATGATAATTTTATGATTAAGAAGGTTTTCTTTTTGATATTTTTACTATTCCTAGGGAGAGTCTCTCGTTATTCAGCCAACAGACGAGATCTTTGCTTCGTATTCAACGCTTATTGAAATGAAGGTATTTAGAACTCTTTTCTTATACTTATGTACAGGCAATCCGCGACGCACTCAGTTCCTATACTACTCTGTCGAATAACTCTAGAATTACTCTCAACTTGGATGGTCAGAAGTTTTCTGTTATCATTCGACTGCTAACTCCCGATCTCAAGGTTCGCACAAACGACAAGATGCAAATTCTGGTGAGCAACCAGATTTACGTATGTTCTTCTTTTTAAATCAATCGCAGCGAAAGCCCGTCGTTGACACGATGACAGAGTCGAAGAAACTGGACGAGGCGTTGTGTTGATCGGGTTTTCTAACGAATAGAAGCGAGTTTCAGCAGTGCGGCGCCCAATTACTGGAAGGTTTGTGCCATTCGTGCTACCGCTTGCTGCAGGACTGTCGATGCAGCGAAATGAAGCCGAATTCGAAGAAGGAAAGCAAGGAGATCGAAGAGGAATCGCGTCGTCTTGCCTTGGAAACGCTGCAGGAACGCTACTGCATGAACTGCTTTTGCTTGAAAGCGGAATGCATTTGCTCGCTGTCCGAACGGAAAGGGTTGAGAGCGCGGTCGGATCTTCGCAACGGCGTCCAGAAAGTAGACGAAGAGTTCGAATCGAATTCGAAATAGACGGGTGTGGAGCTGGGCGAGTTCTTGGAGAAGCCGAGCGAACTGGAGGAGGAGGACTTCGATATCATGGGTAGAGGAGCGGAAGAGGAGTGAGAGAAAGAGATCGTGGAGCGAGAAATGCAGAAAGAAGCGGAGGAGCGAAGAAAGCGGCGAGAAGAGCGAAGAAAAGCCGAGAGAAGCGATCTGCCCACCGAAGAGCTCAGCGATCTGCCCACTGAAGAGCTCAGCGATCTGCCTGGAGAGAAGAGAGGGGAGTGTCCAGGCGATGGGGCGGAGAGAAAAGGGGAAACGGAGGTGGAAATCGGGGAAAAGGGAAAGGAGAAAAGTGCCGAGCAGATGGAGGAGGAGACTAGGCATGCCGCGCTGTATTATTGGCCGATTGTGCCGCAGGAGCGGTGTAAACGGTGGGTGGTGGAGAACGCGACGATGTAGGGGAGAAGTCGGGAGATGATGGGTAGGATTCCGCCGCCACCGCCGGATGTGACAGCGAATGATAGATTGAAGACGGTGAGGAAGAATATGACGTTGTGGTCGTTGTTTAAGAGATTGAATCATTGTGATGTTTGTTGCATTTGGGTAGTTTGGAAGGGTGGAGTTGGATGGCGAAACTGCTTGTGAAATGAATTGAAAAATAGGATGGGATAGGAACCGTCCATGATTTGCCTAAACTAAAAGATTTCTAGAGAATAGAGTGATGGAGGCAAAGATTCCTCGTCTAACTCTGGAAATTGTTTTTATGTGCTTTTTTCATAATGATTACTCAATCTGAATTAATCGGGAGTAGATAGTGCACAATTGGGGTTCTTTTCAAACCATTCAAGCTTCACTAAGTACGATGAGATTGCTTATCGAACCAAACAAAAGATGCACACAGAATAGAATATTTGTTTAAGAGTGTGAAACTAATGATATACTTACGACCGATTATCCATATCGACAATCAAGTAATTTACCCGCTCACGAAGAGCGTTGCAGAAACAACACTTATCTACGTTCGAAACTCGACTCAAACCGTACTGTCGTGATGATGCAGAGAAACGAGACTAAACGGACCGGAATACGTTGTTTTAATGGAACTTATCGCCGAACCGACCACTCGAACTTTCCCACAATAATAAAACGAGTTGGTATTGTCCAATAACACAATACTCTTCAACAATGGAAGGCCTTCTGTCATTGTTCGCCTTCAAACCTACGCTCAAACTCGACCGCGTTTCGATATCTCGGCCGTTCGGCAGTGGAGATGGGCATCGCGTTGCTGTGATCCATCAAGAAGGAGTTCTTTCCGAACACGAGCTGCGTCAAACAGGGTAATTCTTCGCATCAATTCAATCCTTCGCACAAACGTGAAAAAATAGCACGCCGCGAATTGGCGAATGAATACGTTCCTAACAGCGCACTGCGCAGTGCCGGGAGATTCACCAGCTCGAATGTGTCCACACGCGAGAAGTTCTTCGATTTCTTCGTTTTGTTGAGCGTGCCAATAATCAATTCTTGCAGTTTGGGGAGGCCTTGCAGCTCCAATTTGGAGTAATTCGCGAACGATCCCTCTTCGATGATCAGCTGTTTGAGGCTTCGACAGTTTGAAACGCGCACCTTCATCATTTGGTTTGCGTTTACAAGAGAAAACCCGAACGAGTTCTTTCGAATGAGCACTTTTTCGAGATGCGGGCATTCCGCTATGACGAATGACATCGTGTATCCGCCGCAATTCTCCCCCAAAACCAGCATTCTCAAACGAGGCTTTCCTGTTATGGACAACACCGTGTTGTTCCCATTGTTGTACGTGTTAGGCGCGAGAATAAACGCTTCCAAATCGCCCAGCTGCGTGAAGGGAAGTTCGATGGGTCGATTGCCTGCTAGCTGCGTTCTGGCGAGGAAGAGGTTGGGCAATTCTCCGCATTCTACGATTCAGTCAACGAGAACGCCACGACCTTTGAGATTCTTCGTTTTTACGTTTTGGAAAAGCGACGTTCGCATCAAATCAACGGGTTGAAGTTTCAATAATGGCGTATCTTCGATGAAGGAGTGGGTCCACGCTTACTTTGGAAATCTAACCAGCTGAATACGCTCAACGTCGTGCTGTCGACCTCGCCAAAATCGATCGTTTCGAGTTTGGGGCAATCTGCTAACCAACCCAAACCCACGCCTACCTTTACAAGTCATTTCGCTTTGCTTCTTCGATCCGATCCAGCAGTTTTTTCCCAGAATGATCTTGCGAAGCACAGGGAGCGAAATCAACTGAATGGTCCGGATTGCCTTCATGGAGTTCGGCGGAATGACTAACGTTTCGAAGCGATCCAGTTGCCAGAGCGAAAAGTACGAGGCGTCGACGAAGTTGCTCGCATAGAATTCGAAGAACACGAGCGACGGAAGGGTGTGAAGAATGACATTGGTAGCGTGATTAAAACTATTCTCGCCGATCGAAATAATAGCCAATGCGGGACATGCTGTGATTTCCAAGGCGCCAAGACTACTTCCCGCCTTCATAAAGCAATTCGAATCGACTTTAACTGATTTCAAAAGAGGACTGTCCCGGATGATAAGCGAGGCACACTGCTTCAGGCTGTTGCTCTCAACCGAAAACGATTTCAGTTTGGGGAATCCGTCCAAAGTAAAGGAGAAGTCCGAGCTTTTTGATCCGCAATTCGATTGGATGTGGATACGCACGCAGTACTTTTTCATCACTGGGAGTGTGGGCGTGTTAGAATTCACAGTCATATTGAATTCTAACGCAGGAAGCAGCATGTAAATAGCGTCTATCAAAGCAGATTCGCCTTCCATTTTTTTCACATTCGTAAATGATGACTTCTCAATCGAAACGGAAGTATTCAAAAATGATTCTATTCAAAAAAGAAAGAAGTCTAAACCTACTTGTCGTTGTGATTCGTTCGAACGATGTGCAACTATTTTTACCCACAGAAAGCTTGACTGCGTTTACGATCGTCGCATTAAACGTTCCAGAACCCGTAACGAAGCAGTCCGACCCAATAATGAATGATTTCATGGGGGTGAGATTGCTGAGGGAGACAAAAGACGTTTTCGGAAAGCAATTCGAGTCGATCTGGATCGTTTCGATGGAAGTCAAGAATAACAGGAAAAGATCCTCCGTGTTTGCGAAACAACCACTCGCGATTTTGATTGTCTTCAGTTGCGGGAGATTGTCAAGCTTGAAAGAATGAAGGTTTGCGAAGGACTTGGATTGGATTTCGATCGTTGCGAGAAGAGGCAGCCCAGAGAGAGAAAAAGTCTTGAGGGATGGGAAGCACTTGGGACCAATCACGAGATTTTTTATGTTTTGAAGATCAATGAGCTGAAAGCTAGTTACATTGGTTGAGAACTCGGCTTCGATCTTCAACTCATGGAGCGATACCAGTTTCGTCAGCAAGACAGATTTCGTGTTGGTAAGGAAGTTCTTATTGAGATTGAATGATTCCAGAGAATTCAGTGTGTGCAGACAAAAGTCCTGAGCCTGTTGGAAGCAGTTCTCTGCGATATCCAACTCCTTCAACTCCGCCAGATTGCAGAACTGTACTGTCTTTATCTTATTCAGGCTGCCCTTTCCTATCTTTATGCTTTTCAATGAGGGATCACTCGAAAGTTGGAATGTCTCCACATTGTTAAAGCAGCTTTCTCCAATGATGAGAGTTGTGAAGGATGGCAGTTTAGACAATTGAAGAGATTGGAGACTTGAAAAGCAGTTATTGCCGAATGACAACGTTCTACAATGATCACAAGATGAAATCTGAATCTTTTGAGCATTGCAAAAGCTCCCAGAATTAATTGAAAGCGAATCCAAGAGAGGCAAATTCAAAAGTTCAAGACTTTGCGTATTTGTGAAGCAATTCTCATTGATTGATATTGTGCTCAGTTTCATAAAGCCGCAAATTCGGAGACTTGCCAAATTTGAGAATGAATGGGAGCCAATAACTATCGATGTGAGTGCTTGCAGTTGAGATAGTTCGAAAACTTCTGTGCTTGTGAACGAGTCGGATTCAATTTGCAGTTTGGATAACTTCTTAAGGCTAGAGATTTTCATATTCTTCATATTCTTAAAGCATTCCGAAGAAATGTGAATCGTTTCAAGAGACGTGAGGCCTGTCAGTTGGAAATTTTGAGTATTTCGAAAGCATCCCTTCGAAATGTCCAGTACTTTCAAACCCGGAATATTCAAAAGAGTAACATTTTCTGCACTGCTAAAGCAATTTTCTCCAATCTCTAAAGAGTTCAATTTCACAAGAACTGAGATCGAAACATCCTTCGCATGAGCAAAAGAATTGGCGCCAATCGAAATCTTATTCAAACTTATATGATTCGCAATTTCCAAATTCTGAACCATCGGGAAAGAGTCATTGCAGAAAGTCAACTCCTTCAGATTTGGCAGCCTGGTCATTTGAAGACTTGTGGCATTCTTAAAACAATTCGGTTCGATCCAAATGGAAGTGACTGCGGAACAATTTGAGAATGTAACGTTTTCGGCATTGGCGAAGCTCCCAGCCCCCAGCAGAAGGTACTGCAATTTTGAAAGGTTGGAAAGAGTGAAATTCTTCAGGTCTGTAAAACAATCCGCTCTAATTTCCCAAGAATCCAGCATTGGCAAATTACTCAAACTGATTTCTTGTGTATGAACGAAGCAGCAATTTCCAATTGTCAGCCTCGTTAAGTTTGCAAGATTCGTTAGAGAGAAACGTTGCGTATTCGAAAAACAATTGGGGCCGATTTGAATCGTAGTCAGCTTTGATAGATTCGCAAGTTCGAACGTTTTGACTGAATCAAAGCAAGATGATCCAATTTCCAACGTCGTAAGCGACGGAAGCTTTTCGATCGCCACGTTCTGCGTCTTCGTGAAACATCCGTATTGGATCTTCAGTACCTCGAGCTGACTCAGATTCTGCAATTGGAAACTATCAAACTGAATGCAGCTATAGGGAGAGATATTCATTGTCTTTAGCGACTTCAGATTTGAAAAACTCAACGCAGTGGGAGTCAATATTGAATCAATGGCAGGAAGGGTTTGTTTTGTGCCAGACACATTGGAGATCTCCACTTTGGAGAGCTTGGAGCAATCTGCGGTAAAGAAAGAGCAAAGCAAATACTCGAAATCGTAATCGTCGAAAGAATGAATGAGCTCGTCGCAATATTCACTGAAGAAAGCGAGCTGTTGTTGTTCAATACCAATTTTCCATTGGGCAAACTGAAATTCATCCCTTCAAACTTAATCGACTGCAGATTAGAATGATCTAAATCACAAAAAATCTAAAAAGACGTACTCGACAGGGTAAAATCATTCCCGTGTTGCCATGAACCTACACCAAAAGAAAGGTTTTGCAAGGCTGGAACTGTGATATTCTTCCAAGCCAAGGAAGTGGTAAAATTATTCAATCCAAATTGAAGACTCGTCAGAGACTGTAAGTTCAACAAGCAAGTTGCAAACTGGAATGAATAGGAGGGGAAGGTGAGTTTTTTAAGCTTTGGCAAAGAAGACATTTCGAGTGATTTTGAATTTGAGAAGCTTTGCGTTCCAATGGTTAATTCATTCAATTCAGGCAAATCTACAGTCAAGCCATCACAGAAACAGCCAACCTTTGATCACCACAGAGGCGAAAGAAGAAAAGGAACTATAATCGATTTGAACCTTCTGCAAGGAAGGAAGCTTCGAAAGATAAAATTCCTTTGCATTTTTAGCGACAAATGCAGACCGACCAACCGTAATATATTTCAGATACTTCATTTCACTTAACCGGAATGAAGTGACTGTATTACAAGCAGAATTATGAATCACCAACGATTGAAGATAGAGAAGACAATTCCAGGATACTTGGTTAAAGAATTCACTTTTGAATTCTTCCCCCCATTCCAACGAATTCACATAGATCGGCGAGGAAGCGTTTACGATTTGATCTATCGAGCGAACTGACAGCTTAATCTTGGAGTTTTTAGAAACGAGTTCCTTGGCCAAATCGGAAGTTACATCAAGATAGAGTTTCAGATTGTTATTCGCCAATAGAGCATCATTGAACTTCAATCCACTCGCCTCCAGTTTCGGGACGTTCTCTAACGTCAGTGACGACATCTTTTGGAATGAACTGATCCCTATTGAGAGTTCCCTCAAATTCTCCAGGTTGCTCAATGTGGCAGACACGATCGCTACGTTACAGGATAAAACGCCGATTGAAACACGAAGACAGAGTGGACAATTATTGATGAAAAACGAGTCAAGATTGGGAAATAAGTGATCACCCAGCGAAACAGTAGAAAGCAGCGAGACGTTGGACAGCGTAAAACTATTTGTGTTCACAAAGGTTTTTTTAGTTCCTCCTTTGAGCGTGAGTGAAACCAGATTATAGCAGCCTACAAATCAAAAGAGAACAAAAAACACACAATCGATCGTAAATTGTTTGGCATTGGTAAAGCTCATTCCAATCGAAATGGTTTGAAGATTGGGCAAATTTTGAAATACCAACTTTCCCTTCATTTCTCCATTAAAGCAATTATCCCCAATCGTGACATGTTTCAAGAATAGCAATTCTGATAGGACTAAATTGGATAGGCATGCAAATGTATCATCTCCGATCCTCAAGTCCTCAAGATTACAAAACAAGGAGTAATCAATATCCGTACTGAGAGCGATATTACGAATCGAGAGCGACCGAATTCCAGAAATGACCTCATTTGCGTCTAGCAGTAGCCAACTCTTATATTTATCAATCAAAGTTTGTCTTTCCAAGTTGTATCGCAGAATTGGAGAGGTTTCCCCATCCTGCAAAATACGATTCAAAGACGGAATACGAATGAATTGAGGGTCAAATGTCCAACTCTCCGAACTATCAAATGGATCTGGATCTTCCTTTGTATTAAAAAACTCTGTAAGACCATGGCTTGGTAAGAACGTAAAAATGGAGCGCATTTTCATTCCTGCCGTAAATGTTCCTCGACGGCACGTAATCTCGCCCCATACCGACCCATCATCTCTATAGAGCATTCCAGATCCTTCAGGAAGGTCATCCACCCAGTTTCCATTATATTTCAAAGCTCCATTTGAGTAGTAAAGGCAACCACTTCCATGTCGGTACCCATTCTTAAACGACCCACGATACATAATCCGATTCTTCGAGTATAGCTGGCCATTGCCATTGAATAAGAACCAACACGGAGGGAAGAAAGAATATTCGCCACGATAAATCAATGCATTCTTCTCGTTTGTAACTACCATATAATTGGTTCTATCTTTCAAGTAAAATCGTTTTACTAAGTATGATCCTCTGTCCGAGAATCTCCTGTTAAGCAAGATAGGCAATCCATAAGAAGTATACTCGATGTCCCAGCTTGTGGATGAGGGCATATAGTCTATCTTCTTCATGTAGATCAGTTGCTCATAGTTATAATACGTCGTGATCCTATAGTTCATAGACTGTGCAGTTTCTTGTTCAGATATATGACCATTTACAAAAGTTCTACTGCGAAGCACATTGGATGAAACGAGAACCCCCAAAGGGCCGTTTGGTAATCCATTCTTGAATTCTCCATGGTAATAAGAAATATGATTATAATAATAGGTCAGAATTCCCTCTCGCCTGCCCTTAACCCAATTTCCATTTACAATAATGTCGCCCTTGTATCGAATTGAGCAACTTCCATCCAAGACTCCGTTTGTCATGGAAAAAACAACAGTGATAGGAAGTGATTCATCATCGACGCTATATACCATTTTTCCTTCCATGAGAAGTATTTCTTTGCGTATTTTAAACTGATATGGAACATATTTGTAGGATATCTCCCCAGAAAAATCAACTGACTGTTCACCTGGTAAATCGCTCTTTAGTTCACCAAGGATGTCAAATAAACCCCCATCATACACCAATCGTTGAAAGAAACTCATTTTTAAATTGACACACAACAATAGAACATTGATTTGCTATGGCATTTGGTATTTTACATGATTTTTAATTAAAGAAACATGCAAACACTAATAGTCCACTTTCACGAGAGCATTCTTGCGAGCTACCTTCGCTCCTTTTTCCTCATACTCCGCCTTCGTCACACACGCTCCTACAAACTCATCCTACAGTTCAACGCGTCCATCTCCGCCTACTTGCGAAGCCACATAACTGCCTCCCATCCACGAAGCAATCTCCCGTTTCTTCGGAGGTTTCACCACCACTTCCATCTCCTTTCCTTGAATCTCAAGATTTCCCTGCAGTTTCGCGCGTACCGCAGAAATGTTCGCATCGTACCGAGCCTTCACGATTCGCTTCAAGTCGCGGCTCAGTCGCTTGTCAAATCCTTTAAACTTCGTGGAACCGCCCGCCACCACGATGTTGCTGTACAGCGGACGACGCACATCCACCGGACAGCGCATGATCGTTTGATCCACCAAGTTCGCCAACGGCGTCGTATATTCAGGATTCAGAATCTCCGGGTTGAAGAACAGCTCGGGGGCCAAAAACTGCTCGTATCCCACATCGATCGTCCATTTCTATCGCTCAGTAGTCGTCTTTGACACCACCTGCTGGGTTCGAGCGTTGATTCCAGACACCGTTTTGAACTTGCTCCGATCTTCGTCGAACGCAAAGAATTCCTTCACCAGGTTGCCGCAGCAGTAGCACAGCGATTCCTTCACCTGCTTCACGGCGTCCAGAATGTCCTCCGACGGAACGGGCTCGTTGCGCTCGCGCAGACGACGCAGAATGAACTCCGAAATATCGTGGCCACCCAGAGGAAGCGTCTTCACCGCAGCTCCCAACACATAGCCCTCCGCCTTCCTTTCACCATCTCCACACACATCATACCACAGGAATAATCGAGGTCCCGCCTTCTCCAGCATCCACCACCACGCCCGAAACAGCCGAGTTCATCTGATTCGAATCAACCCTATCAAACACTACAGCGCCTCCATCCTTCTTCGACAATTCGTTTGCGTACAAACAGAGCACCGCCTGCGTCGCAATGTACATTCCTGGAACGTTGAAGGTCTCGAACATCACCTCGGCAGTGTATTCACGGTTCTCCTACCACTTATCGCTCCATCCATCCAAAACCGGAGTGTTGTTGAACGGCTCCGTTATTAAAAAGTAGTGATCCTCAGGATTACAACGCAGTTCTTGGTAAATAGAGTAATCATAGATCCGTTCCATGCTATTCCAGTCTTGAATAATGCCATGCTGGATCGGATACGTCGGAATGTAGTCAGTCTTCCCGAAAGCTTGCTCTCCCACAAAATAGTCCAGATCGTCCAGACTCTGGAAGGACCGTGTCGTTCTCTTCTATTCGATTACTGCGAATTCAAAAGAGCACATGTGAAGGGTAAGCAATGGCAGTCGGGAAAATAGCCGTTGGAGCCCCGTTTCCAGCAAAGCCGACTTTTGTAAATCTGAACCAATTAGAATTGGCATGTATCGCCTACCCAGTCCCAGAGTCAATTACAATAGGTTGATTGTTAATCGAAAACATACTAGAGCCTGATCCCAACGATTCTGCAAATACTTAGGAAAGATCTAATCACAGGATAAGCGATTTGAAGTCTTTTAGTACTCAGCTGTTCAGTGGTTTCTTGCTTATCAACGCGCTTCTCTGAAGATTGAAATGTGATCAATTCATTCTTATTTTTGCAAACACTATCGCTCAATACGAATCGTTTGGTATGACAAACAAGGAATTGTATCCATTTTCTAACTCTCTCAGTGCTCACGAGGAAAGGGAAACTGTGAGTAAACTTCGCTAGGCAATTCTTATAAGGGAGCTCAATGCAATGGAGGTGAAGGTGACTGATTGAGTGCCAGGGGCGTTGATGAAAACCCAAACTAGATTGGAAATGAATGACTACTCCCTACATTCTTTTCCCGGTAGCCCCATTTTCATCCAAAATGCGGTTACCAAGCAATTCCATCTCGTTTACTAGACTTTATCATGAAAATCAGGTTATACATAAATCTAAATCTTCATGCGTTAATGCGTTGCAATCGCGGATGTGTTCCTTCGAAATTACCAAATAGTGGTGCTTAGCACATGGCCGAATATCTTGTATGATATAAAAACGTTCATTCTGCTGATCAGGAAGAGAAATGACCTACCTGAAACAAAATCCGATTCTTTCCATCATTTTTATTAAGTTCACAAAAGACACATTTTCTCTTCATTGTATTTTGCAAAAACAGAGTAATGTACAAACAAAGTCTTACAATTTGAAGTCGTCATCGCACAAATTGTGTCTTCTTCATATCCACAGAGTCGGCGAATCTCCGAAACGCAAGTTTTGCACTGCTAAAAATGAAGAGAGGACTTTACCAGATTACGTTTCCCAAGGAATAAGTTTCTTTATCAATGCTCAGTGCAGGGGAATCTGTTTCTAATAGCATATTGGAAAGTGGAATATTTTTGGCAAGGCGTTGGAAAGACTCGTCATCCCTTACAGAGGCTGGAATCGAAAAGTAGTATCCGGCAGCCAATGCCTTCTTTACGGATTTCAGGTTGCCGTCGTACGCATGAAGCAGTGCTTTCGTCACTCCTTGCTGTATGAGCACATCAATGCAGTAGTGGCCTGCATAACGCGAGTGGATATTGACTGGAAGATTGTACTTCTTTGCAACAGTAATTTGGCGCACAAACGCCTCCATTTGCAACTCTTTCATGCTCTATCCTCTTACTATTTTTGGAAGCATAACTACGGGCGATTGAGACAGAATTCGCTGGGCAAAATCCAACCCGATCTCTCCAATTCCAGCAAGTCGATCATGATTATCTTCGATGAGCTGAATCATCGCATCCAAGCTTTCTTCATGGACATACCATGGGTGTAGTCCAATACAAGGGCGTATTTGGGGATAACGCTCCGAGAGGGCTAGAAGAGCTACGGCATCTTCATCTACGCGTCAAAATGAATCGATTGAACTACACCGTTCAGACACTCCCACGATGAATGTCAAACCAGCTTTCACAGACTCGCTGATAATTTCATCGATCCTTCCTCGCAGCAAGTGATCTGCTGGATGGCAGTGAGCATCACACACGAAATTCATTTTGCGTTTAAAAGTGATCCTTTATTGTGTCTCCCACTAGCTTGGTTTTGGTAACACCAATACACGGGTTAGGATGCAGTGCTCCTGTAAGTGCTCCCATCTGGATCTACTTCTTCGAGAAAGTGACGATATTCTTCGTACATATGTGTTCTTGCTATATATGATGTATACGGATCGATCAAAACTGTATGACGTGAGTCTCCCCTATTTGAATGATTTGTAGTTTTTACACATAAAGGAAAGCGCTGTTGGCAATGGATTGTATATTTGTATGCATGTAAAAGGGTTTTGTTAAGGCTGATGTGTAGTGTCAGTTTGCTGGAAACGAATCGAGTATAATATCACACCAATTCGAATATCAGCATCCCCTCGTACTTTGGGCAGACAACCTACAGATGTGCCCTTCTATCCAACTCTGCATAATTTCTAGCAATTGTCTGTGGTGTGGTAAGGACGTCAACAACCTGGAACTGCGTGTCCTCAAAGATGTTACAGTCCAAACAATTGTTTCGAAAGGAGACATCCGTGCCTTGCTGAGAGAGAAGAGCTTATCGTTTTTGAAGAATATAGAGGACTCGAGCCTTGCACACGATTATCACCAGTTGGGGAGCTCTTCTTGTACTTTGTTTTTTTGGGGATGTTCTAAACCACAGTAGCAGGTATAAAAGGTTTGTTGAATCTCCATGAAACGGATTCCATGAACTGTGTTTTACAACTGTTTCTCCATCTTCCACCCATTCTAGACTATTATTTCAGTGATTTTCACACACAACTTGTATTCTTTTGGTTGCTAATTCCCATTGTAGGAATGTTTCATGCGAAACGGGATAGACAGCAGTTTGAAGCTCGGTTGCTTCTTGTGCTGCCTCCGAGACATGGTTCAGTCCATATTCGCAGATAATTCTGACCACTTTGTCGTTCCCTCCAAACTTGTGTTTTACTTTTGGAAGGTTTTCGTTGAGTCGTTGCTCATGATAGATGTAGAAATACCCAGAATTGCGTGATTCAGGCAGTAGAAGTCCTTTACTCTTCTTGGACCGCTTTATCACCGAACTCACAAAATCATCGACTGATGCAAACTACTTTAAATCTTTATTTTATCAGGAATGGAGGACAGATGAAGTGTATTGCGAATCTTGCCAGAAAAGCCTGGGGCGGTTCGAATCACAAGATTGCGTGTGGAACCAAGGGATGGAGAAGAATCGCCCCACTCGGAAGTATACACAGAATCTACACAAGCAGTGCGAAGTTTGCGGTGCTGCCCAGGATCGATCCATCGAGTTTCGCTTGAAGTTTTCGCCATTGTTGCTGTTTTTCGAGATGGAGAAATGGATTCCTAAGCTGCCTCTTGTAGGCCTCGTAATCGATGTAGAGTAAGATTCTGGTTATTTCGATAAGGGAAAGGGAGGGAAAAGAGGTGTATGATTTGTATGGTGCGGTGTTGGTGGATGAGGAGCAAAAATATAGCACGCTATTATATCTGCATGAACGTTGGTACCGATTTGCAGATGATCGGGTGGAGCGTGTTTCGGAGAGTTGCTTACCGGTCTTCAAAACTGTAATCTTCTTGTATATAAAGCGGTTTTATCCGAGCCAGCAGCGAAAAGCGGTTCTGGACAAGACAAGCAGCCTTTTGAGCTGATTTGTTTGTTGGACAAATTCCGGGGGATTTTTGGAGAGTTATGTGTTTTCAACTATTGTTTTGCTAGAAGTGCATATCTTGTTTTTATACAGTTTGCGTAGTTAAAAAACGTTATGTCTTCTTCTGTTCCCAAGATTATTACTTGCACGGAAAACAAGGATTTGGAGGGGGTGAAGAGTTGTATTGAAAATGGAGATAATATCGATGCGCAAAGACCTGTATTGAGATCCTATCTTGGGTTCATGGTGTAGGATGGGCGATCCGCCTTGCTGGTAGCCTGTTTGAAAGGATATATGGAGATTGTACAATATTTGATTGAAAACAAGGCCAATGTGTTGCTGAAGAACAAAGTGGGATTTATTTACGTAGGATTCTCTGTAGAAAGGTGGAAATGCGCTCGGTCATGCTGCCTACAAAAACAATGCGGACATTGTTGGATATCTTCTCGAACATGGAGCTGATCCGAATGATAAGGACAATGTATTGTCCACCCTTGTCCTGATCACGATTAGACGGGTCGAAATACCCTCCATATCGCCTGTTGCCAGGGTGGCAACGAAACCATCGAAATTCTGCTGAAGAGCGGCAAAGTCGGAAACATAAACGAGCTTACAAACGTTTTCGCCTATGAATCATTTCATTTGATAGGATCGTCGTGATGTCCTTTCGCTCGCCATTTCTGGTAACTGCAGCGTCTACTCGATCGCTCTCCTCATGAAATACGGTGCTTCTGTGAACGTGTTTGACGAAGTGCATTTCATTACCCTCTCTGACGCCCAGCACAAGCGTAATCTGCTCCAGCAAGCCACTCTGAAAGACAATCTCCCCGTCCTCGACTTCCTCTACACCTACACCAACATCAACCTGAATCTCCTCGATTCCGTCTCTCTTCCTTTTCCTCCTCACTCCCAGCTCGGCAACACGTGTATCCACCTCGCCGCCGAGCAGGGCTACCGTCGCTGCCTCACCTACCTCATCTACCACGGCGCTATGATCAATTGTCGCAACAAAGCGGGGCTTTTTCCCGACGTTCTCGCGACCAACGCCGGCCACCCCGAGATCGCCGACTTTCTCCACGGAATCACCGCGCCGCCCGAACCTCCCTGCAAGATCGCGACGTTCAAGACCAGGCGGAAGGGCGAGGCCGAGCTGCACTGGGCATTGCCCGCGCAGCCGAATTATTTCCCGCCGATCGACGCCGTGGAAGTGCAGATCAAGCAGAACAAGTTTTTCGACTCCTGGAGAACCGTGGAAACGCTGAAGAGCGCCACGCGCGGTCCGGAGCCGGAGGACGAAGCGAAGCAGCGAATCGAAGCGATTCGGTTCGATCGGAAGTGTGGAAACGTGGAACCGATGGACGAGAAAGTGGAGGAACTGGCGAAGAGCGATCCTGCGGTGTTTGTGAAGCGGGCATTGCCGGAGAAGAACTGGGTATCGCCGAGTTGTGAGTGCGTGGTGGAGCTGCCGGTGGCGCAGCAGCAGTACGTGGTGCGATTGCGATGTGGAAACAAGTACGGGTTCGGAGCGTTCTCGAACGCGGTCACCGTGGAATTGAACGGGTTTGCACCGAAGAAGAAAGGGGAAAAGGAGAAGGAAAAGGTGGAAAAGGAGAAGGAGAAGGAAGAGGAAATCAAGTTTGAGTTTGTGCCGGTGGAGGAGAGTTCGGAGAGTTCGGAGAGCGAATCTTCTCCCGAGGAACGAAAACCGAAATCCAAATCCAAATCCAAATCCAAATCCAAATCCAAGTCCAAGTCCAAATCGAGTGAGAAATCGAAAACCACACCCAAAACCACACCTAAATCCACTCCCAAATCCACACCCAAGTCTTCTCCCAAGGACTCATCGGACTCATCGGACTCATCGGACTCATCGGACTCATCGGACTCTTCATCCGATTCTTCCTCGGACTCTTCCTCCGACAGCCCCGCGGCTCGTTCGCCCAAGCGCCACTCCGCTCCCCAGCCGCCGTCCTCCTCTTCCTCCTCTCAGCCCCCCAGCGAGGCCGCCGACGCGCTGATCCAGCAGATCCTCGACGGCGGCGTGCCCGTCGCCATCCAGCAGGTCGAGGCGCACGTCGACCTCCGCTCCCTCCGCACGCGCAACGGACAGACGCTCCTCATGGCCGCCGCGCGCAGCGGCCGCGACGAGCTTCTCCACTGGCTTCTCCAGACCGGCCAGTTCGACATCAACGCAGGCAACGCGGTAGTCCCGCGGGGATTCTTCGATCTAGCTGCACACGACGGCGCTGCACTTCGCGATCTTCAACAACCATCTCTCCGCCGTGCAGATCCTCGTCGACGCCGGCGCCGATCTCACCGCGCGCGACAATGTTCGGGTTTTGACTCTCCTTCACTGCAGGCGGAGATTTCCCCGTTTCTCCTCGCGGCCAGCAAGGGATCCATCGAGATTTGCCAGCTTTGCATGGAGCGACTGCCCGCCGCCGAGCTCCACGCCGTCGACAAAGTCCCAAAATACCCCCGATTTTACGCGTAGCTCGGGCGAAACGCCCTCGTGCTGGCGATGATCAGCGGCCACGTGGAAGTGGTCGGGTTTTTAGTGCAGCACGGCTTCGATATTCGGTTTACCACGCCGCCGCCGAGCGGGTGGAACCTTCTCTATTTCGCCGTCAGTTCCAAGAACTTAACCGCGGTTCAGTTCTGTCTGGAGGCGGGAATCAGTCCTTCCCGCCAAGTTCTCGACGGATCTTCGCCCATCGATTTTGCGCGGGAACGCGGCTTCGCCGAGGCCGTTTCGCTCATGGAGCGATACAGCGACGTGCCTCCCGCGGTTCAGACGCTCTCCGTCCGCCAGGCCGGCGAGCACGTGCAGCTGGTGGTGAAACTCCCGCCATTGGCGAGCACGTGCCCAGTGTTCGGGTATCGATCGATGGAAATCAGCGTGAAAGAAAACTCCTTCCTGGCCTCCGCGTCGCGCCAAATCCTCGATCTCTCCACCAGAGAAACTGGAGAAACTGGAGAAACTGGAGAAACTGGAGAAACTGGGGAAGTGGTGGTGGAATTGAAGGAGGTGCAGCGGCGGAAGCAGTACAACGCGAAGATCCGATTGGAGAACGGAAACGGCTGGGGCGCGTGGAGCCGCGCGATTCCCGCGGCAATCGAAGAGAAGAGCGAATCGGAAAGCAGCGAATCGGAAAGCAGCGAATCGGAAAGCAGCGAGAGCGAAAAAAGGGAAAAGGAGAAGGCCAATGAGTCCACGCTCGGCTCCATTCGACGCACTTTGGAGCGCAAAATAACGGAGCGCCTCGCCGACAAACCGCAGGAAAAACCGCGGGACAAGCCACACGACAAACCGCGGGAAAAAACGCACGAGAAGCCCAAGGAGAAGCAGCCCGACAATCCGCAGGAAAAACCGCGGGAGAGCTCCGAGCCGAATCCTCCAGCGTCCAATGAAACGGTCGCGGAGTCGCCTTTGCCGATTCCCGCGGAAGTGTCGGATGCGGAAATCTTGGCGGCGGCGTTGGCGGGAAACGTTTCGGTGCTTTCGACGCAGAGTTCGGAGCGTCTGCAGTCGCTTCGTTCGGCGGTAAATCGCTCAGAACCGCGGTGAAGCGTAGGAGGGATTGCCGCTGGTGCATTTCACGATTCTGCAGAGTCGCAGCAGCCACGCAGCCAAAGCCACGCTTCGCTGTTTGCAGGAGAAACAGTGTTCTCTGACCGAAACGGTCGATCTGGTCTGCGTTCGATTCGAATTCGATGTCTAGCCGGGCCTGCCGGGCGTTTCTCCGCTGTTATGTGCCTGTTTGCTGCCGGACGCGTCGCTGCTTTCCTTCCTTCTGGACCGCGCGGTTCCGCTCCCCACTTCTTCGTTTGCCGCCATTCCTTCCGCGCTTTTCTTCGCCCTCCTCGCTCCCTCCGCCGCGCCTCTCCTCCTTCTCGCCTCCCGCGGTACCTCTGTTTCTCCGTTTCCACCTAGGCGTTTCGCTGCGCGTGCTGGGCGAGCGGCGACGCAATTTGCTGCACGTGCTCTGCGCGCAGAACCCCGTGCGGCACTTCGAAGACGTCGCGCTGCAGCTGCTGGCCAAAGGCGTCGAAATTGACGCGGCAGACGAAGACGGAAACACTCCGCTGCACCTCGCGGTGCTCTACGCCAACCCCGCGATGATTCGCTTCCTGGTGACCCGCGGGGCGGCGCTGGATCGCGCCAATACCGCGGGAAAAACACCCGTGCAGCTAGCGACCGAGCTGAATATCAGCGAGGCGGTCGACGCGTTCACGGCGTGTGCGCGCGTGCCGCTGCCTCCCGCGGTTCCGCAAGTGTTTTTGTGTTCCGAGAAGCGATTGGTGGTGCGGTGGAAGCGGCCAATCAGCGGCGAGGGCGTTCCGGAAGCGACGTTTTTCGAGGCGGAAGCGACGGATTTGGGGAGCGGAGAGAAGCGAAGTCTGGGGAATCAGTGGAGTGGAGAGTGTAGGAGAAGAAGAAGGAGAGAGGTGATGGGTAGCGCTGACGATCGAAAACCCGATCAGTGAGATGGTGAGTGTGCGGGTTCGCGCGAAGAATTGTAATGGATGGAGCGAGTGGTCGGATCGTGGCGTGGCGCGAAGACGCGAGGCGGAGGAAGGAGAGGAAGACGACGAGCTGGCGGAGTGGATGTTTGTGCACTCGGTGGAGCAGTTTGGAGAGGCGGTGAGGAAGATGGGAGTGAGTTCGGTGGAGCAGATGCTGCAGTTGACGAGTAGCGATGTGGCGAGTTGGAGTAGAGGGGAGGAGTGAGGCGTAGAGATGAAGCTGAAGCCTATGCAGGAGAAATTGCTGCTTAATGCGATTGCAGAGGCGAAGAATGGAGCCGTGCCGGGGAAGACGGAGAGCGCGGAGCGGACGGAACGGACGGAGCGATCGTGGTTCCGAAAGTAAAGCAAAGGAGTTATAAGTGGAGTGTTTGTTGGGATGAAGGAAAGAGTATTTTGGATGAATTGAATGAGAATTGATTGATTGATTGAAGGTGGTGGAAGATTGGTGATTTGGAGAATAGTTCAAAGCAAAGCATCACACACTTATCTTTCTCTCACACACATACAACGCAAAACCATTTCACACAAATCCAAACGAAGTATAAAATAACAAATCCACTCACACACACACAATAGAAGTATCACTACTCTTGATTGTGAACAAACACACCATTTTACATTCACTATATTACGATCGATACACTAAAAATGACCGCAGTTACAGCAATTAGGCAGTAGTCGCATAAGCACGCTTCTTCTGATACTCGAACACCCCATTCTTCGCAGACAGGGAATACACAAACCCAGGCATGATCGTTCCCGCAATCAGCCGCTTGCTCAAGTCGGTAACGATCGCTCTCTCGATGTAGCGCTTCAACGGACGCGCTCCATACAGCGGATCGTACGCGTCCTTCATGATCTTCTCCAGCGCCGAATCGTCCGCCTCCAGCGCGATGTTCTGCTCCTTCAGGCGGTTATTCAGCTCGTCAATCTGGAGCTTCATCACCTTCTTCATCTGCTCATATCCCAGCGGATTGAACATGATGATCTCGTCCAGTCGGTTCAAAAACTCGGGTCGGAAGTGGCTTCGAATCACCTGCATCACGCGCTTCTCCGCTTCCTCGCTCACCGAAGGCATGACCTGCTTCTGATTTCCGCACATTCGCTTCAGATCCGAGTCCGAATCCGATGAGCTGCCTCTCTTCCGGCCTCCATTCTCCGCATTCATCGTGTTTTCTCGGTCCTGCAGCAAGATATCCGCGCCCAAATTCGACGTCATGATGATCACCGTGTTCGAGAAATCCACCGTTCGGCCTTGTTTGTCGGTCAGTCGTCCATCGTCGAACACCTGCAAGAACAGATTCCACACATCCGGATGCGCCTTCTCCACTTCATCCAGCAGAATCACGTTGTACGGACGGCGACGCACCGCTTCGGTCAACTCGCCGCCCTCTTCGTAGCCCACGTAGCCTGGAGGCGCGCCGACCAATCGCGACACGGAGTGTTTCTCCATGTACTCCGACATATCGATTCGCACGATGTGCTTCTCATCGTTGAACAGCTCCAGCGCCAGTTTCTTCGCCAGCTCGGTCTTGCCCACGCCGGTGGGACCCAGGAAGAGGAAGCAGCCAGTCGGCTTTCCTTCGCGCGAAAGCCCCGCGCGGGAGCGAAGAATGGCGTTGCTGACCGCCTCGATGGCCGCCGATTGTCCAACAACCTTCTCGCTGAGTCGCTGCGGGAGCTGGATCAAGCGATCGCGGTCGGAAGTGCTGAGGCGATCCATCGGAATGCCCGTCCAGTTGCTCACCACGTGGCAAATGTCGTTCGCAGTCACTTCTTCTTTGAGCATTCGCGAGTCTTTCTGCTTCTCGATCTCTTCTTCTTGGCGCTTAATCGCTTCTTCCAAGTCGGGAAGCACGTAATACTGAAGGTCGGAGGCACGCGCGGTGTCGTGCACTCGCTTGGCCGCTTCGATTTTGTTCTGCGTCTCCGCGACTTTGTTCTTCAATCGGCGGAGCTCGTCCATTCCTTCCTTCTCTTTCTCATGGCGCATCATCAGCGGCTTCAACTGCTCTCTTACTTCCTGCAGCTCCTCCTTCACCTTCTCTAACCGCGCTTTGCTGGCTTCGTCCTTCTCGTTCTCCATCGCCGTCTGCTCGATCTCCAGCTGCAGCTGCTTGCGCTCCAGTCGATCGATTTCCTCGGGCTGGCTGTCCAGCTGCACGCGAATGTTCGCGCACGCCTCATCCACGAGATCGATCGCCTTATCGGGCAGGAATCGATCCTGGATGTATCGGTGCGACAATTTCGCAGCCAAAACCAGCGCCGAGTCATCGATGCGAACGCCGTGATATCGCTCATAGCGATCTTTCAAGCCTCGCAGAATACTCACGGTGTCCTCCACGCTGGGTTCGCCCACATACACTTGCTGGAATCGTCGCTCGAACGCGGCGTCCTTCTCAACGTATTTCTTGTATTCCTCCAGTGTCGTAGCGCCGATGACTCGCAATTCACCTCGCGACAGCATGGGCTTCAGCAGATTCGCAGCGTCCATCGCGCCGTCCGTCTTTCCAGCGCCCAGAAGCAAGTGCATTTCATCGATAAACAGAATGATTTTGCCCTCGCTCTGCTTCACTTCGTTCATCACAGCCTTCAGTCGCTCTTCGAATTCTCCACGGTATTTGGCACCTGCGATCAGCGCTCCCAGATCCAGAGAGATCAAGCGAACGCGAAGGGTTTCAGGGACATCGCCCTGGACGATTCGGTTCGCGAGACCTTCCACGATTGCGGTCTTTCCCACACCAGGCTCACCGATCAGAACAGGGTTGTTCTTGGTTCGACGACACAGAATTCGGATCACGCGACGGATTTCCTCGTCTCGGCCAATCACAGGATCGATCTTTCCTTCCTCGGCCTGTTTCACCAGATCGACTCCGTACTGATTCAAAGCGTCGTACGCGCCTTCAGGAGCATCCGAATCGGCTTGAGCAGATCCTCTCTTCTCCTTAATAGCGTCGTCCAGCTTCTTCTTCGTCAAACCCACACTCTCGAACAAGGATTTCATCGTAGAGTCGTTAAACATAGCAGCCAGCACATGATCCTGAGCCACACGAGAGTCCTTCTGCGAAGTAGCATTCTCCTGAGCTAAACGAAGAATCTTGCTGAGGGAAGCACTGAAGTAAATCTCGTCAGGAAGAGGATCCTGCGTAGGGATCTTCTTTAACTGCTCATCCAGCTTCTTCTTCAACACTTCCACGTCGACTCCAGCTTTTTGACAGACAAGATAGGGGAATCCCTTCGGATCCTTTAACATAGAAACAGCTAAATGCACATTTGAAATCTCAGGATTTTTATTCGCTTTCGCCAGATCCTGAGCAGCAATTAAGTTCTCAGTTACGTAATTTGTAAACTTCTTCTGATCAAAAGACATATTTAAAAATATTATGAAGAAAAGTTGGAGCCAAGGGGAAGAACAATCTAGAAGACGATCGTTCTAGAAGCTTCTAGAATGTTCTAGAATGTTCTAGAATCCAACAATGCTCAAAAATGTCTCTTGTAGGGCTAGAACTCAAAGTAACGCGGGGGGATCATCTTGTTCATTACTCCCTTGAAAAGTGTTATGCCGGAGAAAACAAGGTATTTAGGCCACTCTGGATGCGCTGTTCGTCCGAATGCTGGCAATCTTTGGAAATCAACCCTTTCTTCTCCAACAGCACCCTTGTGCGTTATCCATGCATTTTTATGCTTAATAGCAATAATAAGAGTGTTTTTACGTGATCTCACTTCGAAAGTGCTGTCTTTACATTTCACCAATAGAATGAACGTATTCCAAACTCACTAGTGAACACTTTTTTCGACATTCTATAATTATTTTCAAAAGTTAATAAGATGAGTGAATATTATAATGTACCTTCGAGCCAAGGGCAATACGCCTACCCTGTTTTTGACCCGCATGTGAGTGGAGCTAGCTCTGCGTCCGCTCCTGCGAACCAGCCGAGTGGAGTGCCCTCAAACTTGAATAATTCAGTTCCTGTTCCTTCTTCTTCCCCTGTGAACCCGCCATATTCAGGAAACGTTCCTCCGAGCCCGAGCGCGCCGCAGCATATCTACCCTGTCATTCCTGATCCTCCAGAAATGTCTTATGTGCCTCCTGTGCCTTCCTATTACCAAAACACTCCTCCTGTTATGGTTCCCAATGCTGCACCTGTTATTGCGCCAGTTCCGATGCCTTCTCAACCCTCACCGTATGATCCTCCAATGCAAGGATCTCCGATGGCGCCTGCCATGGGTCAGAACATTCTCAACAATCCCGACGCGGAGTACTTCCAGAAATCTCCTGTGGAAGTGAGCGCCTACCCTACAATCCAGCAGCCAAAGGGCAGCCCTATCATTATCAATCTGGACACAAACAATGAAGATGTGGAAACTCAGAATGCCTTATTGGGTATCGGAATCGGCACTGTCGCAGCGATTGCATCGGGAGGTTTGCTGCTTCCCGTGATCGCTGGCGTCGTGGGTTACAATCTGATAAAGAAAGAGCGACAATCGAAGTTCAGCGTGTATCCCAATACCTACGTGTGGGAGCTGCGATCAGCGATTGCGGAGTTGCTGAAGGTGAATCCGGAGCTGGTTTTGATGAAGCGCAAAGACATGATCATGGATGATAATGAGATGATTAAGAAGTATGTGAAAGGAAGCAAGAGCAAGGCTACGGTGAAGATCAGCATTCAAAACGCACCGGTAGCGGGAAGTAATTATTACTCTCCAAACGGAGCAGTGTACCCAAGAGCGCAATGTGTGTCTTTAGTGAAGAAGTAAGGGTTAAACGCAATTTTGATGTTTACTTATCGTTTGTTTTTTGTGAAGGTGTGTTTGTTTGACAAAGGAAGGAAGTAAAACAAAGTAAAGCAAAGTATAGCCAGACAGCCAGACAGGACTATGATGGATGAAGTTGCACAGAAAAAGTGACGTTACGACCATATGACTATATTACTCGAAAATCATAAGGAAGAAACAACAATGGCATAATCGAAAGCAAGAACAAATATCTTCAGGATTCTCCCTACACCCGTCGACTCATCCCACAAAAGAGCAACCGTTCGCATGGTTTCAACAAACAATCCACATTACTTCATATTCGACGGATTATAAGAGAATCCGGTAAAAGCTGATTGATCCGTGAGAATCTTCCCCTCCATCGTCGGCGTTACCGCAGGAACCTCCGCCAAAAACTCGCGATCCACATTCCGGACATCGTCAGCTCCGTGCACCGTCGGTTTGAACGGCGGTACGACCTCCTTCCTCACCAGCTTCTCCCAGTCGATATCCGCAAACCAGGGATGATTCATGATGTCCTCGATGTTGTTCCCCAGCCGCGTCTCCGGCTTCCGATCGAGCAACCGGCTGCACAGATCGAATGCGTTCAGTCAAGCCCCCCTTTTCAAAGCAAAGGATATCTCTGCCGACATGTAGGAACACTTGCTGAGCGGTGCTGTTAAGATCTTGTTATACATGATGCGTCGGTTTTTGTCGTAGAACGGCGGCAGTCCCGCGATCATCTCGTAGATGAGCGTGCCGAGCGACCACCAATCGACGGCTTTGCCGTACGGCTGCGATGAAATGCATCGAATTCGATTACCTTCTTTTGGATGATTTCAGGAGCCAGGTATTCGGGCGTGCCGCAGAGACTGTGCAGTTCGTCGCCTTCGACGTTCTGCTTCGAGAGCCCGAAGTCGGTGATCTTGATGTGCCCATCGGAGTCGAGGAGGAGGTTTTCGGGCTTGAGGTCGCGGTAGACGATGCCTTTGCTGTGCAGATAGTGGAGGCCCATCGCGATTTCGGCAGCGTAGAAACGAGCGCGGTTTTCGGAGAAGCGGCCGTTGCTGAGGTAGAAGAAGAGCTCGCCGCCGTTGAAGAAGTCCGAAATGAGGTAGAGCTTGGTCTGGGACTGAAACGCGAAGCGCAAGCTAGTAAATATGGTGGAGAATGGGATACCAGACCAAGAATGGATGTTCACACTCTCCCATGATGCGTCGTTCGGCGAGAGTGTGTTCGTACTGGTTTCGGCTAAGGATCACGAAGCTTCGGTGAGATTACTCCATGACTACTTGTTTATCCAGGATCTTCATGGCATAGATTTTGCCGTCGCCTTTATATCGTACCTGGGGAGTCAAGATCGAACCGTGGAGCTTACCTCAAAAACCTTTCCAAATGATCCCTTTCCAATTGTTTTCAACAGTTCAAAGTCATTCTTTGTCATTTTAGGAGTCTCTTGCATAGGCTGCTGAGGCATTACGCTCTCTTCCGGAACTGCCTCGCCTTGCTGTTTCATCTTTCAATAAACAATCGAACGCAGTCGCTACCTTCTCATTTTTATTCCCCATGATATCAAAAAAACCATGATCATTTAGCAGTGATTACATAAATCCCTTGATTATCAAGAAATGATTGGGAGTAGAACAAACAATGCAAATGGCCTTGTTCCCAAGAGAATTATCATCAACCACGCTTACGCGACCAGAGTGGAGGCAGTGGCAGAGTTGCTAGCAATTAGATCTGGAAGGCGAGTCACCTACTACTTCCAAGTGGGGGGGAGCTGCTCAGTGCGCTTGTAGTAGCGAGTGAGACGGTGGATACGGCTCTCGATCAGAATCAGACGGAACTTGGAGTCACGGTCCTTTCGGTTGCGCTCCAGGTGCTTTCTGATGGCGACGGCCTTCTTGATGAGGAAGTACATATCCTCGGGCAGAGAAGGAGCCAGTCCTGAACCATTACTTCAAATACACAACACCTACCGTTCTTCTTCAGAATTCTGAGAATCTTAGAACCAGTCACGGCCTTCACCTGACCAATTCCCTTCTGATCTCTCAGCATCACACCGATCTGAGAAGGAGTCAGACCCTTCTTAGCCAGACGGCAGACGGAAGCCTCCACCTCCTCAGCAGTAGACTTGCACCAGGAAGGAGCAGTTCTCTTGTAGGGCAGGCAAGAAGCCGAAATACCCTTTCTATAAATAAGCCACTTCACGCAGCCACTCCATACCCCTTTCCGTACATACGACCCATGTTTGATAGTAAACGACTTAGGAACTAATGGAAATAAGTGAATAGGAAATCACCGGTTTGATACAGGAAAAAACATAATATAATTCTGGATAGCCTTCTGAAACCGTCCCTTTTTGAATATTCCCTGAGGATTTAATTCGACTTTACAACTTTGCTGTAAACACACATTAAGAATTCGATCCGTCCATTTTACCGTCATTCATTGAAATATTGGCTCCAAAATAGTCCTCAAAAGAAAGCTCTCACTTTCACTAAAAACTCTTTTTTGATTTTAAATTTGAATTCATACGATATGGTGAGGATACTGAGATCTGTTAACGTTCTAGCAGCAACTGAGCAGCATCATTGTAGAAATTTCAGAAAACAGTCAAAATCAACTAGTGGTCGATCTTCATGGTATTCAACCATCTCAACAGTTAAAAATAGATAGACAGTTATCCGATCCCGTTCTGGAAACTTTAGGAACGGCAATAAGTCAAAACAGTACAATGACTTCGTTAGACATCTCAGGGAATAATGTAGCGCCACTTTCACCTGTATTATCGATAGTTCTCGCCAGAGGCTTTGAATCAATTTATGGACTATATAGAAGGCTGTATTTCCTTGCGTAGTCTCAACTTATCGTAATTGTTGTCGACTGCTCACTCAATTTAGGGGTAACGACTGTTCGCAAGGAATATTGGAGAAAATACTAAATGCTTGCAACCAGTGTGGTGCCGTTACGTTAATTCTCAACAATGCCAAGTTCATCGCAAATCTCTTGCTTTACCTCTAGTATCACTTCAGATGATGTAGCGTCGATAAAGTACCCGCTTCCAGGATCAAATCTGAAAACTCTCTCCCTATGCGGAAACCCGATAGGCGATGACGGATTCAATCACTTGCTGTTTTATCTCGACACACTTCCCTCCCTCCAATATCTCCACCTCCAAAACTGCGGCATCACCGAAGCCTCCATCCCTTCCCTCACTTCCTATATAAGTAAATCTCCTCGTTTTATAATTTTTTAATCCGCTAGAATCGCATTCTTCTTTAAAAGAAGTGAACATCGAAGGCGAAATTCTCTCCGAAGAAAGCCGCGCAGAGCTCCTTCTCATCACAGGCTACAGCCACTGCTCCGTTCTCTGCACCAGCCCCTCCTCACCGTCGAATTCGATCGAATGGATTCAAAATCAGGTCGGAAATGGACATCGAATCGCCCTCGGACGTTTCTCCGATTCCACTTTCTCCCGAACAAAGCAAATTTTTGGAATGCTGGAAAACCCTCCAGGCGCTCTACTGGACCACCGTTTCCACCTTCCCGTCTCAACCCATTCCCGCGGTTATTCGTAGAGATATGAACATTCCGTTGGCCAATCCGCTGAATCTCCCGCTTCTCGGTCGATTTTCCACTTTTCGGGTCATTTTTAGAGACCAAAGTGGGCGTTTCGCAGTCGGTTTTGGCTTCGCAGATTCGGAGTTTCAAAGACGAATTGATTGCGGACCCTTCGAGCAGTTATTCGAGTTCGAGTTGTCCCAATTGTGGTCAATTAGGGGTAGAATCGTCGATTAGTGGCCCCATTCTGCATCTCTTCGTAGCGAATCTCCCGCTTCTATTGGCTGCTTTGCACGTGCCATCCGTAGATTCGATTCGAATTCTTTAGCGTAGTCGTTTGTGCTGTCGGATGGCGACATCGAATTCCAACTCGGAAGCCAAATTCGCAACACAGTCGGGCAGATTCCGAGGTGCGGACAGCTGCGAATCGATTTGGTGCTGCTTTGGGCCACGTTGGTTCATTTCGATCCCGCGGGAATCGTCGATTTTGTGATCCATGAAAACGTGATGGACGTGATGCTGGTAGAATCGCGAAATTCTTTCGATTTTAGGCATTGTTTGAGGAGTATCCGTGGAATAGTATTCTTCACAATGCGTGCGAAGTGTTTCTGACGGAAATCATTCTGTCGAAGAATCAGCAGTTGCTGCGATTTGTTTTGAGCGAGTCGTGTCTTTATTTGAAGTTGCAGAAGCGAATTCTAAAAGAACTGGAGGATCGGTGAGACGAAATGAGCGTTGAATGAAGCGTAGCGAGCGGACGGGACGCGATCAGTGCGGATTTATCGGCATTTTGTTTAGGTTGTGCCGAATGATGGACGATGCTGCGGAGAAAGATCACGATTTTTCGCAGTGTTTGTGGGAGGGAAAGAGCAAAGGAACACTGACGGACGAGGAGCAGGAGCGATTCAACGACTTCAAGACCAAGAATTTCGAGGTGGTGAGTGCGGAGGACTCGGATACCTATGATTTTACGGTTTTTTGGATTGTTTGTTGGGAGAAAGGAGAGCGTTGAGTTGAAATGTTGGGTTCGAAGAGATGAGAAGGGTTTGCTTGCTTGCTGATGGATGCTGCATCGAGTAGAGCGAAGAGTTTGGTAGACGGAGCAGAGTTGGATGATGAGGAAATGCAAAGTTAGCGTGGTGATATCAATAGATTTCTTTCAAAAAACAAGTGAAATGATTGGTAAAATGTTCATTCGTAGCGTGTTGCTGTGTTATTGATGAACAAAAAGTCTCGCTAATTTTCTAAATGTTTGCCTTCGACGAGATCAGACAAAATGGGAGGAACATCTAAATAGACAAAGAACAAATGTGATTCTACTCGTGATTTCTTTTTCCTGAACATATTTAAACGATCCAGGAAGGAATACATTCTCTAAAGCAGGCAAATCTATGATATAAGCAACACGCAGATATGAGCAATAAATACTCTTTAATATGACTCTGTGAGGATATCGAAAACTCCATCCTTGCGGACTGAGAATAAACATCAACTTCGGAAGGTCTAGAACGGTTAGTGAAAGAAAGAAATCAATACTTTGCATCTTGAGTGTACATGATGTGTCACTTACTCCATAGAGAGAGGTTTCTCCGAGATAAATCGATTGCAGATTCGGAAGGTCTAGGTTTTGAAATCATCTTTGTGATAATACTCGAAAAAATAATCTTTCTGCATTCAGAGAATGACCGATATCCCAACGAAATGTACTTCAGATCGGGTAAATCTAGACAGGGTTATCAGAATCAATGAGGAAAATACCCTTCACAATGAATGAAGCGAAATAGAAATTATAAGATCTATAGTCCATAGACCCAATTTGAAGGGATTTCAGTTTTGGTAGATTCTTCAACTCAAATTTACCAGCAAAATCACTAAAACTCCACTCACCAATTTCAATGGATTCCAATGATTCACAATTCAATATGTGGAATGATTTTGATTGGTTGTTGGCCTTTTCATAATCAAACTTCTCAGTACTTTTCATTGGAGTGAAGGAATTCCTTCCGATTTTCAATCGACTCAATTTATGCAATGCATCAATTCTAAAAATAGGCACAGACCCAAAGCAGTGGCTCCCGATTTCGATTGATTGTAACAACCCAAATTTGCTCAGGTCCAAGAGATTTATGTCATTGCAGCTATGCGAAGAGACCTTTAACTCGGTAATCGATACGCTTATGGTGTTGAGATCATTTGCTCGAAAAATTGATCCTGTCAGTGATTTGGATGCCATTGCATGAGAAGGTTTACACAAAGTTTTATTGCCAGAAGCATCCTTTTTTTGTGTATTCTCATACTGCTTATCCTGCTTAGCAGTATTCTCAGTCTGATTATCTTGTTTAGAAACACTCTCAGACTGATTATCTTGTTTAGAAACACTCTCAGACTGATGATCTTGTTTAGAAACACTCTCATATTGCGCATCCCTTCTATCACCTAATTGGGGCTGAGGACAATACCACCCATCATGTAGATCCACTCCACTCACTTCCTTCCCATTTTCCCAATGACACTCTCGATAAGCGAGTCTAGTCTTTTGATCAATTAAGCTTCCTATACCTTCACGAATAAATGTTTCACTGTCTCCATCATAGCGAAAACCTCCCACATAGATCGGAACTCGTTTCACTGGATCTAAACTATCTGCTCCGTTTCTCTTCAATTCAGTCATTGTATCTCCATCAAAGAGCCGAATGATCTCAATCAACGCTCCATTGCTCCAAATCCCTTCAATGACCATTTTCCCGTTCTCTCTATCACATTCAATCCCCCATCCATCTCTCTCGTTGTTTTTATTAAATAAACCGTGGTAAATATAATTTTCCGTTCTATAATCCGTTATTTCCAAACGAGGTCCTTTCTTGTGATTGATGATACGAGAATAGTCATTTTGTTCAATTATGTCTTTGTAGCTTTGACGAAAGTCAACCCGACCTCTTTTGTAAACCACAAATTCATCATGTAACAACCCACAGTTGTTTTCCTTCCATTGCATTTTTGTCACGCCATTTTCGTACAAAATTGCATCACCGGCCGGAGTACGCATTACATATTCGTTTTTGTGTTTCCCTCGAAAGTACTGAATAGTATATGTCTCTCCATTCTGATTTTTTATTATAGGTTCATCATCAAACTCATATCCATTCAACAAGTACTCTGAGCCCTTTGTTACCGAATAAGTTGCTATTCATCAAGACAGTAATCAGATAGTACATTCAGAATGCATTTTTTATAAGATCGAATAAACTGTAGGAGATATGAATCTTTTAAATAACTATGTTGAACTATTTCACAATTTAAAAAGTATACAATGGATTTATATGATGTCTAGAGAGGTTTTTTCAATGTCAAAAAGCTCTAGTAAGGCCTTCGTGTTAATTCCACTTTTGGTTGATATCATATATTTTTAGAGTGTAGCTGTATCATTCTTATTATTCCTCGTTATTTCTTTGCTTAAAATAGTCATTATCGTCAAAAACGAAGTATAGCGTATAACTGTCATATTAAAATTGAACATTTTTGTCTTTATCATGCTATTAGCAGTGATAAATGCTCTCTATTGTTTCTTGTATATTCGATGTCTACACGCTATCCCGTTTTCCTTATTTCCATAGCATTGAATTAATATTATGATACATACTATATAGCATCAGCTTAATCACTTATTCTTGGCTATGGAATATGGAGAAAAGGATTACTAGATATGCAATTCCATGCTTATTTGAACTGTGAAACGTGAAACATGGTTATCTTATATGATCTGCATGTTTTGGGTTTGAAAGAATATATGTACTCGCTAACTCTGGACTTCTGAATAAGCTAAACTATGTCAACATTATTTGTTGGAGTTCTATCTGTTCACATTCATGCATAACTCACCCAACTCATCAAGGAAGCTTTGAGTTTAATAACTATTTTGGTATAATTGCAGTAAAGAGTGATGTATTTTGGTTTTGGTAAAAGAGTCACTATCTCGTACACTCTACAAAAATCACTGTTATTCAGTAGAAACAACACTCATTAGAGTGTTTTTATTCAACTCTATATGGTAAAAGTAATGTAAGAACAAGAGTTAACTGGTAACAAAACACAAATAATAACGAATCAACTTTTGAGACAGTACATTGGGTACCTTATTGTTTCCGAGTTCTCTAACTATTATCGGTCCAAGGTATATATTAGGCGCATCTGTGAAAGTGACATATTGTATTCTTACTTACTGATAATGGATACTATTTGGACATTCTCAAATCCCTTTTCGAGCTTAACAAAATTAATCATTGGAATGTCTATATTAAGTAAATTAGTATCTTTTTAAACTACTCTCCAATGTTATATTACGTGGATATTGGAAACTAAATCCTAGAGAACTAATGGTTGTTAGCTTTGGAAGATCTGCATTTAATCATATCACATTATTTCATTCATACTTCGCATTACTAGTGAACATGATGAATCTATTTCTCTTCCACAAAGTGAATAATAACCGAGATTGATAATTCGTAATGATGGAAGATCTATATTAATCATTTCATTTATATTCCTTCATATATACTTTCGATTATTGTTGTCAAGGAATGACGGAATGCTTCATCACCTAATGTAATGGATTGTAGATTTGGAAGATCTAATCATTACGTGTTTTATATCATATCAATACCTCGAATTACAAAGGAACTACCGTAGAAATTAAATGAATTGCTTCCAATTTCACCAATGTCTATAGATTGTAATTGTGGTAGATTCTTCAATTCAAAGTCTCCAGCAAAATCACAAAAACTATATTGTCCAACTTGAATAGATTTCAATGATTCACAATTCAATACGTAGAATGACTTTTCGTAATCTTCAATCGGATTATTTCTAAAATGGAGTCCAGTTCTTCGTTCAACAAATGAGCTTTCAAGAATTCTGAGAGTTTTCAGTCGTTGTAACCCATTGATTTTGCATACTCTAATGTTTGTATACCTATTATTTGAAATAATGGCATCTTCTCCATATTCCTGTGGTCTCTCTGTGGTGTTTGGCTCAAAGTCGACAATTAGAGGACAGAGAGACCAGATTTTCCTGAGATAGTAATACAGAACAATACACAGAATTAGAATTATAATACAATAAGTGAATTTATAGATAAGCGAGTCAATACAAAGGTCAAATGCGACCAGAATCACTTCAAAAATAACAACCATTCGAATAATCCATTTAGTATATACGTTTTTCTTCATCCCATAGATCCATTCTCCGGTATACTTTTCAGTACCATCCTCATTATACGATGTTCCAAACCCTGCTCGCTTTCCATTTATAAAATCACCAAAATACTTCACATGCTGTATATCTTTGTCGTATTCTATTCCGCTTCTTCGTTCAAATCCTGTATAAATAGAACCACTGTACGTGCCATAATAACAAATTACATTGTTTTTGAACAGACTCATGCTTTCATCTCCAAATTTAATAACTTGCTCTATCTCAGCATTATTCTGGCAATAGCATGCTCGGTCTAGTTTACCATTTTTATAAAAATAGCACAGACCATTATTGTTTCCAAATGCATCCTTCTCGCAAACAGATGTTGTAAACCCAGAATAATCCTTTTCCTCCCAATAGCCTTCCATATTCTCCACTCTTTTTATATTCTCATTTTTCACTCCAAAATGATAATATCCTTCAAATATTAGATTTCCATTACAATCATACTCTTTCCCTAAACCATGTCGATAGCCTTTTAACAAGTAACCGCTAAAAAATAAGTTACCTGATTCATAATATAATTTACATTGTCCGGTCATTTCACTTTCAACATACATAAAAGTGGCAATTACCTTATTTTGAGGGTTAGTCAATGTTGCTTTTCCTTCCAGCTTTCCACTTTTAATTTTTGTTTGAATGGTGTATTGTTGATGAGGAGGACCAATGCTCAGAACAACTGCTTTTTTGTTATGCTCCACTCGTAGAATAGGAAATTGCTCAGGAATATGCGAACTCCATACTACTTCCTCAAATGACAAAGGACGTTGGATTTTTGGTTCCACTTGTATAGGTGCAATTTCCAACGTAAGATTCTTAACTGCATAGCTCGCGCTCTCTGTACTCATCATATATTTTGCTATTATTGAAGCTTCATTTTTGTTAATATTCGTTGAATCACTTCATTATCCTATGTTTGAAATACAAGAATCAAGGTTTTTAACGTGTTTTATTTACTATTGTCATTGATTACAAACAGAATTGCTAGTGGATAGAATGGGTATCGTTGGAATGCCCAAAAGGTCACTGTGTAATCTATCAATCTTTGATATCCTGTTGTGAATGCTTTTTATATTTTATTATTATTATAATTAGTTGGATACAATCTTACCAACTTTGAGATGAAAACCCAATTATGGGTAGAAAGCGTGACATTATCTCTGATAATGATTACTACTATAATTTGCCAATATAATGGAGAGAATAACCATCCACCTCAAAAACTATTTACGTGTGCAACAATCGGTTGTCTTTTAAAAGATTCAAAACCAAAGGCAAGCTCACAAGTCTCCTATCCATTCCATGGATACATTGCGATCTGTCACCATCACTCCTGTTTTCAACAAAGACTTCTACATAAACGTACAAACTACTCGCTCTCGGTTTCCTCAGAATACGAATATCCCGAATAATCCTCCGAATAACTCTCTTCCGCGCCCTTCTCCACATCCACCGCCATCGCAGCGGGCTGCTTCCGCTTCCTGCGAACGACCCAGACGATCACTCCAATCACCACCACCAAAACCACGACGACGACCACACAAACAGCAACAATGGCTCCAATATTGACCTTCGACGTCATCTCGATCTCCCCTCCCAGCTCGATCTTCGCATCGAACCATCGCGAATCATACGCGATCATTCTCCGATGCAGCGTCCCCTTCTCCACAATCGTCTCGACCGAACTCTTCGTCTTCTTCACCTTCTCCTTCTCTCCCATCACGCGGAACCAAACCTCCACCGGCTTCCCTTTTTCTCCCATCGACTCCATCGTATCCACGTTCTTCACCTGCTCCATCAGCAGCGCGGCCGTCGGCAGATCGTTCGCTCGCACATACTCCAGCAGCTGCTCGTACATGTAGAAATGCTGGTCCGCGACGAACTCGCTCGGGTCGATTTCGATCTATTTCGCAATCGTTCGTCGGCTCTACTCGCAGCAGCGCGTGGAAGAACGCTTCTCCCACTTCCAGCTGCGGATCGGCCTCGAGATCCGCGCATTCCGAAGTCAGCTCGTCGGCCCAGATGCCGTTGCCGGTCTCGCCCATGATGCAGGAGCGGTAGAGATAGCCGTGTTGTGTCTCGGAACAAAATCCACGGACTTGATAGCCGATGGCTGCGGACGACCAGATGGACTCGCTCGGACAGCCGACGCAGCCTTCGTTGTCGAGCTTTTTGAGGGAGGAGGGCTCGATGATTGGGTAGAAGCGGGAGATGCGGACTTCTTTGGAGGAGGCTGATGATGAGATGGAATGGAAGAAGGGTACGGAACTTCACGTAGAAGGTGGTGTTGGAGCCTAGGAAGTCGGAGCCTTGGATGACTCCGTTGGAGGAAGTGCAAACAGTACGTCTGGAATGAAGAGAAAAGAACAAACAAACTTCAAGGAGACTTCGACGTCATTCGACAAAGAGGGGACACAGGTTACACCCAGAGTCGACAATACATTCACATTTGATGATACAATGAGGTAATCAGATACAACAGAAAAATGGGATATATAGTCTATCTGTTATAAGCTTTTAAGAATTCCACCTCCCGCGTAATCAATATCTGTATCATTCACCTCAGTTTCGTAGCTAGACGTGAAAGGCAACCACAATTCAATACACTGCAGTAGTGATAAGGGCAGGATTGTCGTTACAAGTTGAAGACAAGTAGTAGCGATGACTTTCTCTTATCTCGATTACAACATTGTCCACAACACCAAAAGAATAAACAGTACGACGACCAAAACCTTAACGTTAGCAATAGAATGTTGTGGTACTTAGGAACCCAGTACAGTCCCCTGTAAAACGACCACAGTCTACGATTCACTTTCCTATCGAATTCAAACACTGTGATGTCGCAACTGCTAGAAATAGCAGAGATATGAATATTTTAATCATTTCAAAAACGATTTGAAGACTGTACTACAAAAGAGTGTTCAAAACGGGAAAGTGGATTTGACAGAAACACAATAATGATCAATCGTTAGAATAAAACAAGTTGAAAAATGCTCTAAACATTGCGAAAGATCGTTTAGTGCAACATATCCATCGGTAGGAGCGAAGAGATTTTGTGCTGTTAGAATTAACGAATACTACCCTTGGAAATCGCTAGCTGTAACGTTGAATTAGCAGTATAGCAAATGTTAGTTCAAATCGTTAAAAGTTTTCATAGTAATTTCAGCATGATCACTGTACAGGTCTCTGCTCTATTTGTTAGGTTTCACTTGCTTTTATCGCTTGTATTTACATATTTGAAAAATGGGTAAGTTTGTCTTTGGATTGGTGGTCTGCAGTGTAATTCTAATCGTGGTGTAGGTATTTGCCGCGATTCTCGCCATAAGCGTCGTTTGACCGGAGGAAAGGTTGTGATCAACATCAAGAAGAGAAAATTCGAGATGGGTCGTCAGCCTGCTATGACCAAGCTCGGAGCCAAGAGAATTTATCTGGTCCGCTGCCGTGGTGGAAACATCAAGCACCGTGCTATTCGTCTGGATACTGGTTCGTTCTCTTGGACCGGAGAGGGTGATTGTTGTATAGTGAAGTGATTTGTAGCTTTCTCTGCCAAGACCAAGATCCTGAACATTGTATACAACGCTTCCAACAACGAGTTGGTGCGTACGAACACCATTGTGAAGGGCTGCATTGTTTCGATCGATGCGACCCCTTTCAAGGCCTGGTTCGAGAAGCACTACTCGTGCAAGATCGGAGCGAAGGGTGAGGTGACGAAGGACGATCTGAGCAAGCTGGAGGGCGTGAGCAAGTCGAACCTTGCGAAGCTGCAGAAGCTCCAGGATTCCCTTCAGGAGCAGAAGGAAGTGATCGATCAGCTGGCTTCGGGTAAGATCCTGGCTCGCATCTCGTCGCGTCCTGGTCAGTGCGGTCGTGCTGACGGATACATTCTGGAGGACGAGGAGCTGGCGTTCTACCACAAGAAGATCAACCAGAAGAAGAAGTAAAGCGAAATGTCCTATAGTTCGAAGCAATACAAGTGAAAATGGTTCCTTTGTTTGTTTTATCCAACCAACCAACCATCCATCTATCTATTCTTTATTATTATTATTATTGAAGAGCGATACCATACAAATAAACAAACAAATGGAAAGGAAAAATCAGAAAAAACTAACTATTCTTTACATGCAGCGATTCGTCGTTCCAGCTCCTTCATCTTCTCATAAACAACACCCCATCGATTCCTACCTTTCTCTGCATTTCTTTGATTTGTTTATCGCGATCTTCGATCTCCATCATCAAATCACGCTTTGACTTCTTCGTAAAAAGCGGCATTTGAAGCAGTTCCTGCGCAGACGGCCGCTCCACCGGATCCAAACTCAGCATTCGCGTGAGAACTTCCTGATACTCCGGGAAATCCCTCTTGATTTCCTCCGGGAGGTTGGAAGGATTGACGCGAACGTTGTGGAACGTCGTCAATCGATGCATGTCCGTTTTAAACATCCTATCCATCACGCCTTCGCGTCGTGTTCACATTAGAAGCTCTAACAGAATCAAACCAGCGCTGTAGATGTCGGAGGAAGTGTTATAGCTCGACGAATTGAGCTGCTCAGAGCTACAATCGAGCGGTGCTTCGAGGAATACCTCGCGTAGGTCGTGGTTCCAATTCCGGAAGTGAGAGGCTCGTAGATCGCCGCAGCGAAGGAAGGCGAAGATAAAGACGCCGAGCTGAGCTCGCTGTGAGAAAATGGTGAATGCTGGGAGGAAGAGGAAGGAGAAGAGGAGGAAGAAGAGAATGAAAAAGCGGAAGAAGAAGAAGAAGAAGAAGGAGATGAAGAACGTGTTAATGATGATGAAGATGAAGAGAAAGAAGAAGTGCAAGAAGAAAAAGAAGAAGAAGAAGCAACAGAGGAAGAAGAACAGCTCACGACGGTTGGAGAGGATTGCGAATGGATGAATTCAAACGCGAACGCGTTGGACGCTTCGCTGGACACTTCGTCGGAAGGGCTGCACGTCGAGCTGTCCGCGGAGTCGCTCAGCGGCGTGATGATAATCGAAGAACTCGGCGAGTTCCGGCTGGAAGGGTACGTCACTTCGATGGGAGGCTTAGAAACGCGCGGATGACTTGCTTGCTTGGAGGGGAAATGGCAATGGCAGTCTTCTATCGATCCAAATCAAGTAGAAAGCCAACGTCGACGCGAAGCAATCAGCGAAGCGAGTCCGAAATCGGCGATTTTGACCACGCCCTCGTGAATCAGAACGTTCTCCGGCTTCAAATCGCGGTGAATAATCTCCTTCGAGTGGAGATACTTCAGCCCCTGAAGCAGCTATCTCTCATCTCTCCTCCCCTCTTCCACCTGGCGGAAATAGTCCAGCCGAACGCTCAGCGGCGCGTCGCGGCGATTCAGAAAGTCGCGCAGCGAGCCGTCCGCGCAGTACTCCATCTGGATGTACAGGCAGTAGCTGCTGTGCTCGGATTCCTCGCGGGGAACCGGGGCGATTTCCGCGGGAACCATCGCGTACAGAGAGGAATCCAGGCTTGACGAGGGGTCATTGGCGGGTGTTTTCTGAACGTAGTCGTTGTAGAGAATGCTGTCGGGAGGGATGGGAGAGAAACGGGAAGCGGGGAGCTCCGGATCGATGGCGTATTTGTTGGTAACCCCGAAACTATCCGGAGAATCGCTCGGAGAAGAAGAAGAAGAAGAGGATGAAGATGATAAAACAGGGAAGCCTGAAGAATTCTCCGATCTTGGAGTCAGTGGAAGAAGGAAGAGAAGACAGCTCTTCGAGGAGGGTGCTTCCGAGCTCTTGCTCGATCCACGCGGAATTGTAGCCGACGATGTGCTTGTAGCGAAGAGTGGAGAGCGTTACGACTTCGCCACGAGCACGCTTGAGGGCCTCCGAACCCTGCGAATTCATTCTAAGAATGAGGAGAGATTTAAAAAGAGACCGAAATCGAATGAGTTTGATGGCGTAGAACTGCTCGTCGAAGAGTTGCTTGGTTTTCCAAACAGAGCCGAAAGCTCCTGAACCGATCTGTGAAACGCACTAGTTGTGAAGCAGAGAAAGAATAATAAACCATGAATTCAGAACTAAAGCGAGATTTCTTCACGGGACAATACGATCCGACATACAAACAAGAATCAAAAGCAGAGTCCTATCCGTCATAACAAAATCGATTTTATACTAGTTCACTGATAAAAGAATATGTTTTCATGTCTTCTAACAAGTTATCTAGAGTATATGACATGTTGTTTACACGATCAACTAATGGCCGGAGAATACTACTGTTATGTAGCACTTTACGATCCATCCTTCATATGACAAATAAACAATAGTGAAAACAGCTTTATTGCCATGCTTATAAATTGGTTGATACCCAATCCACTTGCTTTACACAACTTGAGTAGAAGATAGCATATTGTTAGCTGTGATTTTCTGATTTCCTCTTCTCTTTCATTCGGAATAGTATTTTCAATATCACAACGGACCAATGCACCGTAGTTCTCATTAAACGTATCGAAGTCGACACTCATACTTGGCCGTTAAAGAAACACCTAGAAATCCGATAATTGCACAAACTTAGAAAAAACTAACAAAGTAATGAAAACGAAATGAACTAGCTGTGCAACTTGGTGTTGTCAGCACATGCTGTACTGTACATAATGTTGCTTAATCGGTCAACTTAGCTAATTCCAAATATCAGTCAGATTTTTTCCATTCTTCTTTTTCAATCAAAGAACCTCTTGGGATTAATTCGACTGTTTTTAGTATGAACACAGAATTGCCATCTGTTGAAAAGGAATGTAGGTCGTAATAGGAAATTCTAACCTCAATAGTCTATCCTCAAGGATTTGTGTTTAATAATTGCGACAGGTTGGACTTTGGTTGTGCGGTGGTCTGATATTTTAGAAATAAAGTCCTGGAAGATAAGTTTAAGGTAACTCCTGCTTTTAAGAAGACTGGAACCACGATTGTTGGTTTAATTTACAAGGATGGAGTGATTATCGCTGCAGATCAAAGAGCCACGACGGACTCTCTGATTGTTGACAAGGAGTGTCTGAAAGTGCATTATATTGCTCCGAATATATACTGTTGTGGAGCTGGAACTGCTGCGGATGCAGACGAAATTACAGATCTTGTAAGTCACCAACTTGCTTTAATGCGTCTTCAAACTGGCAAACAAAGCCGTGTCTGCTCCGCCATGCAGCTGTTTGCGGACCGTCTGTTCCAATACCAGGGTTATATCTCTGCCGCGCTGATCTTGGGTGGATGTGACATAGATGGAAGCCATTTATATGGAATCTGGCCAAATGGAAGGTTTTAATTTCACAGTCTGGATTGAATATAGCGTTGATTCTCTTCCGTACGATACATTGGGATCGGGCTCCTACGCTGCCATGTCGGTTTTGGAGCATCGATACCGTCCGGATATGGAAGAAAACGAGGCCATCGAGCTGGCAGCGGACGCGATCAACGCAGGTATTTTCAACGATCTTGGTTCGGGAGGATGTCCGAACGTTCGAATCATTCGAAAGAATGGAACGAGCGATTTCCTGTACGAGTACCGAAGACAGAACAAAGTGGAGGACTTCCGCAGACAGTATGCTCGTCCTGCGACGCTGAACCTGCCGCCAGGAATTACCAGTAGGAAGAGGAAGAGGAGGAAGGTGAGTTGTAGCGGTGATTTCGGAGAAGGTGACGATGGTGGAGAGAGATTAAAGAGATGGGTTTGTTTGTTTGAATAATAATGGATGTTGTGATGTGTGCTGCGTTAGTAGGATCAGAAGAGGGAACTGGAGAGGATTTGTTATCAAGAATCAACGTAGATAAAAGAAGAGTGTAGCGTGGATTCAATAGCATGCTTTACGATAGCAACATTAATAACCATTAGTTGTTGCTGATTATTAATTCCATTTACTATGAATCGACTCCCTCGTTCTCTTTGAATTATAATAAAATAATAATAATAACTACAGCAACGAATGCTTTGCAAACGATTAAAGTTATAATCGAAATATAACAAATGCATCTTGACGATTACCCCATCGATCCTCTATACTAACAATTCGATATTCCACTCTGAATTCCCTTTCGCCCCTTCTCATTCCCTGTTTCAGTCACTCTCCTCTTCGATCCCTTTGTATATCAAAACAAACACACCATAACAAGGGAATAACATGATCAGGAATTGGCATATTTTCATCTTCAATATACCGTTGTAGCCACTCCTTTCCTCGTTTTGTCTTACCCAGCACGGTACCCAGCGTCTTTGGAGGCAGCAAATAGAGCAATTCTCCCGAATTCTTATCGCACATATTCACCAAAGTCGCCAGCAAATCGATATTCAAATCGGACATCTCCTTCGTCTCCTTATTCAGACACGATCCCAGCGTGCTGCACAGCTTCCTCACCGCCTTTCTCCGATTATCCACCATCAGAATCGCCAGAATCAGCACGGTCTGCGACACTTCTCTCTCCTCACAGCTCTGCAAAATCGCGCTGAACACGTCCTATCGCTTATTTCTCTTCTCTTCGCCCACATCGTCCAAGAAATACTGGTTCTGCACGCATATCTTCAGACACTCGTTCGTCTCCTTCCCTTCTCCCTCGCACAAACACGCGATCACTTCGCTGCGCTCCAGAGGGAACGGATGCACGCCGAGCTGATCGAAGAGAGCCGGGATGAACTGCATCGGGATCGAGGGGAGTTGGCGAAGCGTTGCGCGCGCTTGGTCCGGCGTCATCCAATTAAACAGAGCGAAGAGGAAGCGAAGATCGTTGGTGGCGTGGTACATCGCGGTAACCGCGGAATAGAACGTGTCGTTCTTTGGAATTCGATAGATTTGGACTACATCGCACGCGAACCCAAAGCGAACAGCAGGATTTGAGGATCGGGAGAACGAGTTCGCGGCTTTTGTCGGCGGCGTTCGCGAGCATCTGCATCATCTGCGCGTATTTGGCGTAGTTTGGGTCCTCCGTGTTGTACGTCAGCAGCTCGTCGCTGTCGTCCAGCTCCGTCTCCGCGCGCGCCACGACGATGCTTTCGATGTGCGGCAAATACTTCGCCAATTGGTTCTGGATCTAGAGAACACGCGCGCAGAGCGAGCTACGAGCTGGGTTTTCGCGTCGATCGCCATGCTCTCCAGCGAGCCCAGCGACTCCAGAAGGCGCGGGAGCGCTTGGATCTGCACGGCTGTTAGCGCTAACAGAGGCAGCACGCGCGAGAGCTGCGGGAGCTGCTCGAGAATGGGCCTCTGCCGGTTGTTGCGGGCGCGCTGCATGGCGGTTTCGGGCGTGACGAGCGTGAATTGGCCGGCGCGCTGCACGACGGCGTCCTCGGCGATGGGCGGGAGGACGAAGACGCCGTCGTGGAAGGCTGCGAACTGCTGGAGAGTGCGGGCAAGATGGGAGTGGGGATCGTCTTGAAGAAGAAAGGCCTCGAGATAGTGCTGGATGGCCGGAGAGCCGCGAAGCAGACCGATCATCGCTTGGATCCACGCGTTCGACGCCGTGGAAGAGCCGCCATTCGAGCTATTGGTTGTGTTAGTACTATTGTTATTGTTTGGATTATTCGTGTTGTTGTTGTTGTTGTTGTTGGTAGGGTTCTGGTAGGACTTGGAAAGACCCAGCATAGCGGCTAAGGAGCGAGGAACCAGCGAGGGCAGCTTCATCAGATCGACCAGCACCTTCACGGAGAAGTCGTCGAGCAGCTGCTTGGCCGTCTGCGAGAAGCTCGTGATCATGTACACGAAGACTTCGTCGGGAACGCGGGGACACTGCGTTAGTAGACTCACCAGGTCCGACGCGCAGGAAAGATCCTCCGTCTCTTCCACACGACGGTCTACTCCGTTAAAAAGGGGAAACGGGGAAACAGAGAGAGTCGAGATAGGAGAGGATGAAGTGGTCGGAGACCTCCATGTAGAGGGATTGGGGCTCATGTCCCAATTGTGCGCAGCGTTTTTGGTAGATTTTGTCCCGAATATATAACTACAAAAAGGGCCTTTTTCTGGAAATACTCGTCGGAGAAACGCCAAAGCGAGCGAAATGTTGGAGCCCGCTTCGCGACAAACCATTCCGAAGGGATGTTCCTCGGCGATGGTTTCTCCCGCGGGATTGGCGATTTCCTCGGAGGGGTGAAACACCTTTCGAATGATCTCGAAGACTAAAAATGAGCGGGAAGGCGAAGCCATGCCTTGGTTTCGATCCATCACCGCGATTAACGACACAATGGAATCGAGCGAAATGATTGGCGCACGACTTTCGATCTGCGTCTGGGAGGTGAACGCGAGGATGCGTGTAAGAGCGGATCGAAGGAGTTGGGATCGCACGGATTCATCGAGGAGGTCGGTTTCGGTGAGGGAAGTGCGCATGGCCTTGACGCGTTTCTGCAGATCGACGGACTCTCTGTGCCGTTTGAGCGACGCTGCGTCCATCTAGCGGTCATCCAGCGAGTCCTGAAGCCAACGCGCGGCTGGTTGAAGAGGTTCTGCATGACCAGCGTGGCGAGCATGGCGACGGGCAGCCGCTCCAACCGCGATAGCGGGACCATCGATCTGCGCTTCACCGGCTCGGCGGACGCCTACAAGTCCATGGCCGGGGCGCGGAGCGTGCGGAGCAGCTCGGTCTTGAGCAGGGCGTCGACGGCCTGGACCTCCTTCTCGTAGAGCGTGTCGCGCCATGTGCTCATGGAGAACGCGAAGGGAGGGTCCAGAGGGAGAGGACGATCTGCGGAGAAGGGAAGGAGAAGCGGAGACATTGGACTTGCTGGCGCTCGAAGTGCGCGGCGATGTGCTTGCGCTGGTCGCGGCAGCGGTCGATGGCGTCCTGGCGTACCTCGTTGGCGCGGAGAAACTGGAGAATCTGGGGCTCGTAGGCGATGAACTAGCGGTGAAAGGGAGAGAAAAAGAGAGGAACGGAAGGGAGCTTGAGGAGACGGAGCATGTTGGAGAGAATCACGAAGCGGATGGCGTTGTTGGAGATCTAAAGAAGAAACAAGAGGAAGGCGACGGCCCACTTCGTATTGCAAAACCACGGGGAGCAGCACCGGGATGAAGTCCTTGCGGTGCGTCATCAGTGAGAACAGCCCGTTCACCGCGATTATTTTGTGCCGGAAGGAGAAAATGGAGGCCTTGGAGCACAGCGCCTGGATCAGCATTTCCACGCATTTCTGGATGAAACGCACGAGAAAGGGGTACATAACCGCGGTCACGGAGTTTCTTCTCGTCGAGGAGCTTGCTGTTGCGCTCGGAGATATCGTTGAGGGAGAAGCGAATCGACTGCTCGGTGATTCCCGCGTTTCCCTCATAGAAAACGCCGTGATCGCGATGCGTGAAGTAATGGCAGCAGAGATGCACGAAGTGGAGGCAGATCACAGAGAGACGGCCGCCCTTATCGAAGTACTAAACAAAAATAAGAAGAAAAAAAGGGAAATGGGTACGGAGAGAAGCTCGGATTGCAGACGCTCCGCTTGCTTCCACATTCTCTCTTCGTTGGAGCTGTCACGGAGAGAACGATTGACTTGCAAAAGAACGAAGATGTAGAGATTGGAGAAGGCACTAAAAACGAACTCCTTGATTTCGTCCTCCTTCTCGCTCAATGAAAGCAGACTGGAGATGACTTCTCCGATGTCTTTGTTTCACACAGTTTTGAAATCATACACATAGGACGCAGCTTTGTGATGAGCTCCCAAAATTGAATAATCATTTTGTTTAAATCTATATTACCGAGCTTCTATGCATGAGGTTACTCAAGAACCGGCACAGTCAGAGAAACCACCGTTTTTAGTGAATCTTGAATATCTCTGATCACTCCCTGCTGGACTCTGTCCACCGAGAGGTCTTTAAGATAATTCAGGACTCCTTGGAACAAAACGACCTGTTTCGCTACATCCTCAGCCATCGCCCGTGCTCTCCCCTACTCTCGCTGTACTCGTTCTTCACCCTTTCCACGACCGACTGGATGAACTTCTCCTTTTCTTCAGACATTTTGTGTGTGCAACAAACACGCCATTCAACTCCCTAAATAGGAATCGTCATAAGCACGTTCTTCTCCTTCGGATTTCCAATATAAATCGTCACCGTGCGCTCCTTCCAATTAATCACGATCGTATTCAGCGTCGTATCATTATAGATCGGCCACTCGGGATGTTTCGTGTCTCCCAGCACCTCAATCATCTCATCCAGCGTCGTCGGGACCTTCATCTCCGCCGCCCGTTCATCGCGCGCAATCGAGTTCGGCAGGCCCACATCATCCGCATTCACCACATTATACGAGTTTGCGTGCCAGTGCGGTCTTCCCGGAGTGCTCACGAACACTCCATACTAATGAAGATGATGCGCATGCGATGCGTCCTACCTGCCAGAACGGCGCGACCTCCAAATCGAGCAATCGTCCTGTCTGCAGATCCAGCAACTGGTGGTTGTGTCCCGCGGCCAGCGAGTACCGCGTCAGACGCGCCGATGCATCCGCGAGCGACTCGGCGTCCAGAAGCGATCGGCCCACGAACACGCGGCCCACGCCGTCCAGGTCTACAGTGGAAACGTGGAACCGTGGAAACCGGTGGTTTTGGTGATGAGGTAATTCATGGTGAAGGCGAGGTGCGCGTTCCATCCGTAGGCTAGAGAAAAAAGAGGGAAGCGGAGCGTCCTACCGGCAGTGGGGATCTGCGCGGCGTAGGTGAACGCGGTGTAGCGCGAAACCAAGCGGCCGTCTGGACATGACAGAAGGGAGGAGGGAGGTACGGTGGTAGACCTCTTCTGAGACGAGGACCGTGTGGTTGAAGTCCATCATGCCCGAGCCGTCCTCGTTGTGCACGATGTACGCGTTGTCTTCCGTCTTCATGATGTAATCGGAACAGTGCGTCGCGGGCGTGTAGGAGAGGTGGCTGGGAACCACGTAGCTGAATTCCTCCTGAAGCATGTTCAGGAACAGCACGTAGAAATCCATCTTGGAGCCATCGGCCAATCCGCGCAATTCGTCCATGTAGTCGGGGAAGGTGTGCAGCTAGGATGCGATTGGAACACGCGGAAATACATTGATTTCGTAAAAGTGATCGAACCACTTCTTTCCCTCGGGGGTATGATAGAACGGAATCAGCTTCTTCTGCATGTTGTCGTCCGCTTCGATATGGTAGCGAATAAGATCGGCGGTCTGTTCTCCCAACTATCTTTCGAACAAAATCTGGAATCGTACCTGATATCCTGCATTATAGTAGGAAGTGGCGACAATCTTGATCTGTCTGGGAATGTTGATGTAGTTGTGTACCCTAGAGATAAAAATGTTTTCCAGTTTCGGACTCGCAAGAAGCAACTGCTAGGATCAAGGCAATGCAAAGAATACCTCTCATCACTTTATTGTGGTTTGTGGTTAAAGTACAGTGGAAACGGGGAACCCAAGCTGATTGGTTCAAACAAACAACTCATTATGCAATGTTTAGAAGCCCTGACCATAGCCTCTCTGTTGTTGTTGTTGTTGCTGCTGCTGCTGTCTATACATCTGCTGCTGATACATTTGCTGCTGATACAGTCTCTGCTGATACATCTGCTGCTGGTACATTTGCTGCTGATACATCTGCTGATTCTGCATCGGCTGCTGCTGTTGCTGTTGCTGGTACATCTGCTGTCCTTGCATGGGTTGTTGCTGGTACATCTGCTGTCCATAGCCCATCGCCTGCTGCTGGGGCTGCTGCTGGGGCTGCGCGGGCATGCTGAAATCCAGCAATCCTCCGAAAGCATCGGTCTGCTGGGGCTGCGCGGGGGCGCTCGGGATGTCCGTGAAGAAGTCGAAGTCGTCCGCGGGCTTCTTCGCCGCCGCGGGCTGAGGCTGCGCGGCGGGCTGCTGCTTCGCCTGCGCGGGCTGGGGCGCGAAGAGGTCGGCCGCGGCGGAGGACTGGGCCAGAGCGGGAGCGGCGGGGGCGAAGAAGTCGGTGGAGGCGGCAGCGGGCTGAGCCTGAGGCTCGGGCTCGGCGGTCTCCTCGAAGCTGGGCGTGGCGTCGCCGAAGTTGAACAGCGCCTTCGCCTCCTTCGTCACGCGCGTCGCCTTCGGCTTCGCGGGCGCGGCCTTGGCGGGCGCAGGGGCGGGCTCGGGCTCCGGCTCGGGCTCCGGCGTCACGGGCTCGTCGTCATCGGGGAGGTCGCGGAAGTTCCGCAGCGGGGTCAAGCGACGCTCCCTGCGCGTTAGTTTCGCCGCGGCGACGAAGCCTACGCGGGAGTGCTCGGGGACTTCGCAGCGGCCACGGTCTGCGCGGCGGCGGCGGAGACGGTGGCGGCCGCGCTGGAGACGGCGCCGCCGACCTTGTGGCCGAAGGACGCGATGCCGCTCTTCAGCTTGCTGGCCGCGGAGTTCGCGGTGGAGGAGGGCGCCATGACCTGTCCCGACACGGGAATGCCGCCCAGCTCGCCGCCCTGGACCTTGTAGCTGGGACCGGTGGGCGTCGTGGGGGTCGTGGGCTTGGAGCCGAGGTTGTTGAAGAAGCCCTTGACGGCGGTGCCCGCCTTGGAGGCGGTCTGGCTGAACACGGAGGGCTGCGAGGCGGGAGGAACGGGCGAGCTGCCCACCGACTTGGTCGCAGAGAACTTCTTCTTCAGACGACGAGCCTTCTGGCGCTCGATCTGCATCGTCTGGTCGTCCTGGATCCACGACAGAATCACTTGGACCTTGTCACGCACTAGAGTGGAAAGAGAAAAACAAAGCGAACCGCCTTGGCCACGCTCCTTGCCCTGGTCCATCACGCTGAACTGCTCCAGACTGCGCAAATAGAAAATCTGGTCGCGGGTTTCGTCCACACAGGTGGCCACTCCGTTCTTCAGGAGATACTCAAGCAGGGAAATCGCCTGATGATCAACTCCACATTACGATCCCACCTTGAACATCACTCTCCAGTTCTTCTGAGACGAATCGAGATTCTTCCAGATCGTTGCAAAGATTTCTTTAAAGTCATCTCTATTGGCTCACGCACAACAATGAAAATCTTACTCGTAAAAGGAAGCCTCTGCAATTTCATTCATTGTAGTGCTGGAAGCTCCCCAATTCACATCCTGCAAGGCCTCGGCCAATTTCTTTTGAATGCCAGATCCCTTCCTATATTCCTTAGGCCAAGTGAGTAACTTTTACTTGAACATATTTCGCAAATGCTTTAATATATCTGAGAAATGGATTCCTCGACAGAATATACGCCCTGTTGAATCGATAAATAAGCCTCTTCTGCGGATTCTGCCGTGATCCGCATGCAATGACATCGATCTCTTTTCACCATCTGGTCTCTAAACAAACAATAAACTTGTGTCACATAAAATTACCTCCGCGGCCTCTCCGCTCTTGCTTTTGGGTTTTGCGCTTTTCCTTATCGGCTTTACGCTTGGCTTCTAATTCCTTGTTCCTCTTCACCTCACTATCGTGAGCGGCTTTCATTTCTTCTCTCTGCAACTTAAGGAGATAAGAGATTCCCACCTTCATTTTCTCTGCCATCTTCACTCGCAGTGCATTTTGGTTGATTCCTTCTAGCGGCTCGCTTTCCTCCTACAATCGATACCAAGAACCGGAATCACCTTCTTTTCTCGATAGATCAGGTTCCCATCTTGATCTGTCTCCACCACATCAAAGCCATAAGTATTCAACAGCTGTTCTCTCTGCTTCATTTGCTTAATGTCTCTGCGATTTAAACAATGCAGCACACGGTCTCACATCGCCTTTCTCTCCGTTTCGTGACTCTTGGCCTCTTCTCGCTCCTTATTAATTCGTTCTCGGAGTGTAGGTGTGTGCGTTTTTTCAATTACCGTCTCCGAAACAGCTTTCGAATCACTCTCTTCAGACAAAAACTCCCGGAGATCGTCTAGAAAAGGTTTAATATTCTACCGATCGTTCGACCACCCAAAAGCTACTTGTTCTGACAAGTCCTGAATATAGGACTGCACAAAGTCCAATTTATAGTCCAAGTCATAGCTGTCGTCCTCGAGTACAGTTCCCAGATACTCTCCGACCATCTATGTTTAATAAAACCCCTCAGTTGTACGTCATCATCAATTCCGAAAGGAACGAGTTTGTCCATGATCCATCTCTACCCATTTACAGCCGATAGAGTAGCTACCGATATAATTTCCGCCTTCATTTTTCTATAACAAATTGATTAAAAATAACCGCGATTGGTAATGGCAAAGACAATGGGCAATAATTATTGGAAAGGTACGTATTATGCATTTTTGATGTAGATATGAATCGTCGTCAACTCTCCAACGAGTCTTTTTGTCTAATATCGTGTAGTAATGAGTGCGCGCGAGGGAGCGGATACTTCTGACAAGAAGGCTACTCAAAAATCGTCTGGCTGGATGATGTTTAGAAGAAAACCGAAAAAATGTTAGCAAGATTATTGGTGCTCATTATGTAGGGGTCCCTCTAGAAGTATCAAATCCTAGAAATTTCCAAGCCATGCACCACGTTGCGCTTGACCCAGACAGTGAATTGGGTTTCCTTTCATAATCCTATTCATGATAGGTTGGACGGGGCTTCCAGAAGAATGGATTCCTTATCTGAAGGCAAATAACATCACTCAAGACATGGCGATTAAGAATAAAGATGCAATTGCAGATTGCTTAACCTTACTAAATGATCCGTACAGGCCGATGCCTCTCCCTAACGCAGAGGAGTGGGACCGCGAATTGGACAAAGGTAAGCGTGTTTGTCAATTGCCCTAACCTTTCTAGCCTCTTTCATTCGCAGAGAGGATCCTTTCGAATTCTACCACGGAATAAATCAGCGAATCGGTGAAGGAGCTTCAGGCGTGGTGTATGAGAGATGGCTCATGCATGAGAGGTAGCTATAAAGGAACGAGCACCGAGACGGGCGAGCGCGTGGCGTTGAAAGTTTCCCCCGCGTCGGACCTGCAGAACCTGAAGAACGAGCTGGCGATGCAGCGTCTGTGCAACCATCCCAATTTGGTGGGTCTTCGCGATTGTTTTCTGTGGAATAACCAGCTCTGGATCGCGATGGAGCTGATGGACGCGGGCTGCTTGACGGAGATTCTCGGCCAGGACATCGACTTCAAGGAGAAATACATCGCGTACGTGTGCCTGAACATCCTGCAGGCGCTGTCGTACCTGCATCGCAACAACAAGCTGCACCGCGACATCAAATCCGACAACGTGCTGATCAACTCGAAGGGCGAAATCAAGCTCGGCGATTTCGGCTTCGCCATCGGGCTCACCAAGGAGCAGGACCGTCGGAAGTCGGTCGTCGGCACGCCGTTCTGGATGGCGCCGGAGCTGATCCGCGGCGCGGAGTACAACGGGAGCGTGGATATCTGGTCGCTGGGCATTACCTGCTTGGAAATGGCCGACGGAGAGCCGCCGTACTATCGAGAGCCGCCGCTTCGAGTAGGGGGAGCGAGGGAGTCGCGATGTAGGCGCTGCTGCTGATCCACACAAGCCCGCCGCCCACGGTGAAAGACCCGCTGCGCTGGTCTCCGCAGTTCCTCGACTTTTTGAAGCGCTGCTTGGAGTTGAATCCCGTGGAAAGAGGCACCGCGAACCAGATGCTGAACCACCCGTTCCTGAAGATGGCGTGTAGCCCTAAGGAGTTCGCCAATTTCGCTCTGGACATTCTGAATCGCCGCAGAGAGCAATAGTCCCAATTGCAGCAATTGCAGATGATTGAGTCAATGAATCATTGAATCAATGAATCAATGAATCAATGATACAATGAATCAATGACACAATGATTCAATGATTCAGTGACTCAGTGACTCAGTGACTCAGTGATTTAATAATAAATGAAATGAATGAGTGATTCCATGATTGATTGACCAAATGATTCGATACCATCAAATTACACCAATTTAAACAAGGCGGTTGTTCGTTCGTTCGTTCGTTGGTTCGTTATAGTTGAACAAACAAGTCATAGCAGAAGAATAACGCAACAATCGCTCGTCAACGTCCACCTTAGATCGCGTACATGCCCATGTTCTCAGCGTTCAGATTGGCGTACGCGGCAGGGTCCAAGCGCAATCCCTTCACCTTCTGCCACATAATCAGCCTAGATCTCAGCCTCTGCCCCATTTCTCCTACACTCCAATCTCCACAATCAACAAAAATCCGGAAACACAGAGCAGAATCATCGAGGTCGAGCTCAATGCCACCTCTTCGCCTCCCTGCTTCTCACACGCCGTTCCGTGGTAGCCATCATTGCAGAAGCAACGAGCAGTGCGCTGGTCACGATCGTATCCGCACACGCCACGTCCAGAGCAGAGAACGCGATTCGACTCTCCGCAGCTGACGGGGCAGCCGAACATGGACTCCAGGCGGAGATTGTAGGTGCAGGCAGGGAACTCCACGATATCGCTGTCCTTCGGGAGGTTGGTCGGGTTGTTCATGCAGTAGAACGAAATGCGGAAGCTTCGCTCCTTGTCGCCGCAGTAGTAATTGTCGCCTCCCTTGTACACCAGAGTAACTCCCGTGGAAGGATCATCATAGTCAATGGGCTCGAATCCCATATACTGGTCGGTCACACCACCTCCAAGGTGATAGCACGTACCACCGCTGAGGATCTGATAGGCAGGATAGAGGGTACCGTCTAGCGATTACCTTCCCATAAGGCTCAAACCAGTGTTGTTCTTGCACTGAGACACGGTGTTTCCGTATACGGGAGGCTCCGCCACAGGTCTGCAGATGTTGAACCAGTAACTAAATGTTAGGCTTTTACCACCAGGAGGTACCTATAATTTCTTGCAACAGGATCTTTATCCAAGACAACATATCTAGTGTCAATAATTTCACAAATGCAAGGTACTGGGTTGAGTAGACCAAACCTGTAAGATCATATGTTACAACGTATTTATTTCTTTCGGCTTTAGATCTGTCAATTCTTTTGTAGCCTAAATCTTGAGAGATGTCCTATTAGCATACAATCCACAGATAAAGCGATCGAAGCCTACTCATTAGCTCTTACACAACTGTTACGTACCAATATTGCAAAAAGAAGAATGGAATAAGTTCGCATTACAACAAACAATAGATTATATGATGATCTGATGATACCGCGGTTATACCTTCCCTTGATTTCGATTCTTGCGTTTCCAAAATTAGGGGCGATTTCTTGTTCTCGAGTTAACTCGTCAAATGAGTATCAAAATGGATCTGTCGCCTCAGCAGATAGAGGAAGCGCTCATTTGTTGGGTAATTGAATTCGAACTATCACTCTTATGCACAGATTAACACTTTTCCAAACGTTCCTAAGGAAACTCGTTCTTTTGATGATCTCTGTGATGGAATAATCTTTCTGTATCTTATTAAGCAAATGTAGTCCTTGACATCCTTCATCAGTGTAGTGATTCTTCTTTTGAAGGCCCCGAAGTCAAGGATTTCCAGTCTGTGACTCTGGAAGAGTCTCGTTCCATTTTCCAAGCGATTCAAGAATATTTAAAAAGTGACATTGTGGATGAAGAAGCCACTGCGTCTGGTGAGCAAGTTCTAGACAGCGACAGCATTATCGTGGAGTAACCCGTATGAGGAACGATTACCCGTAGTCACAACAAGAATGAAATCGTGTACCTGTTGAAAATCACACTCGGCCTCGCAATGCAAGGACCCAACAGCAGCGAAATAGCCAAGCGAATCACCTCTCTGGACAAGCAGATCCAAGATGTGTTGATGGAGCTGATCCAGGAAGTCCTAGCGACCATGAAACCGGAAGGAATTTCGGAGGACGACATCGAGGACCTGCCTCTGCGCGAGTTCGACGATCTTCTGGCCGAGGAGGGAAATGGTCCCTTGGAAGAGGATTGGAGCGACTGGAGCGATCCAACGCCGTCGACGGCGCCGCTGCAACGCCAAGACTCCGAAATGGAGAAGGAGTATCACCGTCTCCAAGAGCTGGTGATTCAGTATCGCGTCGAGAAGGAGGATTTCGAGAAGACGTTGAGCGCGCTCACCAAGCAGCGCGACGATGCGTTGCAGGAGATCGACTCGCTCCACAGCCAGCTGCAGACCCACCAAACGACCAATCTGCAGATGCAGAAGAAGATCGAAGAGTTGTCGACGCCGGTGGAGACTTCGGGGCCGCTCTCCGCCGCGCAGACGTCGCTGTTTCAGCAGGAATTGGAGCGAGCGGAGGAAGAGGCGGGACAGCTGCGATCGAAAGTGTCCCAATTAGAGAAGACGGTGCAGGACACGAAGAACGACGCGGCGCGGGAGATCCAGAAGCTGCAGACGCAGGTTTCGGTGCTTTCGGAGCAAAATCTGCAACTCCAGAAAACGGAGCAATTATGCCAGACCTACAAAAAGCAGCTGCAGGAGCTGCAGAACGGACACTTGGATGTGGGGGAGTACCAGACGAAGCTGGTTTCGCTGGAGGCGGAGCTGCGCGGGAAGGCGGAGCTTGAGAATCGCCTGACGACGTATCTGGAAGAGAACAAGCGGCTGCAAAGCGACGTGCTGCGCTACCAGCAGCGGTGCAGCGAGCTGGAGGAGAGAGTGGAGTCGCTGCAGAACCGCGAGAAAGAGCTCTCGAACGATCTGGCGTTGCTGCAGCAGCGAAACGACTCGCTACAGCTGTTGGTGTCGGGTCCCTCGAGCGAAGCGATGTCGCCTGTATCGCATTCGAACTCGACCGTGGCGCTGGATCAGCTGCTGGTCGAGTCGCCCTCGCCGAGAGGAAAGGCGGTCGCGGAGCCCATCCCGGCGATCGTGAACGTTCGCAACTCGCCGGAGTATTTGGAGCAGGCGAACGAGCTGCTGCTGGCGAACGAGCGCAGCATCGTGCTGAATGTGAGGGATCGAAAAGGGAGTGAGGTGTAGAAGAAGGTGGAATCGCTGAACGAAACGATCGTGCAGTTGAAGAAGGAGGTGCTGGAGCTGCAGGAAGGGAGAGTGGTCAGTACCGGAGCGACGGGCGAGCAGGTGTCGGCGGAGCAGCATCAGCTGCTGGCGCTGAAAGTGTCGGTGAAGGACGACGAGATCGCGAGGCTGCGCGAAGAGTATCGCCGCGCGGACGAGGAGAGAGAGATGTGTCTGAAGAAAATCGGGGAGCTGCAGGAGGACAACCAGGAGCTCGTGAAGAACATCACGATGAAGGAAGAGGTCGGTAGCAGGGGCGAGGAGCGAGCTGTAGAAGTGCAACGAGTTGGAGGAGAAGCGATCCAAGCTGGTGGCGAAGATGAAGGCGATGCTGTTCCAGCTCAAGCAGATCGAGGAGGCGAGGCAGGGATTGCTGGCGCAGCTGGAGGACGAGAAGAAGCAGCGCGGCACGCTGCTGCTGGGGAGACAGAAGGAAGAGGAAGTCATGTTTAGCTGTATACATAACGTAGGCAGCGGGGTGTGGGAGTGATGAGTAGCTGGGGAAATCAGCCCTAATGTATTATTACCTAACCTGTATGGACAACTACAAACCGAAGGGATGGATCGCACGAGTGCGAGCCAGTCAAGCCAAGACCTTTTGCCTTGTGTGTTTCACAAACAATCCACTCACTCATACAGCTTCTTGAGGCAGGTGCACAGCGTCTGGTAGAGCGGCGCCACGCTCGAAATCAGCAGCCGTTCGTCGGGGGAATGGGGGAAGTTGAGCTCCGGACCCACCGAGGTGCAGTCGAGGTCGGGGTACTTCTGGAGGAACAGTCCGCACTCCAAGCCAGCATGGATGGCGTACACACGCGGAGTCTTGCCAGTGACCTCTTCGTAGGCGCTGATCATGCTCTTGGTGAGACGCGAGGAGAGATTGGGCTCCCATCCGGGATAGGCACCCATCTTCTCGGACATGCTGACCTTGCACATCTCGCAAATCGACTTGATCTTGTTGTACATCATGTCCATCTGCGACATGGACGAAGAGCGCACCGACGACGTGAACATGAAGTCGTCGTTCTCCACCATCTGCACGATGCCGCAGTTCACCGACGTCTCGATAATGTCGTGCGATTCGGGCGAGTACCGCTGCACTCCGAACGGATACACGTTAATGAAGTTGAGGAAGCGGCGCGAAGTCTCCGCATCGCACGGCAGCTGCTTGCTGTCCTTCACTTCTCTCACTTCGCAGGTCGGCTCCTTCTCGATCAGCGCATATTCATGCTTGAAGTGTCCGAACTCGGTCAGGATCGCCTTCTCGAACGCCTCCGCCTTCTCTGCGGGCACCGCCATCACGGCGACGCACTTGCGAGGAATCGCGTTGCGGACCGTTCCGCACTCGATCGACACAATCCGGCTTCCGCAGTCATCGGCGCTCATGAGCAAACGGCCCAGCGTCACCAGAGGATGCGCGCGACCCAGATGGATATCGCATCCCGAGTGGCCTCCGATGAAGTTGTTGAGAACGATCTCGCGCAGCACCATGCCTTCCGCTGCAACACGCGTCGTCGGCATCGTCATTTCCAGAGTGAACGAACCAGCGCAGCCAATGCACACCGCGTTCTGCTCCTCCGAGTCCACGTTGATCATGTACTTGGCCTTCAGAATGCCGGGCTCCAAGTTCGCAGCTCCAATCAGTCCGATTTCCTCATCGCGAGTAATGAGCACCTCCAGGGGTCCGTGCTGCAGCTCGGAGTTCTCCAAGATAGCAAAACAGGTGGCGACGCCGATTCCATCGTCTCCGCCGAGAGAAGTACCCGTGGCCTTCAAGTACTCTCCATCAATGCGAGGGAGAATGGGATCCTTCAAAAAGTCGATCACCACGTCATCTCTCTTCTGGCACACCATATCCATATGGCCCTGAAGACACACAACGGGCTTGTCTTCAAAACCTAGAAGGGTTAGAAAGAGCGAACTTCCCATTACCAGGAGTGGCCTTCTTGCGGATAATCAGATTTTCTCCACTATCGACATAGGTTTCACAACCCAAATCTTCCGCAGCCTGCTTCAAGAACGCAGTAATGCGCTTGTTATTCACGCACTCTCCCTTCTTGTTTGATCCTCGGGGGATCTGCGCAATTGCCAACATGTACTTCCAAACGGTTTTAGGTTCGGGAAGCGCTTCTAAGAGTTTCTGACTATATCTATCGGTTACACAAATTACAGGAACACTCACTCCGACAACATTCCAAATATCTCAACAAAAAAATGAGACAATGATTGAGTATCTCCGAACAATAAAAATGGAATTCCAAAATCACAAGGAATTCTTAGCATTTTTTAAATGAGCAAGGACAGTAGCAAAGCGTGCCTAGAGCTGATCGAATGGTTCGAAGCGATGTGCAAAGCGGTTCCCAACGTCGATTTGTCTAGGAGTTACTTTCCTATCAATGGGCACGTTCTTTATGTTCCATCTCCTGGACTCTTGAAGGTAAGCTGGTTTGTTATTCAACTGATGTTTCAGGCAACATTATCGTCGCAGCCTTCTTGTTCTGCATGCCTATTTGATCTCAGGAAATGGATTCAAACTGTCCTGCAGTTTGTGTCTATGAATCCGGATAATATGGAAGCAATAACCGAAGTAACCTTTCTGGGAGAGTTATTGGAACGTGAAATTGAGAAAGAGAAATACAGACCCTTTTTACGCAGTATGGCAAAGTGCAGCATTCGCTCCAATTGGTATTCAGGAATCAAAACTGTTTGGCAGAGTTCTTCGCATCAGTCATCACGACCCAACCCGAAGCGAGTGCAAAGCACGAGTTCAACCTCTGCGGAACCGTCTGCAAAGAGGATCACGACTTCTGGGGTTGAAAAGTCCTCAGGCCCCAAGAAGCCGGTTCCTCACCGTGCGATTATTCACAGCGATAATGAAGACAGCGACGATAAAGACGACGACTATAGCGTGCCTTCCGTTTCAGAGTCAAGGAAGCACCGAGGATCGGAAATGGACGATCACAAGCCAGCTGTGAAGAGTAAATCTTCGTCCGACTCGCATCCCACAGTCCACGTGAAACCATCCATCCAAAGCAAGTCAAGTTCCGAGCGACCTCCGAAAGTGTCTTCTTCGATCAAGATCCGATCGATCAGCAGTTCGGAGCAGTCGTTGAAGGAAGCGCTTCAGCGTCACCTCGACTTGTTGATAAAGGAGCCCAAATACAATTTATTCGTCGACCCGGTGCCTCGGGAGTACGAAGACTACTACATGATCATCCAATCACCCATCTGCCTGCGAGACATTCAGTTGAAGCTGCAGGAAAATGAGTACCGCTCCGTCAGCAAGTTTAAAAAGGACATGCTTCTGCTGATCGGCAACTGTGTGTATTACAACATGCTGCTCACGCCCGCCCAAACCGACAATCGAAAGCAGGCGTACGAGCTGCATCGCGACCTGCTGCGTATTTTAAACAGCAAGGATGTGAATCAGAGCAGCGAGAAGCTGGACGATCTGCTGAGTTTGGAGCGAGTGTACACAGAGATCATCGAGCGAGTGTACAATGTTCGGAACGGAGATTACCAGCTGATCCGGAACTTCGCGGTGGACAATGGATATTTGGAGGACTACAAATTGTATGTGAAGAACATAATCAATCTGAGACACATCTTGGACCGCATGTTCAGCATGGACTATTACACGTCCTTGATTCAAATCCAAGACAAGAATTGTCTGTTGAACGATTTCTGCCGATTGTTCGATAATTGCATCACGTATTGGAAGCAGTTCAAGCCGAACGAGGGAAGAGTGTATATCGATGCGGCTCAATTACTGAAGCGGCAGGTGAGTACATTTATGAAGGACGTGGATAACGGACTGCAAGACTCTGTGCGAAAGGCGTTCCAAACAATTCGCAAAGAGAAGGAGATGAGGAGAGCCGCATCGCTGGAGAGAAAGCGAGCCGAAACAAACCCGGCTTTGCTCTCCCTTCATCCAGAATACTGCGAGAAGGTGGTGATGAAGATTCCACCTCCCATTCCGCAGACTCGAATTCAGACTCGCAAGCCCGACATGGACGATTTGATAGGTCACACATCGGGAAGGTGGGTTGCGTTGGGAGAACGTCATGCATAGTCAGAATTGGTACGAGCGCGCTTCCAACTGTCTGAACAAACTGAAGGAGAAAACGTTCCCGCATTGGTGCTGGACCATTTTCGATACCAGTCTGGAGCAGTTGCTGCGTCAGAGCGATTATGAAAAGATGATTCGTCGTCCCATAACGTGGGGAATGATTATGGTAGAGCCATCGGAGAGGAGTGTAATCGTGGGTAGAGCCAGCTGGACACGTACGATCGAACAACGTTTCTGGCTTCGATGCGTCTGATGTTCGACAACTGTCTCACGTACCACTGCGCGAAGGAAGTCACGCCCATTCACTGGTATCGCGACCCCTGCAAGCTGCTCTATAACGAACTGAATCTGTTGGCTCCCACACTGCCTCCCGATGCGAAGAAAGCCGACTTTCTGCACGTGATTGAGAGTCTGAAGAAGATCCGTCTGGACGGCTATCCGGCGTACTTCGATTTCAAAGACAATCCGACCGAGTACTATCCGGAGTTCAGCGCGTATTCCAACCGGCCGATGGGGTTCACCGACACGCTGCGGTGCCGAGGAACGTTCGACGACTGGGTGAAGCTGATGAACACGGTGTTCGATGACGCGATGCGATTCCATCAGGATGGAAGAGGGTCGCAGTTTGTGCACGCCGAGGCTGTGTTCTTGAAGAGACAGTTCAATCGAATCGTCGCTCAGGAGCTCGGAAGACCTGTGGAAACCGGAGATCCCGAGCTGGAAGAAAGCGGGCTGAAGATCTTCAAGAACGATACAACGCGGATGCCGGACGACATCCGAAAGCAATGCCAGGGCGCTCTGGATAAGTTCTGCAAGGAGGGCGAGAAGTCGTCGTTCTTCCATGTGTTCATTCGCGATCCAAGCACGCCGACATTCGTAGCTTTTTTGAGCAAAGGAGCGATGTGTAGGAATGGCTGAAGAAGGTGGATCGGCTGTATTTCATCAACGACATCTGCCGAAGCGTGAAGTACGAAGAGTACAGTTCGAGCAAGCTGGTTTGGGAGGACATGCAGCACATGTTCGATAATGTGATCAAGTGCTACACGGGGGAATATAGCAAAGAGACGGTCACGCAGGCGGTGGAGCATATGCGGAATCTGTTCTATGATCTTTGGATTCTGTACCGCGTGTCGGGAGACGATACTTCCGAGTTTTTGGATCGGAACCAGAAGCTGATCCGCTCTCTGTTTTTCAAAGACGAAACGGTGGAGAACATCTTCAACTCCTTCAAGCACAAAGTGCGGAGCTATTACGACACGCTCACTGCATCCACGCTCAGCGAGTTGATCAATATCGCGAAGCCTATCGATGTTTCGACCGAAGTGATCACCAGCGGCGATCAAAGCATGAGCGCGAGTTTGCTCGATCCGGGAACGGTGCTGCCGATGCTAACGAAGCTGGAGCAGAATCCGCAGCGAGAAGGGATCGATAATTTCTGGGATCTGCTGTATCAGGTGATTCAAGTGCTGATTCAACGCGAAAAAATCTGCCGGCAAGCCGGATTGAAGGATCGCGCGCTGCTTCACGACAAGGCGAAGAAGGTGTTTGTGAACGTTTTCACGAACCAAATGAAGTCGTATGTGTTCGATGATCGGATGAGGCGTCTGAAAGACGTTCTCAACAAATACCAGCCGAAGATCGAGAAGCGATCCAGCGTGCTGGGCTATTCCACACACATGATGATGCTGAATGATGACGAAATGCGCGTGTATGATACTCCTGCTCTGTAGTGGTGCGGATACGAGTTGAAATGTAGATATATTATGAAGGTAGCCAAAAAGGTCGTGTTGAAGGAGTTGAATCCTGAAATCGGCGTCAAAAACGAGAAGGAGCAGAAGAAAAAGGCGGATCCCGGCGTTATTTCGTTGAAGGTGAAGCTGGTGAAGGAGGAAAAGCCTAATTTGCTCATGGAGGAAGAGGAACCTGCTGTAAAAGAGCCCGAACAAGCTTACGAAGACCCGGACTTCGTATCTTTTGATATATTTTATTTTATTTGTTGCATACTTCTTGTATGACCGATAACCTCGTCTTTATGACAACACCAGACGAGTACATCTCTCGTCTGGAAGACATTGCAAACAAGGATATGTTCAATCCTTCTGATTATTCGTTTGATACATTACTCAAATACTTAGATAATCTTATCGCTATGTCAAAGAAATGTGCAATGGAAAAGCAATTTGAAGACGCTTACATCGGCTTTCGTCGTTTTCAGATTGTTTTGAACTCCCTGCAGATGCACAACTTGTACAACTCCGAGGATGAGCGAATCCAAAACTTAAATTCTGTAATAATACCGGTTGTGGTTCAATGTAGCGTTGCCAAAAGATTTTCACGATTGTCGATTGCATTCGACGTCGACTCGAGGAAAAAGTGAATATGGCCATTGCGAGCAGACAGAGTTTCGATGGACATTTCAGTAAACTCTAGATGCGAGTTATGTTCCTCAAACCCGTTCGGAAATAAACACGGCAGCTAACGCGGAGCAGGTTGACGCTTCTTGCTCAGAACCACGAGCAACGGGCAACGGCACGAGCGTGAAAGAGAGTTTCGATTGTGTCCCAGACCAAGCCAGCCAGCAGTGCTCTCAACAATACCAATATCTGTATAATAGCACCTCTGCAGACCAGCTAAACTACATGCTATCGCATCTAGATTGGATTCCCGATATTTGTAACGAGAAGATTCACGTTGGTCTGCCGCTCCCCGAGAATGAGCTGAATTCCCTTCTAATGGTGAGTCCGTTTCTGTGTGTTAACTCTAGTTTGATATGTGTATTGTTTATTGAAACAAACATTCCACATCACCAGTTGTGTTTCACGGATGCAGGCATCATCTCCGCACGAATAAACCACATTGTTGTCGGTCCATTCCACGCAGAACACGCCTCCCGGGTGTTGGCCGGGTCGTTCGTGGATTTCTCTCGGCGCATTCATGTTCCACACAACGATGCGTCCATCCACCGATCCTGAGACAAGTCGATCTCCTTCCGGAGACCAACTGATCGTCGTCACCGTGCTCTGATGAGCCAGCCATTTGCGTGTGATCACGGGCTCCTCTCTCCCGACCTCCCACACTTTGATTTCGCGACCTGCGTCGCCCACAGCGATGTAGCGATCGTCCGGCGAGATTCGCAGCGCATTGATCTTCGTTCGGTGGTATTCCAGCTCGTGCGTGGCCACGGCACAAGCATAGCGGATTCCTTCTTGGCGCAGTTCGTACACTTCCACATACTCGCGTCGATCCTTCTCTAACGCCACACACTACGTCTCAATCCCCTCTTGAACCTCGACGGCCAGCAATCCATCGTCCGCTATGTCCGCTGCGTGGGCTTCCGAGGGCAGCGCCAGCGTTTCGACGAGTTGATGCTCTCGGAAGAGATAGATATGCCTCCATAATAAACTCTTCAGAAAGCTACTTGAGCGAAACAACGACGGCTTGATCGCCTGCACAGCGCACTGTTAACGGCTGCTCCTCCAACTTCACCGCGTTGAGCTCGTTCAGCGAGAGCAGATCGGTGAAGCGCACCGTGTCGTCCCTACGCGTAAGACGATTTCGGACCAGCGAAGCCCACCATCCGATCGACACACACACGCCGTTGGACTCGACCGCCCCATTGCAGTTTCCTTTGTGGCGCTACGCATTAGCAGCACGATCCCACGAGCCACCGTAATCAGACGGCCGCGTCCCTGCGTCCACTCAATCACACGGCCATCGCTTCCACCCGAGAGCACGCTTCCCATATTCCGAGAATAACTGCACGTGTTGGCGGGACCCTGGTGGCCCACGAGCGTCGTATAACCAGTCGCTCCCTTCTCGATCAGGTTGATATCCGAGTTGAGCGAGACCGCCACGCGGAGATCTCCCAGACAATCCACTACATCGCATCGACTCCTCGCCTCTACGTCCCAGGAGGTTGTAGTCCAGGGATTTGCCGTCTCCGATCGGAAGCGTGGCTTCGCAAACGCCCGTGTTCACGTCCCAGTACTACGGAGAGCGAGAGAGGCTCCACGGCCCTACCTTGATTGTACAGTCCGCCGAAGCCGTGTAAACGTGCTGGCAGTCGCTGTCCCAGCCTACTCCGTACAGACCCTTCGTGTGTCCGTTCTCAGCGTTCAGCGTGCGCAGATATTGCCCCGTCTACACGTTGCTAACCAGAATCGAATGGAAACCTTGCCTTCGAACACGTTGATCGTCTTATCTCCACTCACAGAGACAAAGAAAGCACCATCCGGAGAATATCTGTGTGTGATACAGCCACCACGACCCGACCGGACTGCATGCACGAAGTTCTTGTGATGAGGATCCGAATGATCGAAGATGAAGGGCGGACCCTGGTAGAACGAAACCAGCATATCATCCGAAGAACTCACAAGGCGGAACGGACGGCAAGGACGGAAATCCACGCTGTTCACACCACGAGAATGACCCGAAAACTGACCCAAGTCTGAGCCCATGTCCCAGGTCACTGCACGAATCGTTCTACACGATGAAAGGCTCGAAGCACAACGGACCTGCCGCGGCCTTCTCCACAGAAGGCGATGCGCTTATTCTCACTATCCCACATCAAGTCACGGATCTCTAGACCTCCCGATACAATCTAGCAGGGATTAGAAAAAAATAATCGACGATGTACCTCTTTCTTTAGAGGATGCTCGTCATTATCCAAAGCCCACACACGCAGCTTTCCTTCAATATCTATGCAATAACTTGACAAAAGAACGAGCACCTCCAGAAGCCATATAATGATTGTTGTTATTGAAGCGAACAACAGTGATGTTAAGAAACCTGGAGCTTTTTACTCAGGAGTGTGCAGGATATGTTACACGCTTTCTGTGGTCGTAGTACACAAAGCCTTGAGTAGGATTCTAAAATCCCAAGGATGATTGCAAAACCTACTTTGACACTCCGGATAATAACATTGGTTCCAGAACCGTATGCGATAGTTTCTCCATCGCTAGAAATACCGATCTTGGTGGCTGCTCCTCTCTGAGTATAGGGATTTGGGAAAAAGGTCTGCTCTACGTAGATAAGACATTCAAACTAAAAGATCGCACTTAATTCAAAGGCGAAGGGCATAGATAATCAAATATGAAACATACTAACTGGACGGTTGACTCCAAATTTCGGCCATTTTCTATTTTTTCGAACGTTTTGGAGAACACTCAATGTCTGGAATAAAATTAAGATAGAAAAATGTGCCAGTTATTCTTAATTATTCTGAGGTGTGTATTTTCGACGATTTAAGGTATACAAATCCGCTTTCCACGACTCCACCACTCTATTGTTTGATGTATCCACGACTAAACTGAGTTGATGAAAACCGGTTGTCCGAACCGTTTCCATTTTGAAGGAAATGGATTGCGTTCGTGAAGGGCACTAAATTGGTGCAATTGGACAAAATAGATCGAAGGAATAGAAGAATCTAGAAGGAATGAAAAGCCAATAGTTGGAAAGGTTCTAGAAGGATTTGGAAAAGCAGCGTTCGGATTTAGTTTAGTCATTAATTTTTTATACTTGGTTTAAAACTTAGTACAAATAAGAATGAGCAAGACTTTTACTGGTGAATCTGTTGGTATTGATTTGGGTACAACCTATTCTTGTGTGGGTGTTTGGCAAAACGACAAGGTGGAGATTATTGCCAACGACCAGGGTCAGAGAACCACTCCTTCCTATGTGGCTTTCACTGATACAGAGCGTCTGATTGGTGATGCTGCTAAGAACCAGGTGGCTATGAACCCTACCAACACTGTGTTCGACGCGAAGCGTCTGATTGGTCGTAAGTTCGACGACGCCTCTGTTCAGAGCGATATGAAGCACTGGCCTTTCACTCTGAAGAGAGGTCCTGAGGGCAAGCCTGTGATCGAGGTGGAGTACAAGGGCGAGAGAAAGCAGTTCTCTCCTGAGGAGATTTCTTCGATGGTGCTGACGAAGATGAAGCAGATTGCTGAGTCTTATTTGGGCAAGGAGGTGAAGAACGCTGTGATTACTGTGCCTGCATACTTCAACGATTCGCAGCGTCAGGCTACGAAGGATGCTGGAACGATTGCTGGACTGAACGTGATGCGTATTATCAACGAGCCCACTGCCGCTGCTATTGCTTACGGTCTGGACCAGAAGGGAGGCGAGAAGAACATTCTGATTTTCGATCTGGGTGGTGGTACCTTCGATGTGTCGCTGCTGTCGATCGAGGACGGAATTTTCGAGGTGAAGGCGACTGCTGGAGATACTCACTTGGGAGGTGAGGATTTCGATAACCGCATGGTGGAGTACTTCATGACGGAGTTCAAGCGCAAGTTCCACAAGGACATTTCGACCTCGCAGCGTGCTCTGCGTCGTCTGCGTACTGCTTGCGAGCGTGCTAAGCGCACTCTGTCTAGCAGCACGCAGGCTAGCATTGAGATCGATTCTCTGTTCGAGGGAATCGACTTCAACAGCCAGATCACGCGTGCTCGTTTCGAGGAGATGAACATGGACTTCTTCCGCAAGACGATCACTCCTGTGGAGAAGGTGCTGCGCGACGCGAAGCTGTCGAAGAGCCAGGTGGACGAGGTGGTGCTGGTGGGAGGATCCTCGCGTATTCCCAAGGTGCAGAAGATGCTGCAGGAGTTCTTCAACGGCAAGGAGCTTTGCCAGAGCATCAACCCCGATGAGGCTGTGGCTTACGGAGCGACCGTGCAGGCGGCCGTGCTGAGCGGCAAGGGCCAGGGCAGCAAGCTGGACGACCTGCTGCTGCTGGATGTGGCTCCTCTGTCTCTGGGTCTGGAGACGGCCGGAGGCGTGATGACGGTGCTGATTCCCCGTAACACCACCATTCCCACGAAGAAGTCGCAGATCTTCTCGACCTACAGCGATAACCAGCCGGGCGTGCTGATCCAGGTGTTCGAGGGAGAGCGAACGATGACGAAGGACAACAACCTGCTGGGCAAGTTCCACCTGGACGGAATCCCACCGATGCCTCGCGGAGTGCCTCAGATCGAGGTGACCTTCGATATCGATGCCGATGGTATTCTGAACGTGTCCGCCGTGGAGAAGTCCACCGGAAAGGAGAACAAGATCACCATCAAGAACGAGAAGGGCCGTCTGAGCGCGGACGAGATCGAGAGAATGGTGCAGGAGGCCGAGAAGTTCAAGGCGGAGGACGAGGCCAACAAGTCCCGTATCGAGGCCAAGAACCAGCTGGAGAACTACACGTTCTCTGTGCGCAACTCGCTGCGCGATGAGTCGATCGCCGGAAAGCTCGCGGAGGCGGACAAGAAGGAGATCGAGAAGAAGCTCGACGAGGCTTCGGCCTGGATCGACGATCATCCCAATGCGGAGAAGGAGGAGTACGAGGAGAAGCAGAAGGAGCTGGAGAACGTCATCATGCCCATCTTCTCGAAGATGGCTGGTGCTGGCGCTGGCGGTATGCCTGGAGGTATGCCCGGTGGCATGCCCACGGGAGGTATGCCTACTGGCGGCATGGGCTCTTCTTACAAGCCTGCGGAGGAGGATGACGGTCCTCATATTGAAGAAGTGGATTAAGTGAGCCTGAGCCTGAGCCTGGTGGGTTTCTGCAGACAATATGCATGTAATTTAGTATCGCGTTGTTTTCTTTGTTTGAATACACTTGAGGAGAGGGGTGGAAGGAAGGAGAGAAAGGAAAGGAAAGGACTTTATTGGATTCACAAAAGAAAGAAGAGTGATTGACTCCACTACTTTTCTTCTTATCAACACAATGCAACACGATGGAACACACACAAATATAATATCATACATTGCTGCAATACTTCTATACCACACATCCAAATTCTCAAAATAGCAAAGAATAAACTCAAAATAGACTCAGCGGGAATTTGAAAAACAGCATTATTTCTATTCTTTGTGAATTTATACTTACTCCAGATCGTGCACAAAACTATGGAAAAGCCACGAATAGGTGACGCGATCGAGTATATGAATGAAGTATTGAATTGACTCATTTCTTTCCATGTTTAGATTCGGGAACGCTTCGCAAATGATGAGGGTAGATATAAAGATTTCCTGTCTGTTTTAATCACGATGAAGGAAAAAGGGTAGGTATTTCGCGTTCTCTTTGAATTTGCAGTACTACAGATGAGGAATGCTGGAAACATATTTCATATATCTTCGACGGACACAAAGATTTATTATTGAAATTCCAGAAGTTTCTCCCTTCAGAGACCGGATTTGAAGCCCCGAAGAGTCAGGTACCCGTACCTCAAATTCAGCAGTATGCGGCGCCCACATTGAACCCATTAACGTAGCTTCATTCGCAAGGACGTGATCATGTAGAAGCAACTTGAATATGCACAATGATGCGAATAAGTACATTTCATTAATCAAAAGACGCTTCCCAAGTGACGAAAACTCCACCTACACAAGGTTCATCAAAATCTTGAAGGAGTATCAGGAAAGCCGCCGGTCGATAATGGATGTAGCTCAGGAGGTGGAGGTCTGGTAGGGTGGTGATTCGTAGGTAGTCAAGTTGTTCCAGGGTCATGAAGATCTCATAAAGGGCTTCATGGATTTCATCCCTGACGAATACCAGTGCGAAGTGACAATGATGATCAAACAGTGCCAAACCTCCACTCTCGACGCCCCCTCTGCAATGGAGTCCGCTCCGCTCTCTTCCCAGCCCTCCTTCGATGCCGACTACGCCGAGACGCGTCGCCGTCAGCGTTCCTCTCGCCTGCAGCGACCCATTTCCCCTGCCTTCTCCAGCCCTCCAGTGACTCGATCTCGCCGCCATCCAGGCGAGTCGGGCGAAGAGGAGTCCCCCGCGATTCCGAGCGACGTGACGCGTTTCTTCGAGCAGGCGCGGCGAGACATCTCCTCCGACGAGATCTATCAGCAGTTCATCAAGCTGCTGGACGCCTACAACCGCGGGATCCTGCCTCTCAGCGAGCTGTTCTCGGCGGTGACGGACCTGCTGCACATCCGGCACCCGGTGGTGTCGCACCTGCGGAACTACCTGGCGCAGAAGGGCATCCGCGAGGACGAGGTGGGTCGCGGCAGCGCGCGTCGCCTGTAGATGAGCCATCCCTCGCTGCCGCTCTCCTGGGAGCAGATCCACGCCTGCAAGGGCCCCACGCCCTCCTACCACGAGCTCCCGCCGCAGATCCCGCGGCGCGTGGGGTCGCAGCGATCGTACGCGGACAGCCTGGTGCTGAACGACAACCTGGTGTCGCAGACGACGGGCTCGGAGGACCTCTCGTACATCGTGGGGCTCCGAACCGCGGGTAACGCGTAGCACATGCGTCGGAACCAGTACGAGGAGGCGCTGTTCCGCTGCGAGGACGACCGATTCGAGGTGGACGTGATTCTGGAGACCACGCGGTCGGCCATCGCGCAGCTGCACTTGCTGAGCAGCGAGCTGGAGGCCGTGCAGGAGACGCAGGAGACGCAGGAGACGCAGAAGGACGCCTATCGGCTGCGGGACGACGCGCTGTCCGCCATCCAGCTGGCCGCGATCCGACGCGTGTACGCGCACAACGGCATGGACCAGGAAGTGGTGAAGCTGCTGTTCCTGAACCCGCGGGACTGCATCCCGCGGATCCTGGAGCGACTGGAGGCGAAGGAGAAGGAGTGGATGGGGGAGAAAGTGCTGATGAACGAGGTAGCGATGGGGAGGCCTGAGGAGCGTAGCGCTGCCGCGAGATCCAGAAGCAGAACTACTACTTGTCGCTGGACCACCGCAGCTTCTACTTCCGGCAGACGGACAAGAAGGAGATCACCACGAAGGTGCTCATCGACACCATCAAGGACCTCGCCGCCAAGCACGCCGCCGACCATCCCCACGCCAAGGGACGATTCGACCAGGGAGACCCGCAGTTCCGCTTCGCCTTCGCCAACCGCGTGGTCCACAAGCAGGTGCTTCGCCTGCTCCTGGTCGCGGGGAAGCGGCAGTTCGCGCGCGGGGAGATGGTGGGTCTGGGAAACGCCCGTGACGTGCAGAAACGCTTCCACGCGCTGCTGCAGGACCTGGTGATTTCCTTCTTCCGCCTCACGCCCAACTTCATCGCGTCCGCGGAGATCGTACGCGCTGGCGGCCCGGCTGAGCGGCAGGAGAACAGCGGCGTGCAGTACGCCGTCGGCACGCGCGTGGACACGCCGCAGGGCGTCGGCGTCGTCGCGCGCTTCGACGCGGAGTCCAAGCTCTACACCGTCACGCTCCCCGACCGCCAGGTCGAAATCCCGCGGGGAGAGATCCTCGTACACCCCAAGTCCGAAACGCCCGCCTCCTCCGACGAAACGGACCTGCCCGACGAAACGCTCGCTCCAGCGTCGGCGTCGGCGTCTGGAGTGGATGCAGGCTCCGCTTCGGCTTCCGCTTCGGCTTCGGCTTCGGCTTCGGCTTCGGTGAAAAAAGCGGAGGATTCGGAGGAACTGGGCGACGAGGCGCCCGTGCAAATCGAGTCGGATGGTGGGTTCGGAGGGTCCGATTGATCGCAGAGCCCGCGCTGCCCGCTTCGCGCGACGTGCTCTACGGGAGCAACACGCTCTACGTGTTCTACCGCCTCTACGAGCTGCTCTACGAGCGTCTGGAGCGGAGCACGACGCTGTGCCACGAGGACGTCTACACGGAGCGGCGGATGATCGCCCACGCCGTGGAGCGCGCCGTGGACCCGGCTCGCGAAGAAGCGCTGCCCACCGGGCTGGAGCGGAACATCGACCTCATGGACACGCTGATCCAGCTGCTGCGCGGAGAGATCACCAACCCCATCTTCGAGCAGCGCTGCCGCCAGCTCGTCGGCACCAACGGCTACTTCCTCTTCACCATGGACCGCGTCGTCGCCGGCTGCATTCGCCAGATCCAGTCCCTCCTCAGCGACCCCGTCGGGCTCCAGCTCATCGTACGCCGCGCGGACGCGCTCCTTTCTAGGCTCTGCGGAACTACGAGCGACGCAGCGGCGGAATTCGGCGGGATCTCTACCGGCGAAACGCTCTGCGCGTGCTGGGCGACGCGCGGCTGCACTTGTTCCGCATGGAGTACGACGAGGAGGCGAGCGAACTGCTGTTCTGGTACGTGGGACTGGCGCACGACCTGCAGAGACCGGAGGGCGCGCTGGACAGCGAGTTCTGCAAGTACGCGGAGAAGTATTTGAGACAAGCGAGGAACGCGAAGGGGGACGAAGAGGAGGACGAGGACGAAGAAGAAGGGAAAGAAGACGAAGAAGAGGACGAAGAGGACGAGGAGGAGAGAGAAAGGAACGGGCAGAGACAGAGAGAGGAACGGGGAGGAAGACGGAGATACAAAGGAGCAGTGGCCGAGGAGGAAGACATGGAAGAAATGGAGGAAATGGAAGAAGAGGAAGAAGAAGAAATAGATAGCAGCCCGTTTTTAACACGAGCCAAGGCGCGAAGCTTGCAGGAAGGAAAGGTGAAGATAGAGAAGGAAACAGAAGAGTCAACGCCCGAGCAGGAGGAGGGAGATGAATCGAAGACGCGCGGAGGCAGAAAAAGAACGAAGCTGAGCGGAGAAGACGATGTGATGGCTCCTAAAAAGGCAAAATAGATTGTGTTTGTGACAAACAAGCGATGGGGATAAGACATAACACACAGATATGGAACGTTTGGAATTTGTAAAATCGTTTATTGTTGGTAACACATCACAGAGAGGAGATCACTTGCACCCATTCTGCCTCATGAGTTCGTCAACCGCATTGACAATACTAGGATGGTTAATCAGAATTCTCCTCGCTTCATCAATATCCTTTTCGATTAACTCCTTGACTTTGACTAAGAGTTCGTGAGCCTCCTCTTTGGACAGGTTTGAGCAATATGATTGGGGACGCTATATTATGACCAGAAAAACAACCAATACAGCATTAATGTTACCTTTCTTGCCTCCATCAGGGTAGTCAATTCGAAGTTCTCTTCCATCGATTGATTTCTTCTTATTCATCTTTCTGGCCTCTTCAGCACTTCGGGCATCCACAAATTCACAAAAGGCGATTCCTTTGTTTATGCCTTTGGTCGGGTCCATTTTTAGACTAACCCTTATCAAAAGAGAGAAAGACTACTCGATCTTCTTAATCATCCCAAATGACTCCATGATGGCCCTAACTTGGCTTTCTGTAGCCTCAAACGGTATATTTCCAACTAATTATTAGTCTTTCTAGAGAAACTGTACTAAACACACACCTTTCGCGGTCCTCGAAATTCATTTTGATGCCTTAGAGGTCTAAGAGGATTGTTTACTCAATCAACCACTCGGTTGTTAATTATTGTGATGGTAGCATTTCTGTGCATTATTCAGTAGTGTGCCCCTATTTGATCTAATTAAAGGTTTTTGCTAATAAAAACAAAAAATACAGTAAAATCAGGAATTATTGATCCCCTTAAAATGAATGGTTGGGGCCATGAAACCCATCATCCATTAATTTATAATTTTTTTTATTCATTTGTCCCTTTTTACGATGGAAGACCTTAGAACTTTAGAGGATAACTATTTTCCGAACATATCTCTCCCGAATTTTGATAGAGATGCACTCCAAGCGTCCTTTGACGCGAGTTATAGGAGCCCAGGTATGTATCAGGATCAGGGAGATGATGTAGTCCCTATTTGTGGTAGCGTCTCTTGTGTTTTCTTATTGTATTAGAGGTCCCCCAAGGAGAACAGCCCGTCCCCATATTCGACAATACCAATATGGTGGCTGCTCCTACAACTCTGCATTCCGGTATGGTACAGGAACTACCTACAGTCTCATCATCACCCTCTCTTCCTGAAGACTCCTCCACTCCTCAGTCTGTTTTAACGTACCCCGACTGCTTTACTGAGGTGTTCATTTCTCCGAATGTAATTGTGTTACAACGTAAGGAACCGCAGGGTGGTCAGGAATGTCTTAACTCCGAATTACTAACGTTTTTCCGTACCTGGCAAATGAATGCCAGCAGAATACCATTGAATTCTGGGGTGAATCAACGCGTGCCTCGACCTTATTCCTCCTTGCCTCCTCTCCTCCCCAAGCCGACGTTGTACCCCATTACTCCTATTAACAATGATCCCAACACTTCTTCCCCTCCAGTATTTTCTTCTTTTGCTTGTTCTGGTAATAATACTATTCCAATTCCGAATTCAACGGTTGTTCCTCCTGGTACTTCAACGAGTATGCCTACTTACGCCAGTTACCCAACTGTCTATACTCCAATGGCTAATTCGTTTCCTCCTACGGATACTACTAATTCTACGAATACTATTAATCCTATTAATCCTATTAATCCTATTAATACCACTAATACTACTAGAAGTGCTCAGCGTTGTAAGGTTCATACACGTACCTCTTCCAAAACTAAGAAGCCTGTTAGAGCCAATACGAAGTCTCAGAATCCACCCAAACGCCGATCCCGAAACTTTGATTACTGTGTTCGACAGATGCTAATCAATTGGATGGTTAGTCACAAGAATCGTCCATATTGTAGTCGAGAAGAGAAGCTCAAATTGGCCAAGTTGACAGGACTAGAGGTTAAGCAGATTACCATGTGGATGATCAATAGTCGTCGTCGTAAGCAATTCTGAGATTGTTGTGTTTGATTGAAATCACGATTAAAATTAACGAATTGTTAAATGTTGTGATGAGGTTGGTAATTAATTACACATAATTAATATTGTGAAAACAATAATAGAGAGAATTAATCAATTCAATTCAATTAATATCGAATACAATTCTAGTATTGATTAATTCATAATTAATAATATAAAAGAAGTAAGTAATTGCGATTTGTTATTTCATTAATTCGTTCTTTGGACTGATTCTATTCAAAATGTAATTTCCCATTTCATTCTAATACTATTTCCTATATTCAATATGTTGATTGTGATAATTGATTAATGTATTTACTCTTTCATTCTCTTTCTCTGATTTGGTTTATACTAATCACTCTTTCAGACTAAGAGGGGATGGACACACATGTACTGACTAGGATAAGCAAGCAATATGTCCGTCATACAGTTACATACAATTATGAGCACAGCAAAAGAAAGGGAACCATCGCAAGCACACTACTACTACTACTACTACAATACACAAAGAGAACCAAAAAAGAAAAACCCATCCTATGCCAAAGAAAAAATCGATCAAGGTGGGACTCGAACCCACAACCTCTGGATCCGAAGTCCAACGCGCTATCCATTGCGCCACATGACCGGATCTATTTGGTTCTTCACTACTAGCATAAGACATACCCCTTTCGTAGTGGGTTGAACGATTTTCAAATGGGACGTTACTCCAAGGACAAACGCGTTCATTCGGTTCTATGCGATGAATTCTAGGATATCTATTATCGAAAGGCAAAGGAAGTCGGGTATCGTGCAAGATCTGCCTTTAAACTCCTTCAGATCAACGAGGAGTATCACATTTTTGATCGTGCTCTATTGTATATGTGTTTACCCGTAGAAGTCTCGCGTGCCGTCGACTTATGCGCTGCCCCAGGTAGTTGGAGTCAAGTACTGAGCCGGGAGCTGTATAAGCCGGAAAAGAAGGATGTGAAAATAGTGGCCGTCGATTTGCAGGAAATGGCACCCATCGAAGGTGTAATTCAGATCCAGGGCGATATTACGAGCAAGAAGACTGCAGATGAGATCATTAACCATTTTGAAGGAAAGAAAGCTCAATTGGTGATTTGTGATGGTGCTCCAGATGTCACTGGCTTGCATGATATGGATGTATATGTACAGAGTCAACTTCTTTTATCTGCGCTAAGCATCACAGCGCAAGTTTTGTGTGACGGAGGTACGTTTATTGCCAAAATCTTCCGCGGACGCGATGTGACGCTTCTCTTTGCGCAGCTTCGCGTCTTCTTCTCGGAAGTGGCGTGCTGCAAACCGAAATCAAGCCGGAATTCTTCGATGGAGGCTTTTGTGGTGTGTCGCGATTTTTCGATTCCCGAAGGGTTCGATGTGAATCAGTTTGCTCTGTGCCTCTCTGGACAGTACAAAAACGTTCCTTTTCCTAACAAAGTCAACGCGGAAATCGTGCCGTTCTTGGCATGCGGTGATCTGTGCGGATACGACAGCGACAAGAGTTATCCTTTACAGCTGGGAGAAGACGAAGAGGAGTTCGTCTATCATGAGCCTGTGCAGAAGCCTATTCATCCAGCCTATTCAGAATACTTGAATATGAAACGAAAATGTGTCGATTGAGTGCGGTGTTTGTTGCAAGAAACATGTTACAATTCCTGCAGTTGCTGATAGAGTTCACGAATCGATTCACTTTTATAGTAATCACTTCGCAACTTGATCATTTGCAGAACGACAACCCGATCGAGACTCAGAATATCCGCATCTTGGACGTATCCCTTCAAGATTGTTTCAGGAATTGATACCAAATGGAGCAGTTTCTTCATGATACGACTAAAGATCGATGCCGATTCCATATTTAACTGAAGCATGGTCTATCATTATGAGGTGATTTCGCGTAACCATACTTCTTCATAGCAGTGTATATCGAGTTCGATTAGAAGAATTCCAGTGTTGCTGACTTTCTTAATCTTGGTGAGCGACTCATAGAAACACTTTTGGAACACTAAAAACAAAGCTTCGCTTTACAACATGAAGGAAACCAAGGCTGCAAGAGAATCGATCGGCAGGCAGAGAGAGAGAGAGATCAAACTCCTCAAATCCCACGCAATCCACGCAATCCACGCAATCCACGCAATCCACACACACCCAAAACAAAAGGATATGTATTGCTCCAGATTTCCTCCATCGAGCGCCTGGTGTGCACTTTCAAGATGGCGTTTGAGCCATCCCGTCACAGCAAAGCACACATCCGAGGCTCGCGTAATACCTACATTGGCGGGGGGCGTGTATGTGCTGTTCTTGCTCAGCCCATCAAAGAGAGAGCCGAAGTACAATTCGTTTTGACGCAGAAGCTCCTGCAGGAGCTCGGACACTTTTCTTTCCACGGCGATGTACATTTTCTTCACCTCGATTTCGCACACTTGCTCGTCGCTGCTTCCTTCCTCCACTACGCATTCACTTCCCTCGCCTGCCCCTCACGAATCGCGCGAATCCTGGTGAGATAGTTCTGCTGAACACAGTGCATGACACCATTGAGAATATCGACCGTATCGAGGATCGCCGTATTGGGGGAATTGATCGACGTGCCCGGGAGGATTGTCGTGGGGTAATCGCGAGCATTGATCACCGTCACAACGTTTAGCACCAACTACATTCAAAGGGTGAAGAGAACGAGTACCAAAATATACTCCGTAATCGCACGGAAGATCACTTCGGTCACCGTTGAGACTCTGCCATCGTTCGCTCGCATTCGCTTCAATCGCTCTGGACAGTCAAGAAAACGCTCTTCTTTGGGCAAAAGGCAGTGCTAGGATATCAAACGTCTGCGAGGCCCGATTGAAGAGCTCGAGAATCGTAATGGGAGAGAGCGCCTGGGTGATAAACTGCTTCGTCATGTCGACGGAGCTCAAATCGCCGAATGTCAGCTTTAAGTTGGATCGAATTTCGGATTTGGATGAAGAAGATGTGACGTTAATAGGAATGTGTCTGACGACGATCTCTTTGAACGCGATGTCCAACACGCACAGTTCATCATTGAAGTACTGGTCCTACACCATCAGTGCATCTCCCTCCCTCCTCTACCATATTCGAAATGAAGGCTCCATTGAGCGCATCCTCCAAACCTTCCTGCTCGCGAATAATTCGCTCCGCATGGCCCACCAGCTCTTTTTCTTTGGCCGAGATCGCTTCGATCATCTCATTGTAGAACTTCGTGCTATACTCGCGAACTTGAGCCAGCAGCTACCGCGTCACTCTCCTTCTCCACACCTCCTCCTACTTCAAATTTCTCTTCCTTCGAAAGCGAAAGGCAGCCATTGATCGTCTGGAGTAAGTATTGGATCTACGCCTAACGCGTCCGCGCCTGGCCCACTCCAAAGGTTTGATCGCTGAACACGCGGTCAATCAAGGACACCATGACTTGGCACACCGTGTCCTTCTTGAAGATCTCGTACACAGTTTCGATTTCGGTTCGGTACAGTTCCGTTAGCTTCATCCAATAGGAAATCACATAGTCCACAAAGTCGTGGTACATCCGCTACGCTCGTATCGCCCTCCTGTCCCTACTTCCGGCTCCAGCTTCACGCTCGACAGTTCGCGCTTGATCTTCTCGATCGAGATGTGCGTGTATGTCTGGAACACTCCCATTCCGTTCTGGAATGTGGAGAGGCAGGACGTCACCCAGGCGAGCTGCTTCAGCTACAAAAAGAACTCTGCGCAAGCGGCTGTACATCGTTCGACATCGTGGCTTCCTGCAGCGATTCCACCAGTCTATCCACCACGCTTTGCACACGACTATTCACGCGGTCGATGACCTCTCCATGCTCCTCTCGATCCAGACCTTCACACAGCTGGACCAGATCTTGCAGAGCGCTGCTGCCTTGGAGCAGCTGCTCGTTGGACAGAAGCATCTCTTGCATGTGGTTCTCACTTTCTTTGAATTGCATGTAGTTGTTCAGGAGATCCAGTGTCTTCTCAGCGCGTTCTTTCTACCCATCACTCCCTTGCCACGAAGCTACTTGGCCAAAAAGGGATTTCAAAGTTTGGCCTACTCCAATAGAAGAAGAAGACACATCCATATATCTATGTCTATCGAGCAGCACAAGAAGCCCACTTCTTGCTAATATCCGAATAACTATTCTCCAGTCCATGCAGTTTCTCCATCAACTCATCACAGTCGGTCTGTAATGTTTGTTCTAAAAATGATACAATGGCAGAGAATTGACCCGCCTGCTTGCATTTTTCGGTCTGATTTGTGATCATCGTCTGAAGCGTAACTTGCACGTCAGCAACCTGCGACTTTGCAGTATTCAATACATTTCGAATTCTTGCTATATCTAAGGTACCATCCCAGTCTGAAGAAGGCTCTATAACATGATCAACACAAAAGAGAATAATCCAACCCTTTAGCATAGCAGGCATCATAATTTTGTCCATAAACGTGGTTTCACTAAAATTATCCTCAAAGTCCCTCCATGTCAGAGATTGAGCTTGATTTTGTGCCCCCAGGGCAAAAATTCGACTTACATCAGCCATTTTATTCTTGCAATATTACCCAATACGAGAGAGGATGAAGATCTACCGAGAAATCTAGAATACTGTTGAAAACTCATTACTCGCTGGAAAAGTGAAATTCCCGTGACAAACAAACAATACTATCTATAATCTTTTCACATAATTTGCAGGGAAAATACCCATATTTCCTTTGAATTTCCCTGTCCACCAGCCGCACTCGTCGACAGCAACAACAGAAATAATATCTCCTTTACGAAAGGGGAGATCACCTTCTTCATCGCCCTTAAAATTGTACATCGCGATTACATCAAAAAGCGAGCGATTTGGATTCATGTAATCATCCTGAGAAGACCATTCTACAAGTCCCAATTCTTGTTCTCTCCAACTCAAACTATCAGTACGGAAGAGTGGTGACGTTGTATCGACCATATCATCATCCTCTTCCCCATCTTCCTCATCCTCATCATCAAAAAAGGTAACTTCCTCTTCCTCTTCTCTTTCAGTAGCATAATCAGTCGTGAGCGACCACGGCGATCTTTCGTCCTCGGTGGCCTTTTTGTTGCTGGAAGCACGTCGTTTTCTTCCAGCGGCCCTCTTTGCGCTTCTTGGCTCCTGATTCTCCGGCTCTGCGTTGAAAGACTCCACCAGCAGTGGCTGAGATAACGAGGAAGCCTCGAATTCTCGGAACGTGGTGTATTTTGGTATCGTCTCGTCCGTATGGAGCGGAAAGTTATGCAGAGCCGGCTGGAAAGTCTTCTCTACTTCGTTTCCGCTTTGAATATCTTCCAGAATGCTCGACAGATCATTCAGCACCATATCCGTAAACTGCTCGCCTATATTGTTCCCCACATCCGACAGTGCGTCATATTGTTTCTTCACCAAATACATCTGGGTCACGACGATGGACGCTGAACATTCCATTAAAATCGTAGACCCGATCGATATAAAGTCCTCAAAATGCGACTGTAAAAATGTTGTGAATTGGTCGAGCATCTCCTTGTCGTGCAGTGCTTTCGCTTGAAATCGCGAGGTTTGCACTTCATTCTTTTTTCGTTGATACAAGGCCACCCTCTGGAGGTGGGAATCATAATCTAGCCGGATATTCTTCCTCTGCTTATACAAAACATCAATACCCTCGCTTCCATTTTTCACAAAAAGGTCAATTTGCTTTACTACACGATGTTGCAATATCGCCGATATGGCACGCACCGTTTGAGTATACTCGCTTTTATAAAACTTATCTAAGTCGCCAATATTTTCGGAAAACTCGTGGAGTGCTTCTCTTTCGGATTGTTCGATTCCGCTTATGCTTTTGTTTATACTCCTGGATAGCTTGTAGTTTGTTGCACTCCAATTCTTCAAATTCTTGATCACACTTTTACCATGTTCAGACAATTCCAACAAATTCTTTTTTAGTATAATATACGTATTATACAGTTTATCGAAGTCATCATCAGGAGGGAGGCAAGTGCGACCTACAAATCAGTGAATTCTTGGACTAGAACCTGTGGCCACCTTCATCTTTTGTGTGAGTCGCCTCTTAGAGTCCTTTAGCGATTGAAAAAAGGACGGCATAAAAGTGTATATGAGATTACTACCGCTTCATTCTCTTTTGCTATGTTGGTGGGAATAACTAGATAGAATATTTTAAAATATAGAGATAGGGATCTATGTGGTTATTTGTTAGTTTGTTTGGTTTGGTTTGGTTTGTTAGTTTCTCCCAAAACAATTCTTTTCCAATTCTTTCCATATTATTGTTTTATGCTATATCGAGAAATATTTTTGGTGACCTGAATAGCACTTTCGGTTGTAGGTTAAAGAGGCAAAACGAGAAAATCATTCAAATGGAGTCAGATTTAGTGGACTGCTTATCACTGGAACATCCCCAAAGTAATATTAGAAAACGTGTTTCATCTCTTAGTATGAGAAAGTACTCCAAATGATACTACTACCAACCATAATTATATCTAGACAATCGGAATTAGAAAAACGAAAAATATAAGATTAGTAATCAATGTTGACATCCTTTTCGTTGCATCTACAAATAGTTCTCTTTCTATTTGAACGAGTCTTTTCTTACTTACAGTTTATCATAATCAAGATTACGACTACTGATAAATAATATATAATATATATTTCAAACAATAGTAGCAATAGAAATAAAAGCATAAATCATAATCATGGAAGTAGTCATATATAGGTCAAGTAAAAATACAGAAAGAATCATTTACGAACTTTTGTTATTATTGTTATATTCTCCGCTCTTTTTAAAAAACACACAATTACAATCAATCTCGATAGATATCAAAACAGATCAAACAAAATGGTTTACAATTCTACCATTCTACTAACCTTTTCATTTAGTTCACCTATATATATATATATATATATGCCACTATTGTAAAAATATATTGTTCTCGACAGTTCTATAGAACAAACATCTTACAGTAAGAAGACCCATAGAACACTGGTAAATTGAACTTTTAATGTCTTCTGCTTCTACTATGCTCACTATGATAATGATGATGACTTCTCCTTCTCCTATCATGGCTACGATCTCGATCTCGATCTCGATCTCGATCTCGTCCCCGGCTTCGATGGCTTCGATGGCTTCGGCTATAGCTACGACTACGACTACGACTACGACTTCGTCGGCTTCGGCTTCGGCTTCGGCTTCGGCTTCGGCTTCGGCTTCGGCTTCTTCGCCGACTTCGATCTCGATGATCTCGAGCATGGCTCTGATCACTCTTTTCTGGCACCTGAGAATTACTCTTGCTATCATTAGAAGATGCATTCGTAGAACTTGACACTGGATTTTGCGAGGGCTGAGATGTTTGTTCGTTTAGAGTACTGCCTTGCGATGGCTGCCCAGCCGGTGAAGGATTTGCAGCTTGCAACAGACTTTTTTCCTTTTCTTTGAGTTTCTTGCTAAGCCGACTGCAAACGCTATTCATCTAAAGAGTCAGACTCCGCTCCCTCTCGTACATGATCGTCGATTCGCTGGTTAATTTCAGCCTCCGCGTTTTCATCCAGAATGACAAAGCCACCCTATCAGTCACCCAATATATATTCAACTCTTTACAGGAGCTACTCTGTACAATGGAGGTCTATTGCGCATTGTGCTGGCACCAGGTCCATAGGCTGTTGGCTGGATAATCGGACCGTTTGAAGGGCCCACACGAATAGCACGACCTCCAATGTAAAGTCCATCTAGTTTAGTAGCCGTTTTTGCACCATTGCGGTCCTGAAACTCAATAAAACCAAAGCGAGTTCCTGAAATTATAAGAAGCTTAAACTCTTACCAGCATCTGGTTTTAAACCCATTCCTTCACATGCGATTTTCGCCAGGTTAATAACTCCGCACGAGCTAAACACTTTGATCAATTCATCTTCAGTAATCTACACTTCACAATCAAACACCACACAAACCTCAGGAATAAGGTTACCAACATACAGAGTTCTGCTTATTTGCTCCTGTGCAGCATTTTGCTGTAACAGCATTGGCTATTTGTCAAACAAATAAGAAAAACCTTACATCAATATCACTTGTCGGTCTTGAATTACTCAACATATTCTAGTAATAAAGGTAAGTAATATTCCAAAACATATTGGTATAGAGCACTAGCCAACTGAGGATTCACTTCTGTCACTTTATTATATGCCGAAGAACCAGACATATACTTACTATTTATTAATATTCAAATTCAAATAATAATATAAGCCTATATTATTATTATAATAAAAAAACACGTCACTTTCCGAGTACCGCGGGAATTTCTGAAAACAAACACCTATTCAAAAATAACTAGCCTGGACGGTCTTGACCACACTTATTGCAATATAAGCGAATCGCTGATTTGCTTTTTATATACAAGGACCGTTTATCGTTCCCCACCTCGCAAAAAAGATCGGACGAGAGACCTGTAGAGACTACTACATAGGGATTGTTTTCGGATAGACTTTCCTGTGTGGTATCTATTTTGAAATAATAGACTTGATACTCTGTACCTTGCTGTAAAAACATATCACTACTAACAGCGCTAGACTCACTTTCCGCTGGATTCATCTTTCCCTCATTTGTCTAATTGAAAAGAACCATCCATGTCCAACCTTGTTGCTCTTTTGAAGTATAGATTGTACATACTTTCCGATTTCATCATATCCCATCCAGACCAGAACATGTTCCTTCAGAAGCAGATATCTGCAGATCATATGGATCGAAACAAGGAAATGAATCGCATCCATTACTCTCTTTTGAATAATGGGCATCAGTGAAAGGCATGTATTCGCTTCCAAAATAAACCCTTTTGCTCTCAGATCTTTCAGCACCATATGAATCATACAAGAAACAAACTACCGATGATTCTGACCAAGTGCAAAATACCGCTTCTTCCTGTGTTGAATAAATTCTCGATAGACAGTCCTTCACAAGACAACAGAAATATGAATCTTTTACAGTCCGTATATACTCCAAAGCGTTTGGCTGTTGGATACTCATCTATAATATATGGTACCTTTTAAATAATCGCAATACACTTTCCATTCCTTCCAGATTCATCCTCAAACTTTAAATGGCAGATTCACCTCCACAAACTTTAAATAACAAATTCACCTCCACAAACAAATTGAATCTCTTTTGGGACCCGTGCTAAAACAAACAAACAAGAATAGTCTATTTCTATAATAGTAATAGTAACAACAACGCCTTAATGCTGTCTCTTCTTCTTCTTCTCAGGGATATGAGGGTTAACATTTAAGACAGTGTTCACAATCAAGTCTAGCATTTTCTCGTGATTAGCCTCGTAATCTTTGCTAAAAGTAATTAATAAATGCAATCCACTACTTGAGATTCACAATCTCTGCCTCTGTTTCAGCACTGAGTTTTTCAACCTCCTTCTGGGAACCAGCTCCTTCGCTCTAGAAAATGAGTGAGTTCCGTTTGCAATGTACAGATTTTTGTTTTTCCTGGAATTCAGCTTCCATGGTTGCGCGATAAGATTCAATCTCTTCTTTAGCCTTCTCTTTGGCATCCGACATCGCAGACTGTCTCTCTAAATAGATAAAACTACTCCAGTGCTAAAATTACTCTGTCGTGCCTCTTGAACGATGGCAGCAGCTTCCTGCTCGGCCTTCATCAGTTCCTCGATCCCGTTGTATCCAGCTTCCGACATTGATATCTATACAGTCGTCAACAGCACAAAATGATTCTACACTCCAAAAGGAGAAAACGTAGAATTGGATGTATAATGATTTATGATATTCAAGGCCATGATGATTCCTTTGTGATCTATTCAAATAGACTTTTCTACCATACTCTAGAATGCACATCATTTCTTTGTAATTGATGTGATATAGAAAACAGCTCTATGTCTTTTTGAATAGAAAACGTATAGGGTTCTCTGTGTTTTTTCATGCACCTCTCTGTGTTCTTTTGTATTTCCTATCTCACTACAGACTAGTATAGAGGCAATGGATAATTCTTACTATAGTGAAATCCCTTAGAAATCGCAAAATAGTCGGCATCCTTTTTCACTCCTTCTTTCACAGAATGATATCAACCAAAAAGATACTAGAGGGGTGTCTTCTCGCAATTTCCAGAGATGTGACTGAGAAATGGAGCTTATATCTTGAAGGAGCCGAGTTTGTGGAAGATGAGAACACTCTAGTGCCCAAATCTGTTTATTCCAAATTGGAATACAACGAGCATCTTATTCCGTTATACAAATTAGCTGGAAAGTTTAATGTTGATCTTCGAGCTGGGGTTGCCTCTACCTCTGTTGTTAGCAGACAGAGGAAATTGAACAGGACGCTCGATGACTTTCCTGAGTGGATTAACAGGCTTTCCTTGCTACGTGAAGAGGAATCAAACCAGCAAGAAGACTGGGTGATTTACATTTATGGGAAAGTGAAGCACACGACTTTAGTGATACGTGATAAGAAGTATGTTCGTATCGCCTCTAGGAATGTTGTTGTTGGTGATATAATATATGCAGGAGCTGGAGACATTATAGCAGCAGACGTACGCGTGATTGTGTGTTCCAAGGGGGCAAAAGCTGACTTGACTAATGTTGTGTCTCAACCCAGTTTTGTAAAAGAATTAGGAGAGAATTCATCCGACATCGATCCTCTGTATTTTTTCTTCTTATTTCTTGAAATCTAGCAAGAGTGCGAATGTCGTTCCTGCGCGAAGTATGCTGATCGAGGGACAACTCTTTGGAATCGTTATGCGAGTGGATTCAGACACGATCACTTATTCTCACGGAGATTTCAACAATTCTCCCAGGTGTACTGAGTCTCCTCGAAGATCCGAATGGAAAAACGTTATAAGGGAAGCGTGCTCTCTTCAGCTGTATCCTTTGTGCTTAAATGTATGTATGTGAATAAGGCGCTCTTAGTTTCTTAGCATCTTCTGGAGCTGAAGTCGATCGATACGTTAGTGTTAGCTCTTCCTTTCGATGTGTCTGATCTGACCAAATCCGTGATACGCAATCTCCATCAGTATGTGAATCATGTGATCATTTGCCGAGAGATGGATGTTATGTATGATGTACGTGCCTCACCCTCTTTCCGATTTATTCCATAGTCTTCGCTATGGTCCCCTCTCGAGGGCAATCTCAATTTGTGTCAGTGGGATGATTCGAAGGTCACGGAGTGGGTTCGCAACTTCGTAAAAGAAAAGTCTGCTACTGCAGGACTCATTGCTTTACCGCAACAGTTCGATACTCTCTGTCGTGCTCTTTCACCCCAGTGAGTTTTTGAGCCGCTCTCCATTACGATCAGATCTTTTGCATTCGTTGGCGGGACTTCCATTGAACATCTTCAAGTGATAAATATTGCTACGACTAGCATATCCTTAAACTAAACTAAAAAAGAGGAATTGGAGGAGGAGGACAATAGAGGAAAGAGATGGACTTAACACCACATTTGTTTCAGCTCTGGAAAGGATATGTGTAAAATACAGTCGGATGGTATTTTGTTATCCTCTTCAATATGGGCGCTCGTTGACATTTTGAGTCTCTTCGCAGCTCCTTCTGACCTAACCTCCTGCTGTATAATATTCACTGTTTGTGACAAACATTTCATTCCGATTTACGACAGATATAAATGTGATGACAATACTCGGTACCCGTCTGGGAAGACTGTGTAGAGGAGGAAGATTTGGCTACAAGAATAACTCAACACAAAACAAAGAATACGGAGAGATATATGAACGACCTTCCATTTTAGCGATGACGACTGGAAATAGTCCAAGCGATATTCAGGCATTCCATAAGAGATGCATATATACACTCCATTTTTCTTTAGTACACGATTCACTTCCAAAAGAGCTTGCTCCGGGTTCGAGCTTGATTCATCACCACAAATAATCGCATCCAAAGTACCCTTATCCAAAATTACATCAAAAGATTCATCCTCATACGTCATATGATGAACATCCATGACATCCCCTATGATGTGAACCATACCAAACGAACACAAAGTACATTTCATTCCGGTTTTTTCTACGCATTTTTCTTTCATCTTGTTGATAACAACTGAACTGTAATCGTTACTCGTGATATCATTAAATCCGTCCCTGTACAAATCCTCCGACAGATCTATTTATAAAAGAAACCCACCCCTTACTCGAATCACCACAACCCAAAACGAGAATCTTATCTTCCTTCTTCATATATTTCAAAATATGATCTTTAAACGACGAATATTGGTTGTACCATTCAAAACCACTACTATCTCTAGTTTGCTTAGTTTTCAAGAACAAAGAACCTTACTTTGTATATCGTTCGTTCCAATATTCTACGGATCCGTACTGACTCATAATCTCAGATTTATCACCTAGATTCTGTGTTTTCGTCTATTTGCTTGTGATCATGGAAAGTGATGAGTCTTCCTATGATAATTATAAACTAAGTATCATTCTATTATTATTTCATATTTTCCACTGTTGATCAGAATTAAAGAGACATATTATTAAGAGTTGGATGTAGGATTTTTACACATATGATATTTGCTTGGCTCAAACAAGAAGGAGTACCATCAACTTTGTGTATGGGTCTGTTTAGCATTCTCTTTTTCTCTATTTGTTATTGGTTGTGTTTGGCTGTATGAACTGGTTCTCTAAGAGGTATATACCACCGTAACACCCTACTGACCGTCCTTTTTTCATTTCTGCATTTTCATAAAACACAGTAGCTGTCAATTCTAGTTGCTCAAAGCGTTGTTGCAGGTGGGTGAACGACTCAACAAAGTCATCTCTGATTTGGCGTGTCGTGTTTAGTAGCTGAACCAATTTTCTTGAAGTTCTTTGCAGTTCTGAATAGTCTTGAACCATATCTGTAAGTGTTTGATTCGAGTAACTATTCTTTTCTTCTTCCTACATATTGAATTGTGATTTCAATTTACCTTCACATCATGTCGGCAATATGGATTCGTCTATCTATATTGGAGAAGACGATGACACGTACACAGGATTCGTTTTCCTTGGGGTGTGAGCTTGGCTTATCAACGAGTGCAACTCTTGTTGTTGTTGTTGCTGCTGTTGCTGTTGCTGTTGCTGTTGTAACTCCGATTTTTTCGTCGATAATTTTTACCCTTGCTTTTAGACGAATAAGTTCTGAATAGATCTTTTCCAGGAGACTAATAACAATTTCAGATTGCATATCCAGAGTAAACTTGAAGCAGTACCCTCTTCTCAAGGGATATTATACAGGTGGTTGACATGACGAAGCTTATGTATACAACAAACAGAACACTGTAATCCAGTCATCGACTCTGCTTCACTAATGAATTCCTTTTGAAAATCAGCAGGCAAGTTCTGATCTAACTCATCCATGAAATCGCTCTCTTCGTTTGTTGATTTCGGCTCTAGATCATTCACAAAAATGCTCACGCGCGAGTTATCCGAACGACTATCCTTTGGCATTCCAAGCACAATCTCTTCGGGTTGCGAGCTCGCCACTTCAGGAGCTCGTGTCAACATCCGCTTGGATCGGGAATACGTCGAGCTTGCAGAGAGGGTCGCAGAGAGGACGGGGTGATTGTTCTGCGTCGACTGCGAAATCGGCGAGTCCAGCACGGGCATCATGTTTTCATCCATCGAGATTCTATTAGGCACGATAACTTCTTTGCCGGAATGAGCGCGCTCGGGGAAGAACGAATCATCGCTCGAGGCAGAAGACTTGTGTAAAATGTCCTCATTCAAACGGGCAGACACCGTTTCAGTCGATAGAGGCCACTGGTCTCCAGAGCTTGGTCGGTTTAAGCTCGGAGACTGACTCTGAACGAACGGAATGTGGATTTGCCCCGAAAAGAGTCGGGTCGAATCTTGTCTTGAGGTGGGGCTCGACGAGCCAGGCACTGAGAGATTGACGGATTGTGAGGGCTGCGGCGAGTTCAACGAAAGAGAAGCTGAGATGGGCAAGGGTCGTGAAGAGGAAACATTGTCACTGAGGGTTTTGGCGTGGCCAGACATAAGGGCCGAACTGGAGACAGGTTTCTTCCGGATTTGAGGCGGAGAGATAAGAGAAGAGCCCGGCATATTGAGTCGAGGCGAAGCGAGAATAGGACGAATGGTCGGACTCATGGCAGACACAACGGAGGAGGAAGGTGAGCCACAGGAGAAAGTGCCAGAAGCATTTGAAGGAGGGGAGAGATTGGTAGTGCTGATCGTTAGATGCGGTAGCGCCGGGTTCACCGGATTGCTTTCTGGAACATTCGAGTGATCTGCAGGGTTGCTTAGAGAGACATAACTGATTGGTGCACTGCCCACTTCTGTTGAAGCGTTGGGTGGGGCGAAGGCAGCAGTTTGATTATTGCTCTCGGGGCTATTCGCAGATCCGCTGGGAATCGAAGAGGGAGTTGGGTTGGTAATTCCATTCACAGAACCATTCACAGAGCCACTCGAAACAGATGTGGTAGTCGTAGTGGCAGCAGTTGTTGAGGTAGCAGTTGTTGGAGTGGCGATTATGGTGGCAGTTCCACCCAAAGTATTGACAGTTCCATTCATCGTATTCGCAACTCCTCCCACAGTATTAGAACTTCCACCCATCATATTCACAGCTTCACCCATCGTATTTGCAACTCCTTCCATCGTATTTGCAACTCCTTCCATAGTATTAGAACTACCACCCATCATATTCACAGCTCCACCCATCATATTCACAGCTCCACTGGGAACCGAAGCTACTGGTTCATTAATCACCCCGTTTATCGATTTGGAGGTCGCTCCATTAATGATTCCCCAGAAAGATTCGTTTCCCATGCTCTCGCTAGGAACATGCAAACTAGTACCTGTAGATGCGGCGGAACTCCAAAGCCCCACGCTATTTCCATCGCTCGAGAGTGTGGGAAGATAAAGCCCCGAGCTCTCCATAGACGAACTCTCCTTGTCTGGAATATGGACTTCGTTTCCTTCTAACGACATTGAAAGCGTTCCTTTGGGATCCAATGTCGGTGGCTCCAGCACAGAATAATCTTCAAACCTCTCCCAATTATAAACAAGTTCGGAACTATCAAATGGCTTTACTGCATTGTGCCATATTGTTCCTCCACTAACTGCTTGACGTTTCTTACGACTATCTTCCATTTCGTCACGGGTCTTCATTACTCCCGACTGGATCTCCTTCACTCTATCCACATTGTCACCTTCCTTCGTCAGAGAGAGGAGTAATGCATAGAGCTCTTGACTATCTTGTAGCTGCGTCTCGAGAGAAGGCAGTGAAGCTGTTCGGCCTGGGAATAGATCTGCTGAAGATGTCGAAGAGGCTCTACGACGATGCGGAAGATGCACTGTGTCTGCGGTCGTGACATGTGAGAGATGAGGACTACACATGCAATCAGACACAAAAATCAAACAGGTAGAGCACACGCTTCTTTTCGGTGTCCTTAATACGAGCATATATTTGATCGATCTGGCTCTGTGTCTGCTCTGGAAGCGCCTTCAATGTTCCGCGCGCATGGCATTTCTCAGAAGGTGCAAACTCCTTGAATACCGTTTCCACATCGTGCGTTCGATCTTGCTGGCGACCGATTAAAGGTAGTATGAAATCTGAAGCCGTGACAGCGACAGGTTCGTCCTTCTGTGCTGATACCAGCCTCAAGGAACTGCTGAGAGACCCACTCTGCAACTCATGAGGTTCGGCAGCAGATTTGCAAGAAAAGGACTCCGTAACAGAAAACTGCTTTGGATCCAGCAGCTTATGAAAGTGGCTTGAAAGACAATCCTAAATGTAGCTGATCGTACACAGCCCTACATTAATGCACTTCTCATCCCAAAGCTCATACTGATCACACGTTAACGTGGGCGTTGGACTCAGTAAATTGGAGGTATCTATATCATCCTTCGTCATGTTTTGACCCTTCTGATATTCCAGGCGTTGTAGCTTGATAGTGCACCTATCGTCAACTCGCGTTATGAGCTCCTACATGCGTTCTTCCTCCACACTGAGCACAGTGCTGAAATCGTGCTCATCACTGATAGCCTGTCTTGTTGTCAGTTTCAATGAATTGTTTGCATCATTCTTGGTAGAACTTACGATTCCATCAGCAATTAGCTTAAACAATGTAACATCACTTGAATTAGGAGAAAACGATGGGCACTCTGGGTATGTTGTTTTCAAGTCTTCGTCCTTAATGCATGATTCGTACTCAAGATTCGACTCCACCAAGTTCAGGGTATATAACTCTGGAAGTTTCTATAAATGATCCACCTCTCCCTATGATACTGTAAACACATTGATATTGTCGATAATCGCCTCTACAGAATTAAACGAGTTTGTGAGAGGATTCTAAAGTCTACGAAACAAACTACTGCCTACTGTGATCACCCTCGAAATGCGTTGGTCTTGTGAAACAGATGAATAAACATAAGAAGACGGACGATCCATTTCGCAACAAACTATATTACTTCGAAACTATTCTTAGTAGATTACCAGTAGAGCAAGGTCCTAACAAAAAGAATATACAAAATACTCTAGATAGATAGGAACAAAATAACGAATTCAAAAAAGCCTCAAAGGAGGATCGAACTCCTGACCTTTCGCTTACTAAGCGAGTGCTCTACCGACTGAGCTATTGAGGCGCTGATTTGCTTCTTTATTATTCCTAGATATACAACTCGCATTCCCTTCCATACCAAATAGCAGATTATTAGAGACTGATCGAATAATATATTACCGAGTACTACATCAGCTCTATTTGTAGTATGTTTTGCACATCTAACTTGCTAAAGGTAACGGAGGTGTGCAAGCCATTTATACAAACGTTGCGCTTTTTTTCAAAAGTTTATAACTTTAAAACGAATTATCCAGAATTATACAAGCACGTTGATGAATCTTCAAAGTACTTGTTCGACAATCCTTGGGTTGGCTCGAAACAAGTGGTAAAATGGAAGTGTGAACGTGGTCCAGATCATGTTTGGGACGCAACATTGGATTCGAGGATCCAATCTTACAAACGTAATCATAAATGTATGAATTGATTTGTGCTATGATTGCTAGTTACTTGTCTCTACTGCATGGGGAAGAAAGTGTCTGTAACCAACTCTTTAGCAAGTCGATTCCCCGAGATAGCGAAGGAATGGAGCTACGACAGGAATGGGACTCTCACTCCCGATAAAGTGACATATGGCTCTAGCAAGAATGTTTGGTGGAAGTGTCCAAATCATAGTGATCACTACTATTTCACTTCTCCAAATGATCGAACTTATAGTCATCGCGGATGTCCGTATTGTAATAATATGGAGGTCTGCAGTAGTAACAATTTGGCTGTAACCCATCCCTTGCTGGCTGCACAATGGGACTACGAACTGAACAAAAATCTAAAACCTGAGAATATCCTACCTTCGTATACTGGAAATGTGTGGTGGAGATGTCCCGATGATCCAAGTCATGTTTGGGAAGCCCCTGTCAATCTGCGTGTACGGAACAATTGGGGTATGTGCTCCTTTCTCTAAATAAATTCTTTCTAGGATGTCCCTACTGTAGTCACCGTCGTTTCAAGGACCTCAGTCTTGCCTCTCTGTATCCTGAGATGGCCAAAGACTGGGATTACTCAAAGAATGATAAGGAGCTGTCTCCAGACACTATCTCTCCAAACAGTGAAAAGCTAGTCTGGTGGAAGTGTGAACATGGAGTGGAATGGCGACAGAATGTTGTAAGTAGAAAGAAGTCCTATCTGCACGGTAGAGATTTTTCTTTGTGTTTGCTATCTTTAGGATATCATCGATGTCCGATTTGTAAGGAAAAGTTGAAAAGATCAAAAGCAGAAAGCACAAGTCACATTGAAGAGTAGTTATTTTTATATTTTTGCAGCTTTTGTTCAATAAATCCCATCAGATGGATGAGCGGTTTATCAAATATATTGACGATGTAATCCAAGATGAATGGAATCTTAGCTTATTTCCAAAAGAGCTCTCTCTGCAACGAGATTCGGATTATTTAGACAACTATGACTATATGAGCACAAAGACCAAAGTATTTCTTCTTATTGTGAGTATTAGATAGATTCACTTGTTACTACAGTTTTCTATAGTTTCGAAATTGTTTTTCAATGAGCACGCTGATATGATAAAGAAGTTTGTGGAGCGGTGCTCGCAAGACAGCGACGAAGTTGTTTTTGTGATCTACTCTCATTTAGTGGGTGTCGTTTATTGCATGTTCTGTATTTTCTGGTCATCCTCAAATTCATCTCGAAAAACCGTGCTCAATGTCTTGTTCACCGGAGTTAGTAGCTTCGTTTAACCAAAGTACATATCTTATGGTTCTCTCTCTGTAGACAAGCTTTTTCAGAAGCCATTCAACACATCAAAGTCATTCCTACCAAGATTTCGTCAACCCACAGGAGCTTTTTCTGTGGAATTGCCTAAAAAAATCAGTGTAATCCCACGTACTTTGAAACCGCCTACAGGTTCTCATGCTCTCTATTTTTAAGTGTTTAGTGGAGGGTCATGTAGGACAAACTAAACGAAAGCGCCCCGAGAATGAAAGTCTCCCTCCAAATAAGAAAGTAGCGGTTGTTTCTGGCGAAAAATCGAACCAAAAAGTGAATGTTCGCATTTCTTCTTCGATGGTGAAGAAGGCTGAATCGAAGCCCGTGCTTCCATCGGCTCTCCCAATTGCATCGAATTCTCCCTTTGTCAATCTTGAGCCGCCCGATAGCATGAAGAAGAAGCTTCTTGCTTCTACAATGACTCTTCAAGAATCGATGGTCCCCTCATTAAAACGGAGCTCTGTTCTGAGTGGCGCGTATGGTTCTCTGGGGGGATTCTTAGAACTACTCCAGCAGTCTACTTACTATGACATTCAGAATGACTTGTGCGACATTCTTCGCTTGTTTATGGAGAGAAAAGAGCGTATTGCTGTGAACAGGTAACAATTAGCTTCTGGCCTCCAGTGGCGGAATAATGATAGCTCCAGAAAGGAAATCGACCTTCTTGTCAAAGTCAGGAAGACGAAAGTACTGCTGCTTCGTCTCTCCTTCAGAGACTTTAGTTGGAAATTAGTTTGTTTACGAGTTGATAATAAACGTTAGATAGAAGTTGAGTAGGTTGTTTCTATGTGTATGTTTCTTTCTTTGTTTGTTTTTAGAAAGAAATAACTTGCTCTAGCGATGGAAATAACGCTTCTTCTATTCAGGACAGCTGGTTGGCTAGGGTCTTCCATCAATAAGAAACTAAAGGCTTAATCGATTTAAGGAAATGATCGAAGTGAATGGAATTATATATATATATATATACATTAATATAAAGGAATGGAGCTAGAGTTCCACAATTGTTTCTTGTAATAAGGCGAATCCCAGTTGCGAGTGATGCGGTAATTTTTAGAGTACTAGGCTATGCAGAATTGATGATTTCTATGTGCAAAAAAGGTGATTGCTTAATTTACAGAGATACAAATACCCGGTGACTTGACTACTCGATTATAATAGAAATGGTTAACAGTAAAATAGAAATAAGAAAGCCAGATTAGCCTAATTAGAAAAAGTAGATTCTTTTCAATACATTGGAACCTTACTTACATACAACTGTCACACTATTCCTAGCCTTTATCTATTTTAACTATAATTATTGTTGTGAATAAGCACCATCATCCATAATAATTATAGCAGAGTTAGATTTCTGTACATCTAGAAATCCATCAGTTTATTAAATATTTGTTCAATGCCAGAATATATAGTCGCAATTGATCTTGGAACCTCCAATTGCTGCGTGAGCTATGCAAATACCGAAAGTAAAGAAGTGAGAGCACTAGACTTTTGGGGAAAGAATATTTACCCTTCTGTTGTATATTATAAACCAGATGGAACTTATGAATCAGGGCAGAGTGCAGTTATTCGATATAGAAGGAATGATGGTGTTGTAAACTATATGAAACGTATTTTGGCAAAAAAAAATAAGGATATTCCCCAGCAAGTGATAGATTCTTGCAAGTCAGAAGTTGTGAGTGGTCCTAAGGGATTTGCTGCTTTCAAAGTCAACGGATCCATCAAATTACCAGAAGATGTATTAACTGATCTAGTAAGAAGCATGCGAGAACGCTTAATTGAGGTGCTTAGTGAGGAGGCTGGAGAGGTTATTGTAAAGAAAGTGATAGTTACTATTCCTTCGAATTATGTACAAGATCCCATTGTATACACAAAACATATTATAACGAATGCCGGTTTTAACTGTAAGGTAACTACACTTCCTGAACCTGTTGCTGCTTGTATGGCTTATAATATAACTGATATGACGGATTCTGGACATTTTATGGTATTTGATATTGGAGGAGGTACCTGTGATGTTGCTCTGTTATCATTAAACGGATCTCAATTTGATGTAAAAGATCATGTCGGAAATGATATAGCCGGTGCTGTATTTGATAATCTAATTCGAGAATGGGTAGGGATTAAAATTAAAGAAAGACTTGGTTATGATATCATTCTCTCTAATGATGATCCACGTAAACAGTTAGCCGAGAAAATACTTCTTGACATATGTCGAGAAGCAAAAGAACAGTTATCGTCTTTTGGTTCATTTGACATAGATTTGGTCCCCTATTTTGAAAAATTGCACAAAGAAAACATAATGCAAAAGCAAAAATCAAAAACTGATGAGTTTGATGAGTTTGATGATGATGATAGTGATGATAGTGATGATGATGATGATCGTCGTGGTACATTATGGAATGTTACACTTGCGTTTACTCGAGAGGAACTAAACGAGATCATTGAGGCCAACGTAAAGGAATGTATCGATCTAATTGACTTGATATTAACTCGAAATGGTTTAACAACAGATGATATTACAAAGGTAATTCTTGTTGGCGGATCCAGTCGTTTGACTATAATCGAAGCCAAACTCATAGGCAAATTTGGTAGTCAAAAGATATCTCGTAGTATAAATCCTGATGAATGTGTATCACGCGGAGCTTGTGGATTTGCATTAAACGGTGCTTCGTTTACAGATTGTCTGCATCACAATATCTATCACTGTGTTGGGAGACCTGACAATCCGAAGAATTATCGTGTGTTGCTGAGAGAGCGTCAGTCCCTTCCATGTTCGGCCTCACATCAATGTACTATTCGTCATGATCGTCCTCTTCCATTTTATAAGGATATTATATATCAAGGAATTAAACCTCAAGGAGCTATCCAACTTGCACCAATGTTGGTGTCTGGATTTACATTTGATCCTGAACATGATGTATCTGTTACGTACACAATCAAGGTTAATGAAGAAAGAATCTTGTCTTATTCAGTAAAAGATGACACAACGGGTAATGTACTTGTAGAAGATTCTGTAGTTAGTTTTACGTAAGGATGACGATTTTCTGCACAGTGAGGATGATAATAATAATGTTGTTGTTGTATTGTTTGTGAAATCAAACAATTATTCAATACAATAGTTTGTTAATTTTCTATCCATGAATAATACTTCAATTCTACGGTTTGATCCATACGCAAGTCTTGCTTGGCTTGATTTACACATTGGACATACTCCTTCCACTGACCTTGAAGTGTTTTGGCTAATTCTCGATGCTGCAGTATAAGTAGAATCTCGGTTAGAGATGCAACTTCACTATCGTCCGCTTTATCATTCAGTAGGAGATCGGCCATCTTCACCAATGCTTCCTTTTCTTGGGGAGATCCTTCTCGAATACGTCGCTTTTTCCCACGTTCCTTTCGTTGTGTCGATGACGATTCTCCAAATTGCATCACTTTGACACTTCTTCGACTGTGAATCGCAGTATTACCAGCGCGATGGGACAGCGCCGCAATGTCTTCTACGGGCGACACTCCCAATACATTCGTCGTCCTTCCTGGCTCAAAGAAAGCCGTCATTCCAGTAATGGCACTAATTCCCGTGGCAGCAGTAGACTGGGACCAAACAGACAAAGCGTCATTCCCTCCTTCCTCATTCTCATTCTCATTCTCGTTTTCCTGGGCATGTTCCATTCTTTCCTCCTCTTCCTTCTTTTGCAGAACTTTCAGTCTCTCCGTAACTCGCTCCAATTTGTTCTTCTTTTCCTCCAGCTCCGAAATCAGGCCTCTTACCTGTATTTCTAGTTGCGAGTGGATTGTTCCTTCGAGTTTCTCCTGGGAATACTGCTGGCAAACAGCCAAGGCCGCCAAGTAGTCGCCCACCGTGCAATAACAAGATACAGCCATTTCCACATCGTTCAAGAATTCCAACTATCAATGAGAAAGGTGCCGCACTACTACCGAGACACGTGCACACTGGCGGATGTGATCTGAAGGTCCAGTGCGCAACGCATCGCACAGCCGACGAATCGCAGAGGTACGGCTCGAAGAATCCTTCTGGCTAGCAAACAGCAAAGTTAAGTAGAGATCGCTCCGTCCCAAGTGGAGAGCACACGTCATCATAGACTCGACAGGCTGAGGATTGCACGCCTGATATTCGATGAGAGCGACTTCGTAGTTCCCCTTCTCCATCAGCAAATCGGCATAGCATTGATGAGCACGCGAGCTATAAGGTGTATTGGCAAAAGAGTCGAGAAACTCTTTCTCCAGACTCTTTTCTCGCATCAGACGCACCGCCTGCTTCCACAAAACATTCTCATCTCCCAACTCCTCATCAATTTCGTCGCAATGCATAATCAATTCGCAAATGTCTTTCAGCACTCTTGCCCATCGCTTCAGCTCCACGTCAATACAATATCTCTTTTTCCTTTCTTTCATATCGCGATAACGTTGGAGCAGAGAGCGATATTCCTGGGGATCTTTCTGGGAATGCACTGCAACCAGGAGTGCGAGATCCATGTCGTAACTCCCTAAAGCAGCGTTCCAAACCGCAGATGGATCAGCGAGCGTTAGCAGCCAATCCAGAGACTTTTCGTCTCTTGACTGGTGGATGAGAAAGAGCGCTTCTTCATAACAGGGCGGCTTTTGGCTGCATAGACAAGTCACACAGTTTTGGATGAGCCCCATCTTTTGAAGAAGAGGCAAAAAGGTGGTGCAAACCCGCTCCCGTTTGGTTACACCAGTGGAAGATGGGCTCGCTTTGAAGAGCTGGTAATAATCATGATTCTCAGAGGTGTAATCTTCATCAATCATATTTGTCAAAAACAGATCAATTCGATCTGGATTTTGAAGAGAGAGGAACTCTTCTGCGTGCTGCACAAAGTAATCGGGATCGATATCGTACAATAAATCCAATGCTAGGCATTACAAAAAGAACAAAACTCGACGAATTCGCTGTCGTCGCATTAACTCAACGGCCGTTTTCCAACGTAATGGATCCGAGCCTTCGTACACTAATTTCCACAGTTGATGACAACTCAGATAACGCGGATAAAAGGACTCCAGATTTCCACGAGGAAGCTGCACGACGACGCGCCCTTCTCTGCTCACAGCAATCATTACGGACCCTCGCTCAAGAGCTCTGGAAGCGAAGCTTCCATGCGGAATGCCTGAAGAGGTAGAGGTGCTGAAAGAAGACAGCTCAGCTATCGGCAAGAAGCAAAGCCGAGGAATAATGTCATTGACAATGTACACAAAGGTGTCTTGCAGGCGCTTCATTGACGTCACATTGGAGCATAGCAGAGTTTGATCATAGTAAAGTCTTCCTTGCTGTGTGCGGGCGATCACGTGAGAACTACCGACAGGAATGAGCTCTTCGCAGAAGCAAGGCAGTTTCCCGGCGGACTGAAGCTCTGATTGATCTGCAGTTGATCCTTCACAGAAGCACATTACAATTCCCATCACGGCCAGAAGACACACGAAGGAGGTGCAGAGATCCCGAACTGTTTTCAAGAAGCACAGTGGAAACAGGATTCGATTCGTTTGCTGCTTCTTGCGAACTTGAAGGTGCAGCTGCCAGAGCGGCCGAAGCGAACGAAAGAGACTCCGCTGTCTTTGCTATTTCTTCTTCGACGCGTGCCGAGCAGCACATTGCATCTCCCACACACTTCCACTGCCCACTATTCCATTGCCCCATCCATGTGGACTCTCTCCCTGTAACCAAAACGCAGTCCTGGTTGACCCACTCACAGTGGATAAACTGCCCTTCCAGAGGCAACTGCAAAGATTTTTCCACATGAAGCGACTGCAAACACTGATGCGCCTCTCTCGCTGTCGAGGACGCCACTCCCACAGTAGGAGCAAGGAGATGAATATGGCTTTCCGAAAGAAGAAGAAAGCGCAGAGCCGGCGCAGGCTGAATATGGCGCGGAGGGCAGTTCTGCAAATAGTTCGATAGGTTCAATGAAGTATCGTACATCGGGGGAGGCGGTAAAGACACCTAGAAGTGATTCCTTCGCACGAGGAACCCACCTCGCATGGAGTGAAATGAACAGTCGAACCATCGGCCACCGCCACAACTCCAAGCTCATTACTGCCCGAGCAGGTCCACGTCAATGAAACGATGTCCACGTCTCCATTCTGGATCGCATACACGCAAAGGAGCATACCTGGTAAAGAATAAAGAATTCGAGCGGATTGACTGGGTCCCATTGCACGAGGCGGATTGGGCGATTCCAAGCTTGCTTCCAGTACCAATGGTAGTTCGACCGTGTCCACAACTCCACTCGTTGCGAGGAATAAACCGCTAACAGATCTCCAGCACTATTGTAGCAGACGCGAGGATCCGCTCCGGGAATAGAAATCGTGAACTCACCATGACGAAGACCGTTCTTTTCAAGGAGAGAAACTTGGAGATGGCGACGCTCGTTCTGAATCGTGGCTATTAGAGAATGATCAGGGTTCCAAGACAGAGCTGTTTGGATGCCTTTGCAGGGAGTTTCGTTAATGTTTCGACTACGTTGAAGTTGAAAACAAGCAATACCAGGTAGAAACCAATCTCAACTCGCGCGTGAAAACGGCAATGCAGCGCTCTCCAGACAGGAGCGGGAAGTTCACACTTACATTTTCTCCGTCACTTCTCCAGCTTACTAGAACTGGCGACTGGACAGAAGCGTCCATATTCTCAAGAGGCTGTTCTTCGAGTACTTCAAAGGAATTGTTGAGTAGGAGAAGAGACCCCGAGGAGGTTACAATGAGAAACATTTCTTGATCGTTACTCCAGGCACAACCCAAAATGCCACCCTCGATGTCGCCTACTGGTTGGATGTTCCCTTCCATATCAATAGCTGCAAGATGAACGGCACAAAGCAATCGTACTCATTATTAGCCCTTCTTGTGTCACACATAGCAGATTCTCCATTTCCGCCATATAAAATATGTACTGAAAGTGCTGTTCAGACTGAATAAAATCTTGCAATGACTCTAGGAGGTTCCATTCAAAAAATACCTATGTCTTGAAGGAAAGTCACAAATACTACTTCCTGAGTTTCTTTCTTGACCCCAATAACAAGTCCACATCGGTATAAGACAAATATTTCGTTCGAGAAGGGATTGGAGGTTAAGCTAATGGCATCTTCACGAATGGACGTGTCCTTAACCTTTATTTCATTTAAAACCACTAAGTTCCTCATCGAAGTCTTTGGCTAGTTCCTGGGATTCAGCCATATTTTTGGATTTGACGTTTTTGTCAGATTTTTTTCTGTATTGGTTTTTACTTAGCCAGCTATTTAAAAGGTAGGTTTACTCGCTAAATCTGAGTCGGAGATATCATGCTAGTTGAAAACATCAATATCTATGCAAAGGAGATTACCAAGTTGAGTGTGTTTAAGAGTGCGCTCAAACCTTTACAAAAGGTATTCTTTTGGATATCTTATCAGTTTGAAGGCGGGACCGATCCAGTCGATTGTTTCTTATGGAATTGGAAGTATGAACGATAACCTTATTACTCAGTATCAACTGGCCTATGCACTTGCGCTGAGAAAGGAATTGGGCATCAATGGAACCATAGAGATCTTTGATCCATCGATGGGGAAGGTATCGTTGTGTGCTCTGGAGGTAACGTGATAGGAAGACACGGCAATTGCATCTGAGTTAGGTTGTGAAGTAATTCCGTACAACGAGGAGGCAAAACGAGTCGCACTCCGTCGGACATTATTCTTTATGCCGCATTGTAGTTTTAGTCTGTAGCTCTCGGCCTCTGGTAACGAGTGTAGGTACAATGGCCTAATGTGGGCAAATTGGGGCGAGCACTTGAAGAACATTGTAGTTGTTGGTAATTCCTTTAGCCAATTCGTGAAGAATATGGACGAGCGCATGAATAAATCCGAAACGAATGCAATTTCTCCACTCCTTCCTTATTTGAGTGAAACTACGCTTGAAATAGACACAGGCTATGATGGCCATCCTCTTTCTGGAGTGTACGATGCGTTCCATGATTTATCGGTCCACCTGATCACGGATTCTGACTATGAATCTGCTACAAAGGCTGGATTGTGGTTGAAGCGGCCAAAGGAAGTTATTCTGGGTCAGATCCGCGATAGTGGAAAGAACGAGGCGGTGGATGCGTACGAAGATGAATTGGAGGATAATGAAGACCATGAAGAGGAGGTGAAGCGCCGCCATGAAGCATTAATCCGTGAGGAAGAAGATCGGTATGAGCAATTGTCGAAGGGAAAGAATGGAGACAGTGATGGAAAGGAGGCGATTGGAGGACTAATGAAGGAGGAGGAAGATGAAAGCAGCGATGATGAAGAAAATGAGAACGAAAGTGATGATGACGAAAGTGACGATGATGATGACGATGACATGTTTGAACACATGTACGCAGGGTGGGGAACGCAAGTGGGCAGCTTGCTGAAGCCTGATCGTTTTACCCCGGAGTGGTCTGTCGACAGCTCGACGATCAATGCCTATGCATTGGGCGAGAAGGATCCTCGTCAGCGCATTTTTGTGTACAATGACGAAGGAGTGTCTCCCGCCAGCAAGCAGATGTGTGTGCACACGCTGCGAAGCTTCAGCAATCCCGCGAGATACATCGTGGACACCATCGATGCAGACGAGCTCAAAGAGAAGGACTGGGAAGAGACGGCGGCCATGCTCGTGTTCCCCGGAGGCGCCGACAAGCTCTATCGAGTGGTTGGACGGGAGGGGGTTAATCTGTAGAAGAGGCTTTCGGTAGCGGAGGGAAATGGGTCCAATCTTCGGATTCGAGCATTTATCGAAAACGGAGGGAACTATTTGGGGATTTGCGCAGGCTCCTACTATGGATCGAAACAAGTCGAATTTGACATTAACGGTCCGTTGGAAGTCAATGAGGAGCGCGAAATGAAACTGTTTAAGGGTCGGGCGATCGGTCCTGCTTTAAAGGGATTCGATTATTTTACGACAAAGGGTCAGTACGCCTTGCCATTTGTGTTCAACGAAAAGAACCCTGTAATCGAAGCACACAAGAGAATGAGCTTTAGGAGGGAGAGGTTCTTCGCAAAGGAATCAGCTATTACAAGGGAGGACCTTACTTTGTACGCCTATGCTCTTCTCGATTTAGGGTAGATTCCCGATCCAGATCTTCGCGCCGGCGTTGATTTCACGCCCGTGCTTTTCTACACGAAACACCCGAAGCTTTTGTGTCCTCCGGGGTCTATTGCTGGCGTTTGCTCGCGCGTGAAGAAAGGAAAGGCGATGTTGTTGGGTCTCCATGTCGAGTAAGCGTTGGGGAGATGTCTCATGTGAGATTCGATCCCTGGATGATGCGGCCTACCGACGATGTGGATGATATTTGCGAAGCGCTTCGAGACCCTGTCCTGAAGTACGCACAATGCACTTTTTTGAGCTTTAGCCAAGGACGTTGCCGACTGATATACAACATCTTGCGAGAGCTGAATATTGATATGCTTCCGATGAAATTTATGGAACCAGAGCATGAGATAATTTACTTTTTTGTTTGTTGTACTCTCGTTTATTACTCCTTTCCTTTTTTATTACATTTTTACGATGGAAAGGAAGCCAAAGTTGTATTCTAACGAAGAAGATCTTCAAATAGCTTCTTGCATGCTGAATTATTTCTCTGAACTGGGATTAGGCAGTGACGATAATACAACATGTAGCGAGCGCCAGAGAAAATATGAGGTAATAGTAATACCCTGGAAATTCGATTGTAGAGATCATTCAAGCAAATACATTCAAATTTTAACGCGAACAAGGAGGAAGAAAATCAAAGAAGTTACCATTCGTTTTGTGTTAGGTATAATGTACTCATAGAAGAGCTTCGTGTATCTTGTTGTTGAGGAATTTTATGTAGCGAATGCAAAATGGTCTTCTACCTCAAAAGGATCGCCATTTTCACTTCACTGTTTATCATGTCCTGAATGAGATTTTGAAAAAGGGGCCTCATTTAGGGAAACCGTCTGTATGTAACGATTCTCATCTAAGTGAATAGGATGACGATATTGATATGAATGATGTTGCTTCAAAGGTGGAAACGGTGTACCATTCAGTATCGGGACACGTAGGAGGCATAGATTCGACTAATAAGCAGTCTGCTTCTCGCATTCCCATAGCAACCAAGAGTATCCGAAATGACGTGTTTACTCGAAGCCAGATGAAGGAGCCGATTGTCCTTTTGCCTGTTTTACATAAGCGAGTGTCTCGTGGAACTGAGAACGAGCCGTTTCCAAGCAATTCAAAGCGAGCCAATGTATCCGACTCTTCTGTGCTTCCTTTAGAATTGCCGCGATTACCAGAGATTCCGCTATTGAATCCGAGTGAGTGTTGGTTGCTGTCTTTCATTCCAAGATACTGCTGAGAAGGTCGACAGGCCTGGATCCTTCGTTGCTTCTTCGAAGGGAGCTTTCGAAGAAACAAACCCGGAAAAGCAGGACGTCAGTAAGGAAGCGGCAACGGGAGAATTGAAGGCAATCGCGCAGGAAGGCGAGAGAGGATCCAGCGCTGATTCTGCAAAGGAGATTGTCCGAAAGGAAGGCCAGCAAGCCTCGATGGAGTATGCGGATACCGTTCTATTTGCAGCAGCGGGAGTGAACGTTCCAAGTCGCCCACCCCCATTGTCGATATCTACGCAGGTGTCGCACTCTCCCGCTCTCCACTCGACTCAGCCGTCTTATCTGATACCTTCATTGCGTATGATGAATCCACAGTACGGGCTGCAGCAAAATATCCACGTCTTGTCTTCAACGAATTCGCCTTCTGTGCTTTCTTCGCCATTTGTTTCTGGAGGCGAACTCGAATTGCCCCAAGCAAGAAATAAACGTGATGAAATTAGAGAAGCTGGAACCGCTTCTTCAGTTGCCGGTGGTACTAAAAATAATCAAGAAGACACGTCCATGCCAACATTGAAGAACGCTCTAGTGCCTTCTATGGGCGATGTTGTTGTGGAGAATGGAGAAGTTCAAGCGCAGCAAAAGATCTCAGAGTCGAATGAAGGTGGGAAGGGCATCGATTCTTCAACATATGGAGCTTCGAATGGGATGGAATCTCCCAATAGAATGGATCGTGAGGTTGCTACTAGAGATGCGAGTATGCGTAGGACGCTGGATGCGCAGAGCGATGGTTTTAACGATCCCAAAGGCAATACTCATTCGAATAAGGATCGTGCTGTGGACGCGGATTCTGCCAAAGGCGAACTCATGGTGAACACTTCTGACCGTGATTTAGTTAATGAGAATAAAGCGATTCAAAAATCTTCAAATGTGAGTTTTGAAATCGCTTCAGCAAATGCAAAAGCGACCATGCCAGTGATTGGTACAAATTCCACGACTCCGATTACCACTGTTGGTTCAAATCCTACAATCCCAATTGCCAGTGCGAGTGCATCAACATCGCCTCATGTGGCCACTAGTACGAATACAACCTCGGCCAGTGATACAAGCACGCTTGAAGCTCGGATTGGAGCAACGACTGGATCAGGAACTGGAACTGGAGCTGGAACTGGGGTTGGAGTAGCAATTCCAACGAGCAGGGATTCGACTTCCCCGACCGATCAACAAATTCCACCCTATAATCTCGACAATGAAATCGACGATGTAGTCGAATTACTGGACCCTCTTTCGTCGTTTTCTATCACACCCTCGGGTCCTGTCAGTCCGGAGCATCCTGGAAGCAGTTTACCTGGGGAAGGAATGAACATGGATCCTTTGAACGACATTGAAGACGAAGAGTTTGCAAGGAATGAGCTCGACAATGCTTCTTCAGACAAACAGAAAAGGATACCGAAGAATGGAGGCGGAGGAACAGTATTCTGTAACTGCAATGTTGATATCCACACCATCAACAATTACTCATCTAATTCGAATATGTCTGAAGTGGGATATTATTTACGATCGATTTTGAAAGAACTTAGGGAATTTGAGAAGCTAATGGCAACGAATTCAGCTTTGGAGGAACGATTATCGAATGTTGAAAAAACTCTTAGCGCTCTATTGCATAGAGAGGACAAAGATTGAGTGGTTTTTACTTTGGGTGATAAGCATGTTTTTTGCTTATTAACCAAGATGATTGTCTAGGATATGTTTGTTAAAATTCTCAAAAGACTGCATTTTTGACATTAATGAATGTATTGGGTGTGTGCGTGTGCGTGTGCGTGTGCGTAGCTATAAAAATACAATACAGGTTTACATAGAATAAAGAATCAACCCTGTGCTTTTGCCTCTATTCTTAATACGAGTAGGTAATCACGTATCCAACATACGTGGTGAAAAGTCAAGTCAAATTTCCCGCTACATTATCGCTTGCTCGAGCCTTCGCAGAATTGAAAAGACTTGCATATTTCCTCTGACCACGTATTAAAAAATCATCAGCAAGTGGCTTTATTTGCTATAACAGCGCACTTTCAATCAAAAAACATTTAAATCGAATTTCTATGGACCAGCCATGGATAGAAAAGCATCGACCACAGTGTGTAGGGCTGTAAAATTGACAGATGAGCTCTAGCTTGAGGACATTGTGGGAAATGAGGAAACGATAAAACGTATGAAAGTAATTACTGAGACTGGGAACCTTCCTCATATTCTTTTGGCTGTAGGTACTTGATTCGTACATGTTAGGGTAGGGACCCCCAGGGACAGGAAAGACAACGAGCATGCTATGCCTAGCTCATGCGATGCTGGGAGATGCTTACAAAACTGCAGTGATTGAGTTAAATGCCTCGGATGACAGGTTTTATTCTTTGTGATATGTGACGCTAGAGGAATTGATGTTGTAAGGGAAAAAATCAAGCTATTTGCTCAAAGCAAGGTTAGTTTACCGGAGGGTTCCCATAAACTTGTTCTTTTGGACGAGGCAGACAGTATGACACCAGCGGCGCAGCAAGCGCTTCGTCGCATCATGGAACTGTACTCGTCGACAACTCGCTTTGCCCTCGTATGCAACATATCTTCCAAGATCATCGAGCCGATTCAAGTTCCGCTTTGTTGTTTCCGCCTTTCTTTTAGAGTCGATGTGCAATTCTTCGGTTTAATCGCCTGAAAGACACCGAGATTCTGGACCGTCTTCTCCACATTTGCGAGGAGGAAAAGATCACCTACACAAACGACGGACTCTCTGCACTGCTGTTTTGCGCTGACGGGGATCTCCGTGTGGCCGTCAACAGTCTCCAGGCCACGTTCTACGGATTCAACGTTGTGAACGAGGAGAACGTGATCAAGGTTTGCGATCAGCCCCCTCCCGTCGTTGCGAAGCAGATCGTGCAGTGCTGCGTGTCCAAAGATATGGTTGGCGCGCGCAGTGGGATGACGCAGCTCTGGAATCTCGGGTATTCGTCCTCCGATATCGTGGGAACGATTTTTAAAGTGACAAAAGACGCTGATCTGACAGAGAAACTGAAGCTGGAGTTTTTGAAGGAAATCGGCATCTGCCAGTTGCGGATTGCGGAAGGAGCGACGACTTTGCTTCAGCTTCTGGGCCTGGTAGCGAAGATGTGTGAGAAATAAGCGACGGAGAAGGTGAAAACAGACAAACCTGATATTTTTGTTTGTTCGTAGTCATCAAGTGTCCTTTTCTGAATGGGATTAAATTGTTTAAGTGCGCTGTTGCTTTTCCTAACATTCTTGAGTTTCGTTGAATGTATGTAGGAGTGCTTGATTTTTGCAAATAAACGCCCTAGAGAGCAGACAATCGAGATTCCTGTAGATAACACGGCCACTGATCATACGTTGAAGCAAGCAAACCCCATTCTTTCTGGTAGAAGAGTTATTCACGTTCAACACTCAGAAAAACTCGAAGCGTTTCTTGAAAAGATCGATTCCATCAAGAAAGAAGATTTGGTAACTGGTATTGCCTGTTTGTTCTTGGCACTGTAGGAAACTATGATCTTTCGCTTCCGAATGACCTAGAGGAAGAATATGAAGCATTAAATCGTGCCCGAAAAGAAGATGTTAAGGAGAACATGAGGTGGGCATGGCAAAAGTGATAGACTCTGCGTTTTTTCAAAGTATAGCTATGCCAGCAAGTGCAAGGGTTGGGACGAAATTCGTCCTTTGTCGGGAGTTGGCCACAATTTCTGGGGTGGTTTAGGCATGATGGTGGTAGAAAGTCTAGACACCCTCTATATCATGGATTTGCAAGACGAGTACAAAGAGGCGAGGGACTGGATCATTTCCTCTCTCAATCTGGATATCAACCACTTCACGTCTGTGTTCGAGACAACGATACGCCTCCTTGGAGGCCTTCTGAGCGCATTTACTCTCACGCACGACCCCGTGTTCAAGGACCTGTCCGTCGACCTCGCGACGCGGCTTCTCCGCAGCCACACCGATGGCCTTCACTTCGTCGCCCTCGCTGCTTCCACTCACTCGCAGGCGAACGTAAATCTTCAGACCGGCGACACGCGGATGGAAGATTCGCGCGTGTTTCTCTCCGAGGTCGGCACGAACTATCTGGAGCTGAGCTATCTCTCCGCGATTTCCGGCGACTTCTCCTTCGTCCACGCCGCCGAGCGCATCATGACGGTTCTGCGCCGCACGCCTCGGCTACAGGGCCTGCTCCCCCTCCAAGTAATGACCGGCTGGGTGGGATGTGATCGCAGTTTTCGAGCCGCGGCGAGGCGTCCGGGCGAACGTACGGCATGGGCAATCGCGGCGACAGCTACTACGAGTATTTGCTGAAGGGATGGTTGCTGACCGGGGACGAGGTTCTCCGCGAGGAATACTGTTCCTCTCTGCAAGGATTGTACTCGCTGCTGCTGACGCAGAGCGGGCGGGACGGGCTCTTCGTGGTTCCTGATTATCACGGAAGTCGCCAGCGAAACATGCATCACTTGGCGTGCTTTCTGCCCGGAATGCTCATGCTCGGAGCCGCAAGCGGCGCTTGCCCGGATCAGCAGCACGATCGGGAGACGGCGTTTAAGTTAATGCACGCGCTGGATTGTTTGCTTTCATCTGCAGGACCACCTGTGTGGCGATGTACAATTCCACGGCTTCGGGTCTGTCCAGTGATGAGTATCAAATTGTGTTTGAAAAGGAAGAGACCCAGGCTCAGACCCAGGCTCAGGCTCAGACCCAGACCCAGGCTCAGACCCAGACTCAGGCTCAGACCCAGACCCAGACTCAGGAACATTCCTCGTCGCGCTGGAAGGACTTAATTCCTACCGGACTCACAAAGTACATTTTGCGTCCCGAAACAGTGGAAAGCCTCTATGTTATGTATGCAAAAACGCGGAATCCAGTGTTCCGTGAGTGGGGTTGGCAGATTTGGTCCACAATCAAAAAGCGATGTAAAGGAAGGTACGGGTTCGCAGATCTACACAATGTGATGCATGCGGATAGCGATTTAGATGATCGAGGCGAGACATTCTTTTATTCTGAAACACTGAAGTATTTATATCTGCTGTTTTCGGAAGATGGTCCCTCGTATCTCGACGAATATATCTTCAATACAGAGGCCCATCTAATTCAAAAACAAACAAGATCTTTGTAGGATTTTGTTTGTTTGAGAAAAGTGACTATTAATCGCGGGTACCCTAGTGAGCAATAAAAAACTAAAGGCCTATATATAAGTGCTAAAAGTGCAAAAATGCAAAACCCCATTAACGCTACAACTGTTGAAAATGAGGAAGAGGAGCAGCCATGCCCTACTTGCCACATGGTTGCCAATCCTGACTCGCAGTTCTGGATTTGCTGTGATGAATGTAATACATGGTACCACGATGTGTGTGAAGGACTTACATCGATGGTAACTAGTGACACCTATATTTGCCTAAGTTGTCGCAAGAAGCGTTGCGTTTAGTTTTTTTGAGTAACGTATAGATGTGCAGGCCCCAGGTGTTGTTTCGCCCCAAATGTAAGCGAAGATTCCAGATGAAGAATAAGTGGTGTCTTCACTACTGTGGATGGTCAGTGTTTATTTGTTTTTTGACAAACACATCCATTTTGGGAGTTTCATAAACTTAAACCCGTCATCTTATCATTTTTAGGTTTTTGATTTACCTTTCTCTTATTAGAGACAGTCAAGCTACAGTAAACTGTAGAAGAGTAGAGGTAAAGTAGTAGAATGAGTACTGAAGCAGTAACTAATGAGGGAATTGCTTCTGTAAACCAGAGCGATGCCATCCAACAATCGGATGTGTGTCCAATTTGCCACTTAGCTGAAAATCCGCAATCTTTTGAATGGATATGTTGTGATGAATGCCAACTCTGGTACCATGATGTATGCGAAGGAATAACCACTCCCTATCTTGAAAAGCAATATGTATGTAGTTCTTGTAGAAAAAAGCGTAGAGTGCACAAAATGTAATTAAATTTAGAAAACCTCTCGGTCTCAACAACTGGATATAACTCGAATGGTTTGAAGACACCAAGCATTCAACCTGATAATACGACAAATTCTATTCAATCGGGGCATACTGAGAAAGTAGCTCAGCCTGGACAATCGGATCAAACATCCCAATCCAGCCAGCCAACTCAATCAGGTCAATTCAATCAGCCGCAGCATTCAGGTCATCCAGGTCATCCTAATCATCCTAATCATCCTGGTCATCCTGGTCATCCGGGGCGTTCGGGTCCGACGAGTACTCAGCAATTAACAAAAAAGGGTTCGACAGGGCGAGAGGATGGAGTGGATCACGGGGTTCGTCGCTGGCACACTGGTTGATTTGTAGAGACGCCGAGGGAGAAAAAAGAAGGAGCTCACTGTTCATCACGAGAATCCGTCGCTGCTTTCATTGAGCGAATTAATGCGTAGAGTAGTAAAGCAGGAACCATCTTATGACTCGATGATTCCGTCGTTTGAAACGGTCGGTGACGATGTGAAGGCCTTCGAAGGCATAAACTACCGGAGTGTCTATAAAGAACGCAATCCAAACAGCTCGATCAGCCACGATCGCGCTGCCATTTTCAGTCGTCGTTTGTTTTGGAAGGTTTTCTCTTGGCGGCTCCTTCACCGTAGCGCTATCAAAAGGAAATGAAGGACAATCCTTCCGAGTCCGCGAACGAGCTCGCCAATCCTCTGAAGGAGCGAAAATCGATCCTATCTCTCTCTGTAAGGGATGTTGGGCGGATGGAATGTAGTATTCGCACCCGGAAATCGACAATCTCGTCATTTTGAGTAAGTATATCCTGTTGAAGAAAGCGCGGATTCTGGTGGAAGGTGCCGAGCTCAAGTCGGATGAGAGCGCAAAGCCCGGAGTCATGTCTTCGCAGCCCACCCCTTCGTCCACTCCAGCCACTCCCAATGTCGAGGGGCCGACCCTTCCTTCGGTCGTTACGCCCACACCCACGCTCTCGAATCCGGCAGTATCCACAGAAGTGCATACCAGGACCATCCAACCTTCGGGCCCCGAGCTGCAGCCTTCTCACGTTCCTCTCTCTGAGCCTCTACCAACTCAACCAGGCGGAGCCGAGCTGCCTCCTGAGCCCGTAAAGGTGCGGAAGACTCACTTTGACGAACTCCCTAGCTCAATTTCCAATAACATAATCAATCGAACCAACTCATTCAAAACATCAAGTGGGTCTGGAAGCCGATCTGGAAGTCGGTATCGCCGCAACTATCCCTCTTCTTCGCGCTCCTCTTCGCGCTCCTCTTCGCGCTCCTATAGTCATTCTCGCTCACGATCCAGATCGCGTTCTCATTCACGGAGCTATCAGAACTATTATCGAGATGTTGCTTTTTGCATGGGTTTTTATTGTAGTACTCTAGAGAGCGTAGTTATCGCAATCATAGTAGACATGGATCACCACGATATTCATACGAGCGGAGACACTCTTATGGATATCGCTCTAGCAATGATCCCTATTATTCAAATCGCAGCTATGATGGGTATAGTCGAGATGAGCAAAGAAGTAGATATCATGATTATTAATAGTATATCGTTTGATTGTTTGTTTTTTCATACTCTTCTGTGGATTAATGGTTGAGCAATCGTGCAGGTTAGTACAGTGAATGCTTCCCGAAAGTTGCGGAGATTATTAATGCTATTTTCTATAGGACTGTAATGGAATGATTGGTTGATATTGACGACGACTTCGAATCAACCTTCCACGTATTATTTACAATCTGCTTGGATTCTATAAAAAGGGAATTCTATTGAAAAACAGGAGAATTATATGAAAAACAAAAAAACCTGCCAATAGGTTTCACAAAATAGTATTGCATAACAACTAGGTACGAGAGGTAGTACAACTCTCATGACATGAGTATTGTGTAAATAAAACAAGCAATAATAATATGGTGTGCAATAAGTATATTGCAAAGAATAAAAAAGGAATTTGTATTTATGAATCCAATTATTGACTCAATAGTGATGAAATGGTCAATAATACATCGTTTTGTTTGAATAGTACATTGTTGATCATCTGTTATACCAGTAAACTCAATAATATAAGTGTCACATAATCTATTCTGCATCATATTGACTTAATTATCAATTATGGATGTCTTTCATTAGCAATCGTCAAAAAAAAAGAATTGGCTGTTCTACTTTTTCATTTAGCAAATCTATCCAAACATATCTTCAATTGTATCATCATCATCATCATCATCCTTGCCCTGTTCTTGATCAATTCGACTATTTCAAAGAGTATCTATCATTTCGATCATGATAAATCGTTATTCCTTCGTATTTTCTTTCTTATCACCTTTGGTTTTTTTAATACTCTGCTATCTGTTTGGATAAACAAATACTTATCGATATATATGTATATATCACTTATGATTTTCTTTCATTCGCTATTATCCGCTTTTCCTAACTAGATATTCTGTCAACTATCATTCTTTTAAGAATAACTATCTTTTCATCATCAATCAATTTTCCTAGGGCAATAGATACTATTGTAAACACTTTTCATTGATAACATGAGTAATCGATATTCTTTGAAAGTGAGATTAAATGTTTATCACATATAATCATGATCAACGAATCAGTTTATCATTAGCAATGACAATAAACTACCAATTCTTTAAAAGTGTATTATACTATTTAGAATGATATGAGTTATGTTGTTTATACAATATATATATCACAGCAATTCAATATTTAGTTTATTATTACGAGTCATTCCATTCACCATTATTTGGTGTTTACAAATCCTATAACAATTTATCTATAGAAATTGCTTTCTCTTATTTCTTTTAATGATTCCCTCTATTCAATGTTGTAATGCATACAATTTACACCATGTTGCTTGTTTCACTGAAATAGTCATATATTACGATTACTATACTGATTAGTAAAGAACTTTCATCCCCAGTTATTAGAATGTACATATTTTTGTTTTATACATGACAATGAAAACAATAAGAAAACGATGCCATAGTACATATTTGTAACTTGAACACTATGTGTTATTTTTAAATTGTTTTTATCATACCTACAACTATGAAAAAAGTATGATATAAAATAACAACGATTCTGTTAAAATACGTGGTTGTATGCTCTTTATTCAATATTATGCACCTCTTTTTGCGTTATTTCTTGATGTACTCAATGGAATAGTATATACTTACTAATAGATGTGTATGCTTAATTTCATTTGTTGTTTTCCCTGCTTTACGACTTTGGATAAACCCTTTTTGTAATTCTGCGTTATATTCAAGTAAATTACAATTAATGTGATCATTTCTCTAGGAATAGACAAGAACTGTTCATACATCTATGCTTTGCCAAAAAGAGCAAAAGATAAAGAAAGTACAATTCATACAGCACTTACCAGTACGAATATGTCACTTCTATTAAGCACCTCTGCAAAAGCTCTCACATCGTCACCACCCCAGCGATTTCACTATGAGATTACACGCCAAGCATTAAATAAGCCATCTGCTTTTGTCAGGAACACATATAACAAAAAACTGTACATTCCTCCTTACAATGATGCTTCTTGGAAGGCAATACAGTATTTTTCTTGGAGTAATTCGCCGAACTATTCGGCTATTTGTACCAATGTTCTCCAACGAATAACCAAAAATAATACTTTTTATATTATCTCAGGTAGTATCAATGGTGGGTTAGGACACAAGTATCTCTCCGTGTTTTACTCGATTACCTATGCTATTTTGCTCGGTCGTCGTTTCTTACGTATGAATGATGTTTAGCTTTTATCCACAGTTCATCTACCAGATAGTTTCTGGGAAGAAACCGATAGCTGCTTTCGGCAGCTGCGATACTATGGCAATTACAAAGGACTAGTCGTATGCCAATCAAAATCTGGATGTAATGGAAGGTTTACACCTGGCTATTATCAGCTACCCCAAGCCAATCTGGTTACAATAGATTTTCGAAATGATAACATGCTCAGGACAAGACAAAATCTTAATTTGTTTAGACAACTCGGAATAATCAAGAAGCTGAGCTGGACAGAGTACGAAGCTACTATTTTTAGACTACTTCTCAATCCTTCCCCATATATACAAGAGATTGCACAAAGTGTGTTAAATCAAATTCCATCAAAATGGTTTTCTGTAGCAGTTCATGCTCGATTCGCTGGTAAAATAGCAAATTCCAAAGAGAGCACTCAAATGATTAGGAAAACTCAATTGCCTGATATAGCAAAGATGATTCGAGAAGTTCTAATTCAATATAACAACAACCACACACAGACCGTATTCATAGCAACCGATAGTTCATATGGACTGAAGAAGCTCAAATCTCTATTGTACCCAATTACAGTTCTATCTTACAGGAAAGCAAAAAGAGGACATTCTACCAAAGGAAAAAGGAATCTAGTTCATTCTGCACTCATTGATCTATTTTTGCTTACACGATCCAGAACATTCATAGGAGTTGATAGAAGTGGATTTAGTCATGTGGCCAAAGCTTTATCTCGTCCCAAAGTGGTGAAATGGATATCAGTTTGGTAAATAAAACGCTGATCATACTATTTGGTAAGCTCTTTCTCCATATTTATGGAAAGAGGGTTTTCCAAAGATTATAGCATTGCCCATTAACATAAAGCAAGAAATATAATAATGAATATCAATGAATATCTAGTTATTAGAGAAAATAGATATATGTTTAATGATGAATAAGAATAGGGTTTTAAAATGTAAAGCAAATAACCAGTGGTAATCATGTACGCGATATCTTGTTTTACAGAAAATTGAAATAATCTCAAGTGTACATAAAGTAGTGTTACCATGATATACACAGCAAGTAAGAGTGTTATATAAGAGAGTGACACGTTCTCTTTTTCTAATGTTGAAATCCTAATAGGATTCTGTCACTTGACTAATTATCTATTTCTTTTTTGAGAAAATAACGAATTTTGCCTTAATTGTATAATATTTACTTTATAACAGGCGTAACAAGTTTTGTTTCATATTCTTTATGTTGCATCTACTATTATTTCTCCTATTTATACGAGTCTTTTGTATGTATCTATGCCTTGATGTCTTTTCCCTATTGACTCAGTAACATCAATTAAACAATAATAATAACCATTTTCTCAGAGTTTGTTATTTACTTATGTACGATCAGGAACAAAAGCAGGGAAGCAGGTAAGGTCGAAATCATTTGAGAAAAATAATATCCTGAAGAAGAGAATAAATAAATACAGCTAGCAGCGCTCTGTTTTTCCTATATGCGCAATGCGATAATTAGTTTGAATAAAGTATTTGGTCGATAATTCTGTTTCTGACTTGTGGAAGAGAAGATTATTCTTATTCTCGGGAATATATATCGTTTTGCGTTATACATGACAATATATAAGTATAGTATGGTACTATTAGCATTATGCAATTGTAATATGAACTTTGATATGTAGGTAGTATACAGATGTGAACAATAATAACTGGACAAGTGATAGATATATAACAGAGTTGTATTATATAATCCATATTTTCATTATTCTTCATGATACTCGACAAGCACTAACAAATACCATCAGTATTCGGTATTTCATATTATTATACTGTATAAAAAGTCTCTTACTACATTTATGCGTTATAGAATAGCGACGTATTGCGTAAAGAAAAACCACAGCACTAAAGGTTATTATGATAATTGCAATGTAGGTATATCGATCTCAAATCATACTATTAAAACGATATGGGAACCTCATAAACGGATTCTTTGAGTATTCTGGAATTCCATTTTTTGATCTGACAAACACACATCCGATAGAGATTCGATAATAATAGCTTGTTGTTATCAATGGCTTTCTACAGTTTCTGAACATGTTTCACTCATGGATGTTCAAAAACCGATAATTGTGCTCACTTATCTCCTGTTCCCATATCAGTACTATTACATAAGCTACTCTTGTATTTTAACATAAAAGCAACAATATACATCACACCCAGTGACAATTTTCAAATGAGACCACCCTATTCGAAAAATAAGCAATCCCTTAATATTTCACATTGACCATATTAAATCCACGTATTATTGATATAGATTTCTTGAGGGAATCATGCTTTCAATTATCCACATCAAAATTAGGATTCATCCAATCCAGACAAATAAACCGTGATTTTGTCATCCCAAATTAAGTATTATAAGATTCTCTTCATCTGAGGCCTTCATCATACATCAATAAAGAGTTGTATTCACATTGCTTCGACTCAAATAAGTAAGTATACAGAAACATATTCTTGAGCACTTTTCATTCTCCAGAAGGCTTCTTTTGCAAAAGCGATTCTCTAACAATGGGTTATTCATCACAGCCATCCTCAATTTAGATTACCATAAGAACGACATTATAGGTCATGCTGTTTTATTAGTAATTGAACACTGGAAATTCCTGTTGGAAATTACCCTCAGACAAGGAATACAGAGGTGGAAAAGTATTTGTTTTAGCCTCTAATTCAATTCCTTCAGAGAAATGTGTCGAAAATAATTATATATCAGATAAAGAATAAAACACGAGCCAGTTTCTAAAGATAGTTTCACTTAATTAAGATGAATGAGTGAAATTCATACAGT